CTAATGATAAATAATAATAATTATATTAATTAATAATATAGTAATTTCTTAGAAAACCCTCTGGCAAATAGGTGATCAATAAAACAATAACCCTCTGGCAGCGAAAGGGTTAATAGCGGAATTATATAGGTAATTTTGATACGTCTTATTGGTTAAAATATGGCTAGCTGTTAATATTTTTGATATTAACAATCATTTATCTATTTCAAAATTTAAGTTAGAAATCTATATCATAAAAATATATCTAAAAACAGATGATGATAATTGAGATACACGCATTCATGAAAAAAAAAATTTGAGTCATAAAAACTGTGGCCAAAAAGTTATCAGTTGGAGTTATTCGGAACCGTCTGATTCTGGGGTTACGTCTTCTTCTGGACAAGAATATTGCTTCTACGTCGTAGTAGTGAGATATTGCCTATATATAAAATGATACAATACACCAACTTGTAGTGAAGTTTGTTGGACTAACCCTATAAATTGCCCTGTATAACTGTTTGCAATCACACTTTTGATTTGGTACAAGTAATAACTGTCATTAAACAGGTATTGCTAACATTTCTTCATGGAAACGATTTTTGCCAGTGCAAACAGATTTACCACGGCCATCTTTTTTTTATACTTCTTGTTTAAATATATTTAATCTGACCAAACACGTATACTGTTCCCTAATTAATGCTAATATTCGGGTATTTAAAATGCCTTAATCCCATAATAATGGATAATTCCGAAAGTGACTGTAAGACAATTCCTTTACACAATTTCATCAGGATTTAGGTTGATTATGACCAAATTATTGAGACAAAAAAAAAAACAACAACAAAAACCAAACAGCAAAAAAAAAACAAAAATAAAACGATTTATATCAAATTGTGATTAAAATGTAGGGCTGGGCGAGTATTCGAGTACTCGGATAATCACGAATCAAAATGAAAAATCGAGTACGCATATTCGTCAGTCCAGAGATCGTGGATGGCAATCTTATTTGTTTATTATACATTCGCTGTTTTTTACACTTTAAATGTAAAAAATAATCAATTTGTGTATTAATTATGCGACGTTTAACTAAATACAATTTGCTCATTAAAGACAGGAAGTAAACAAACATGTACCATGATGCTGAGCTAGGAAGTTATTAGTTTCGAAGAAGGAATCACTTTATCTTTATTGAGCACTTGTTTTTAAATATTTTTAGTCGCTATGTATAAATCTATAATGACATGACATGTATTGAAGACTGTTTTATTTTAAGGAATCCACAATTTGCTAAACGCAAGTTAATACGTGAGTGTGACATTACATGTATTGGCTAAAAAGGAGTAGCGCCAATATAAAAATCCCACCAGCAAAATTTACTTCCATTTTGGAAATACTTGTCTTTTCATGTGATTAGACAAGTTTGTTGTACCACCTCTATATAAGTCAATTTGCCATGGCATGTGTTACAAACTGCTTTTCCTCATTTTCATTGAAAGTAAATTTTGCTGTTGGAATTTTATATTGGGGCGTCTCGTTTTCAACCTAGTTTAAATTTGCATTGCATATATGTTTTATGAATAATTAAATTAATATTTAGCATTGCTTTAAGAAAAATTAACATGTTTTCAGAACTAATGTTCATGTTTTTATGGGTGTCTTGATAACAAAAGATTCGTGGTTCGATTTGTAAATCGCATGTGCTGAATCGTGGATCAGATCGGATCGTCACTTACCCGACGATCCACACCACAAATAAAATGATCCCGTTTAGTGTTACCACAAAATTGTTTAATCTTTATTTCTATCTCATTTGTAAAGAGAGTATCACATTAGAACTTAAAATTGCTATTACTGCGCTAGATTTATCTATTTATCTCGCAGAGATAAGTAAGGGGTGTCTCTCAGTTTTAATCCGTCTGAATATTTGAAATGAATTGTTTACATTTTTGTCTGCATTATTTAGACGGAAATAGCATATTTATGTTTATTGATTGGTCTTCGACCTTGGGGTCGATCACTAGATCAAGAATTCTAGCGGGACGGACAAATAATCATGGATTAAAATTATTTACGCGGCGAAGTTGTCAGCGACATGTGGAAAACAGAATTTCTTTGGTATAGAAGAGAATTACAAATGTAGTTTGTTTTTATTTCTAAACAGTACAATCTCAACTCAAACATATTGAATATAGTAATACATTCTTTTCGGACTGACCTAGTTCAATATAAAGGTTTTGAATAATGCTTATATTAAATTGCGTTTTTAAAGAGTATCTGTAGTAGTTGATTATTAAAGGCTGTTTTTGTTTAATATAAACTGGCATGCATGCGTTGCTCATCACATTTCAATTGTCAGCACAACTTGCAATTTAATAAGTTTTCTTTGTTATTATTTTAAGTAAAATTTCATAGAATTAAGAACACTTATCACACAAGGCCATCATTCATTAAATATATTATTTCTGAAATCTTACATTTATTCGTCTCATGATTCTTATATGCTTTACCACATACACGCATTATATATTTTCTCATTGTTTTTCCTTTGAGTTTTCTTTTTGGGTGCGTGAACACGTGTACTTTATCGTTAGATATGATCAAATATTCTCTATTGTTATGATTTTTAAACGGAACTATTTTTCATGATCCTTGTTAAAACAAGAGCACCGATAAGCGGAGCATTATATGCCCGAAAGTGTTGTTTTTAGGAAGGACGAAGCATTTGTAAGACATGGGAATTAAATACAGAATCAAGTTGTCATCTTGTAAGTAAAAATGCGATGACGGATGAACGGAAAGACGCCAGAGGTATCAAGTTGTTCATCCTATAATATTTTACAGTTGTAGCTTGATTAATACCTAAGTTATTGAGCGGAAACTGTTTTCAGTTTTATAGTTTTAGTGACCTTTGACCTTTTGACCCCAAAATCATTAGGGGTCTTCTTCCCAATATGGACAATCATCCTATGAAGTTTGAATACTGTGGGCCAAGTGGAACTTAAGTTATGTTCCGGAAACCATTTTCAGTTTTAAGGTAATAGTGACTTTGACCTTGTGACCCTAAAATAAATAGGGGTCTTTTACCCAATATGGAAACTCATCCTATGAAGTTTGAATACTGTGAGCCAAATCGAACTTAAGTTATGCTCAGTTTTAAGGTAATAGTGACCTTGACCTTTGACCTTGTGACCCCAAAATCAATAGGGGTCTTCTTCCTAATATGGACAATCATCCTATGAAATTTAAATACAGTGGACCAAATGAAACTTAAGTTATGTTCTGGAAACCAAATTGCTAACGGACGGACATACGTACGGACGGACGGACGCCAAGGGGAATAACATAATATACCCGAAATTCTTTCGAACATATAAAACGCATTTGTCAATTTTAAAAAAAAATATATTTAAACTACAAACATGTTAAATTTAAAATTGATTTTATGAAGGACTCCGACAGTATTGAAATCATACTTATTTTAGCAACTCAGTATTTTGTCGCAAGCAACACATTTTTTAAAGTTGCATATTATTAGTTAACGTTTCAACACCAATACTCCATTTAAAATAAACGTTATTCAGATTTGTTTATCATTTTCCAATGAGAACACTGTAAAGTCACGCAAATATTACGTAACTTGTTTACTCACATATTTTCAAAGCATATTGCACAATACAATCAGGAAGATTTAATATTTGTTTATGTGTTCTGTCTCAAAAGGTTTTTTATTCTTTGCGTTTCATCGAGAGGTCGAAAGAAAAAAACAAAACATCACAATATAGTCATAAAGTCATGTCAATTGAACCAGTACAAGCAAATGTATGAAAAAAATCGATCAATCCATATAATGTTAATAATTATGGGTTTTCATATTGGACTTCAGAGAGCCGATCATTTTAGCATGCGGCCTTGACAAATGACAATATTTACAACAAAAAAAACAACAACAAAAAAACCGATAACATTTTTACACGCAGTTACTCTTCTAGTGCTACCGCTAAAAGGCGGTTTATATTAAAAAATAAATATTCAACATTATCCTTTTCAAAACGGCGTCGAGTTTTATGTAGCATTGGCTTCATAATGGCCGAGTTAAACAGTCAATCAGAACGTCCGAATCTCAAAAAGGTCGAATGTTCTCGTAATTGCCGTATTTCTTTCATAATGATCGCTTTTTTTCGGACGAAGTCTGTCGGAGATTGGTTTAACTTCCCGTAAATTAAACTTACAGGGAAGTACTTAATATTGGAAGGCTTTTCATTGGTCATTTTTCTGAAACGTATACGCATCCAATTTATAAAATAATCTAAAGGAGTATCGGAAACGAACTTTCCATTTGTTGGATATTTGAAAACTGTGAACTATTTTACACTGCTTAAAAATTTCATAATTTCTCTCGGGAGTATCATATTCAACATAAAAATTACCGAGTTGTAGATGACATTCTTAAATGACGAGCCACGATTCCTGAAAGACAATGCGCATACCGAAAGACACCATGCAAGTGAAAGCAGTTTTAACTCGTCCGAGTATCTTTTTAAAGATACTTCTTGTCTGCCCATAATGTCGTGGCGAACTTCATATAGGCCCTGAATTTAAAGTATTAATACGCCCAATAGTGCCTAGTTTCAAACTAGTTAAAAAGCATATAAAAAGCAAAATGTTGGCAGACCAATAAACTTATCCTCACACGAATAAATATAAAACAGCACAATATTAAAACAAAATAATGCAAGAATTTAATTTAATAAATGACACAAGCGTTAGCAATAAAGGTCAATTTAATTGTAGATCACTGCTTCTATTTGTAGCTAAGATTGTTGAATAGACAATGTTTATTGTAAGACTGCACCAAACTCGTTGTCTGGCAAGGCTTAATATTATTTGTTGGTTAACTTTAGATTTAATCATGTCAGTTTTTTTCTTTTTTCCTTATTCAGAAACTGATTTCGAGCACTCTTCGTTGATGAATGATGCATTTTCTTACATATAATGTCAATTCCTTTTCCCATTACTTCTAGGTGCTGATTTCGAGAACGCAATTGTCGTCTCTTCTGTGATGAGAAATATATTTGCGACACAAAATAAGCACATAAACCTGTTACCAGGAACCTTGTATGATGCTGGCAATATTACTACTACACATAGTTTTGCATTGAGGGACTTCAACACAAGGCTGCTCAACATTGATGTCGACTATGCAAGAAATAGACTATACATTTACGACTTAAACACGGCTTCTATATATGCAGTGGAGAACTTCAACTGGAGAGGAGATTTTTCCAACCTTTCCTTGACTGTAATTCATTCTGGTTTATCAAGGTATTCTACTCGTATATCCGTAGACTGGGTCTCAAACAATATATATTGGACGGATGCTTTATATGGTTGGATTGTTGTTCAGTCTGCAGACAAAGAAGACGAGTACAAAATTCTGGTAGACAATGACATTGAAAAGCCTTACGCATTAGTGGTTGACCCCATTAGCAAGTAAGTTAATTTTGTTAATCTTTTTAATATATTCCAATCTAAATAACTAGAATATGATACTAAAATAAATTTTTGTAATGTCAAAAAAAAACAAAAAACAAACAAACAAAAAAACCCATTAAAAAAAACCCAAAACAACAACAACAACACCTTTTTACTTCTGAATGTCCTTAATACAGTTCATGTTTATGGCATTCTTTATTTTCAGGTATATGTTTTGGAGTGATATTGGTCGCACTGTGAAGATTGTACGGGCGTCTTTATCAGGTACTGACCAGAAAGCTATCGTCACAACTGGGTTAGCGTTCCCGACCAGTATTGCCATTGACCAAGAGGATAGCCGATTAGTTTGGGTAGACGCGTCACGTGACACTCTTGAAACCAGCGATTTAAACGGGGCTTCGCGGCGTGTTATTCGCAGATTGTCACACACGGAATTCTATGACGTTGCAGTGTTTAAGGTTCGTGAACCACTTATAACCTTTACAGCATTCATAATTAATGTTTATGGTGGCAGACTTGTGCCATGTCGCATTTTTTCGCGCCTGGCGAAAACCAGAAAATTCGACAATGTGACCTTTTTACTTTGTCGTACTTTCGTGTTTTCGCCTGGCGCAAAACACGTTCATTAATAATTGAATAAATTGCAGGGCAAAGAAAAACGAAAAGAGCCTGAACGTTGTAGTCTATAGACAATGCCACATTATATTAAACAAGCTTTTCGATTTAAAACCAGTTAACTTTAATATTTTCCTACAGTCAATGATTACAATTTTACATTTCTTTCAATGTATATCAAATACATAATGATACAGGACCCATTAAAACACTTATCAGCAATATACTGAGTTGCTAAAGGCAATCTTAAGGAAAAGAATGGCTAAACCATTCTTTTGACCAAGATACGTTAGTTTTAATTATCATTAGCTTTAACAATCATCTCTATTAAAGTTTAATGTCAGTAATATTTATAGGTTAATCAGACGTAAATTAATATTTGAAAAACAAACCAAATACATATGAGTAAAAACATAATGTTAAATAGTTATAATAATATGATTTTGGTTACTTATAGGGCAATGAAGCCTATATTCGTACAGGCCAATGGGTCATATATATTGTATCTTTGTATAGGGGTGTGTTTTAAACTTTATCAGACACATATTATGAATGATACACAAAATAATATCACATGTATGTGATCAAAAATCAGTAATAACCTTCGCAAGTATATTGCTCTGTTTACATGTTTATACGAGCTATTCATCAATTCCTGAAACAGTATTTGAGTCGTTACCTTGTCACTGCCGTAAGAATGATGGCCATAACGTTATAAACTTTATTTACTAGGATCTGGTGGCTGTAATAGAATTGAAAAATGGAACTTTATTAGTGTTTAACAAAAATACAGGTGAACTTTTTCAAACCCTCGGACTGACAGGTGGTGAACCTTTTGTTGCTGTTACACTATATACTGCAGAAATTCAACCGCCGCAAGTTGGTGAGTTATAATATACAGTGCTGATTTAATATGTAATTTAAATCCATACATTTTATTTTTTATTGAATTCAAAATGAATGCCTTTTTTTCAGTATGGAAAGGACCAGTGCTTGAATGACTTCTTTCTAAAATGAAGAATGGTGTAATTTTACTTAATAACACAATGTAAGAAAGATATCGGCAATCATTTGAAATAAATATGCCTATTAATTATGCAGGTTGAATATATATTTTTCAAACCACAGTTATTCAGACTCTTAAACTTAGACTCGCCAGTAGCCTGGTCGCGTTTTAAACACCAAAACTAATAATATACATACAGTATAAAACATTTTAGCATGTTACTTACAGGACATATAATGGTCCTGTGTCAAATGCATTTAATTATGGGCTCATTATAATTTACTTTAATTAAACAACCTTAAGACTTTGACAAGCTTATTTCTTCGTCACAGCATTTTCAACATTAATTTACCGCAGTTGCAATAATTGAAGATAAAGATAAATCTGTTGCGGAACTTGTGATATGATATTTCTACTTTTTCTTTTTCTTTTTGTCCCACAACTAGGATAAAATATTAGCGTACATTTTCGCATTTGTTTAATTATAAGATTAATAAATGCTAGTGACAAAAGGTTTCTCCCTTTTCGTGCCACAAAATAAATGATATATAAAAATAGGTGAAAGTTAAATCTCTCTAAACATCCTCATTTTCACATAAAATTTTCACGCTTGATTTAGAAAAGCGTTGTCTTTTGTTGTAGACTGCAGTATGTAGGTTATCCAGAGTATTTGTTAGTGACATTACCTTCGTTGTTTCGTTGTCAAGATGATATATTTCAAAGCATTGACTGTTTTGGTGGTGATTGACTAGTTTTGGTGATAAAAGATGTTAATAAAAACTGTCTAAAACATAAAAAGATGGCACACTCTTTGTATCAACTGAACAGAACGTAACATGTACACTCTGAATGATAATTAAAGAAATTTCCATGTGCCATGTTAAAATTGTTGACATGAATTAGAATATAAAATTGGAAACAAATATGAAAAAATATAAATTATTTATAATTTTACATGTGATCTCAACATCTACGCTTGTAAGGGCATAATGTCACATTAATATACTTTTATGTTATTGTTCATTAAATGTATTATAAAGCTTGAAATAGTTTGAATTTTAGTATTATAAAACTTGAAGTTGTTTGAATTTTAATATTTTATATTCAAAAACCTCAAACCTCAAAAGAGACGAATTGTTTAAAACCCTTTTCAGATGGTTGTTCAAGTTTCGGTTGTAGCCACATTTGTATAAACGAGAAGAATGGTCCAGTATGTTTGTGTAAAGAAGGCTATACTCTCAATCAAGATGGCGTTTATAAAACATGTTCAGGTAACGTATTCTGTAGTATACACGTTCCCCGCCCCGATGAATAGCAGGTACTTTGACTTTTTGTATAAATCATTTCCCGCTGTAAGCTCCGACGTTAGGAGAAAATGGGACGTCAAAACAAAACCTACGCACCGGAATGATAGGGCGGGTAGAAAGTATTCCCACAATGTGCCCAATTCTGCCAGTGATTTAAAGATGAGATAAAATTGACTGATGATTATAAACAATTAGGAGTTTTATGCCTTTTTTTACAAGTTTAATGTTAAAGAGAAGCAATGTTGAGGTCTTGTGTATATGCATGCCAGCATGTATTTTGTAGATTTAAATTAAAAACCTTAATGGTTACAAAGCGGAAGAAAGATTAAAAATGCAAAAATGTCTTTTGCACATTGTGAACTTGAATAACCTTTGTCAAATGTTTACCGACTTATGTCTATAAACTAGCATGAACTGTGAGTATTGAAAACAGTTTTATTCTTTTTAACTTGTTTACTTCTGATAAACTTTTCAAGCAAAAACATGACCAGAAATAATCGTCCTATAGCTGAAACAACCAAAGCATGCCCTCTTGCTGTGTTTACAACTCACAATGGAGGACATAATTCAATCGATTGAAGCTAGACTGAATTGTTTAAAGATCATTGAGCCTTTTTTATCTTCATACTCGTATTTCTTTATACAATGTAAATCTTGTTTTTAGAGAACCTAGGTGCATACCATCGTGCGGTTGTGACTTCCAATGCCAGTAGCATTTGCTTAATGGATTTTCGAACTCTAACATCAAACGTCAATGCAAACATTTCAGAATGCTTCCTAAAAGGTGGAACCGCCATCTCGCAATTTGACATTGGTAACTTACATATATATTACATATACAAATGTTTATACTAAAACATAAAGGCTTGTTTCGTTTTACAAAACCGAATATCGGCTAAATATGTAACGATGTGTGCATTCACTTGTTTCGAAGCTTGATAAAGGGACACTTTGTTAAGTATATGATTCAGCGATATAAAATATTTTGCGATGTCATAAAAGCAAGCGTGCAGTACCTGTATTGTATGATACAAATTATTGAAAACATAAAGAGTTTATATTCTCAGTGGCACTACTTTACTTTCTTTTGAAGATATGAATGAACGCAAGCTAGTGTATGTTGACGGCAGAGAAATAATCAGTGTCAATATTGGTGCGAATCCCGTAAAACAGAGACTGCTATCAGCTACAGTAGCTATTACAGGTGAACATTCTCAGTATTTGATAACAACAGTGACGTTATTTGACCCATTGACATTATATTGACATCAGAAATTAAAATAAAAAAGACTCATAACTTGCAATATCGGACTAAGATACAAGTAGCCTAGACAAAAAAATCGAACAAAGTGTCTAGTAATAATTATTATTCCTCAAAATAAGCCTTTCCATAGAAAAGCGAGTGAATAGTTACTATTCCTCCCCATTAGTATTGCCATTGACTGGCAAGCGTAGAGTACGTAACTGTTGTACCCAAAAGGTATTGCCATTGTCTGGCGTGTGTAAAGTTATTGTTATACCCAGTTTGTATCGCCATTGACTGGCGATTGTATAGCGTTTGCTCTACACCATAGAAATTGCCATTTACTGGCGTGTGTAAAGTAACTGTCCTCCATAGGTATTGCCATTGTATGGCGAGTGTAAAATAATTGTTATACCCAATTTGTATCGCCATTGACTGGCGATTGTATAGCGTTTGCTTTACACCATAGAAATTGCCATTTACTGGCGTGTGTAAAATAACTGTCGTCCATAGGTTTTGCCATTGTATGGCGAGTGTAAAATAATTGTTATACCAAATTTGTATCGCCATTGACTGGCGAGTGTATAGCTTTTGCTCTTCACCACAGGTATTGTCATTGACTGGCGAGATAACAACGTGTACTGGTGTATGGGTGGACTCGCAGGTAAAATCAGCGTGGTTTCACAGGAAACAGGAATGGGATACAACTTGATCACAACTAATCTTGCGTACCCGAAACATCTCAATATTGCCCCCTTTCACAGGTTTCAAAATTCTTTTTATTGTTTTTTAAATAAACTAAATAAGACTCTCAATTTGTTTAATAACATGATTTGTAACAAATAAACAAATACATGAATACCGTGCATGTGTGCATAAATATATCATTAATATACTGGGATCTTTGATTTGTCATATAATCATATGAGGTTAAAAGTCTTTGATGACAAAAATGTTTTCAGTCCTTGCAATTATATATGCATATCAATTATAAAAATATTTGTGACTTCGAGTACATTATGAAACAGTGTTTTGCTTGACTCATTATTAAATACCATAAAACTTAGTTCTAGATAATTCACTGAAATCAAATTTAACATATATTCATATTCAAGCTTTTCCAACAATCTAAAATTAAGTTTCTCTGTCAAAATGTTTTTCATTACCTCTTCTGATGAAACAGTTGGTATAGAAATTCTTGTCTTCTTTAATTATTTCAGTATTTTGGTATGGATATCAGGGTCAGCTGGTTCACAGAAAGTAGAAAAAGCTGAATTAGATGGTTCAAAAAGAGTTACATTGTTTACCAGTACGTCGTCGGTTGATATGAGAGGATTAACGATTGATTTATCAACTGCCACGTAAGTTTTATTCATGATGACTTAATAATTTAATATTGTTATCAATTTTTAGTAAGAAATGGTAAAATATAATTCTTGTTGCGGATTAGTAGCCGATAAAAAGTTGGCGAAATGTTTATTTTGTATACAGTTAACTGAAAATATATTTGTAAAAGAGATAAAACACTTAGTAATATATACTTCAATGATGATTATATCTCAACTTTTTGAATTTCACCTATCATGAAGTTCGAGCTAACATTTATTAAAGTAACATTAAAGCGGTTACAGTCATTTGTTATCTGTGCGTTTTCACAAGAAATATGTATATAAATAATCAAATAATTATTGATCAGCGTGTTTCGGAAGGTAAATATTGACCGTGCATTGTAATATTATATTTACACTCTTACATACCAAATTAAACCAACCGTTTGGCAATACACATGATTATATTACTTTATTGTATTATTCAGTATATACTTCATTGATAATACCCAAGTCAAAAGTTGTGACTTTGAGGGGAAACAATTGACGACATTAGCGCCGACATCAACTTTAATGTCACCGATGCTCGTCCTGTCTTACAAGGTGAGAGCTTTGATTTGTTAATGCGAATGTTTTGCTGCCTTAGCCTCACATTTCAACCACTCTGACGCCTGCTTCAGAAATATTTTAAGTATCGCCGAATGTATGCTTTAAACCATTTACTGCAATTTGCTGTCGTAGAATCATACATTCAAGGTATCCAAGAATAAGAAATAAAAGAAGTATAAACGGACACTACAGCAAATGATTAGCAAAAAACAGCTGTCCAAAATTCTTTTAATTTTGTCTCGTCGAGCGAGCGTCTAAATTAAGTTACGATGAGACGCCGAATTACATACTTGAGCAATAATTTGCCGCGCGACAGTAAACAAGTGAACTTTGATTATGTCATTATTTGTTTTTGTTAGCAACATGGCGCCAAATGACAAGACGAAAACAAGTTAAGCATTTGAAAGTGATATATATAATATTGGCTTTTATAGAACACATATCGGCACCATTAATCACGTAAATACTGAGATGAGCGATCCCGGAAGTCCTGAAGCAGAGCATTAAGATTGTTTTTACTGATGTATGTGCTGTAAACTTTTGTGTGAATAATTCATCCGTAAAGGAGAGAATAACATAAAGAACATAGACAATAATAAATCTCTAAGCCAATTTCAGTATAATTCGTTCAGGTTATCATGCAAGACGTATGATCTGATCAAATTTTCTTTCACATAACAGTGTAAGGATTAGAGGATAAGACTTGCGTATAAACTGCCTTTTTAAGCTGATCAAAACAACATTTTGATAATATTCATATTATATAAAGGTTTGCTTACCGCTTTATTGATGCCAGTGCTTAACTACACACCTACAACTTCATCAGTAATTCATGTCTAACCATATTAGTTCATGCGGTCATTGTTCCATTTCAGAATTTTCTGATCGTTGCCGACGATTCTTTCGCTAGCAATGTTATAAAGGTTTTTGAAAAGAAATCTGAACCAGTATTAAAATACCAGATGTCCAACATTGACTTGGTTTCGATGACGGACTTTCATGTGCTAGATGAAGCACTGCAGTCTGAGCAGCAGGGTATGTTTCTTTATTACAGCATAATAGTTACCTACTTCTGTTTTGACTAATTTGACTACGAGTTACTTTGCCTAGAGAATGGTATACATCATTTTGTTTGATACTTTGTAGCAAAGACTTTGAAAGAAAATATGTTTGCCCAATAATAATAACAATGAAGATTCTGATGCTTTTATTGTTGATTATGGTGTTGTTGTTTCTGTGGTTGTTGGTGATGATGATGATGATGATGATGATGATAATGATGATAATAATTGCGAAGATGATGATTATTATGTTAAAAATCATACATCATGGAAAATCTAATGAAGACTTTGAAAGAAAATATGTTTGCCCATTAATAATAATGAAGAATATTCTGATGCTTTTATTGTTGCCTATGGGTGTTGTTGTTTCTGTGGTTGTTGGTGATGATGGTGATGATGATGATGATGATAATTGCAATGATGGGTGATTATTATAATAAAAATCAAACATCATAGAAAATCTAATTGAAGTTGATGACCTCATATCATAGTAAAATGAGCTCTACCTATTTGTCGTTTCATGATTTGGTATGTTTGTCATATAGGTCCATGTGCTATACTCAACGGAGACTGTGAACCAGATTTGCATTCCAATCGGCAGAAATAGGATTTGTCAGTGTGAATACGGGTACCAGCTTGACTTAGACAAGAGGAAATGTTCTTCAAGTAATTTATATTATATCAAAACACAGATTTTTGTTTGAAATGATTTCATAAAAAGTGTCAGTTTCATTACTTTAAAGATGATTATTTCGTAAATATATATGACGATAACACAAAGCAGTCATATATTTAAAGAAAAAGATCATAATAGATAACAAAGTATTATTAAAACCTCCTTGTGACTTTATGGAGAGTTCATTCCAATGGATCTACATTTCTGTTATCTGAGCTGCTAGAAGGGTGTTGTCGAAATAACGATCTTTTCATTGTATTATAAAAAGTACAACTGTAAGAAGGGTATAAATGAAAGTCGAAAACCTACTCTGAAATAGCTTACGATGTTTATTATTTCTTCACGAATAGGCACATTATTGATAAGGCATTTATAATGTAATTGTAAATGCTGTTTAGTATCTGTTAACAAGTAGATTCAAAGGAATAAAATGACTTTCATTTTTTATTTACTATAATTTTTATTAAAATGTTTCTTCTCTTGCAGCTCCTATGACAGACAATTTTCTCGTTGTAACTGACTGGACACATAATACAATATATCAGGTGTCCCTAGTTAACGATGAGGTCAGAGCTATTGACACGGATACTTTCGGGAGCCCAATCGCTATTGCTTATAATTTTATCACAAGGCAGCTAATGTGGAGTACCAACGAATTAATTCATCAACTTAGTCTGGAAAATCATAATTATCATGTTTTCTTTAATACGGGTAAGGATCAAATCGAAATATGGCCAAATGTTATTGAAAATTATTGCTGTTTATGAACAAAATTAACTTTTCAACTTCATGAAGTGAATTATTGTTTTATCAACATTGTTTGTTTGGCACACTATTGAAATCTATGTGGCATCAATATACCTCTATTTTGTTTGATTTTATTTTTGTAAGGTCTCGTTTACTATGTTATAAATATTTTCCCTTTTAATGTTGATTCAAATTTACGTAATATTCATTAGCTAGTAATATGAATAATTCAATTCCAGAGCTACTAGGGTGCCATGCAGATCGTTTCGCTATCGACTACCCGAGTGGAAACTTATACTACACCGCTAACCCCACTTCACAGACAGGGTTTGTTGGAATTGGTGTTATATCAACTAATAATCTTCACAAACGTGTCCTTGCTGCTGGATCAAAACCCAAGAGATATTGTTCTCGATTCAGAAGATGGGTAACTATGAACTTAGTTAAATGATTCGTTAAACTATTTCTTTATCTTACAGAAGCATTATATACAACACTATAAATATCAATTTACCCAATTTTACATTGTTTATTATCCTATATATATATAACATCGGCACTCAATCTAAAAATAAAACAATTATAAAAAACAGCTCTGCATATACCTAAATTTTCCTAACTAAAAGGAGCATAATTTAAGTATTAAAGGTTATATTTCATATCAAACCAGTAACACATAAGCGGAGAAAAGTATTTTTGTGTAAAGCTTCAATATTAAAACAATATGACAGACAGATTTTACCTTATCCTAAGATTAAATTGCCATGACCAGTCTCATAAATTGAAGTACCAATAATTCCACATGTTCAACGAAAAGACAACGCAAAGCATATTTAACATATATGGATTTAACTAAATGCTCTATATGACACGTTGGTAAAATTATACTTATAATTACCTATTTTATTTTGATATCATTTTTGTTGTATTTTCCCGACAGACTGTGTTTTGGGGCAGACCATGGGTTTTAATCCTCCCTAGGGAGCAAGAGCAAAAAGGATGGTTTTTAGACGTTAAGCAAATAATTTAAAAACGGTCTTGTCGGCCAAATGGTCTGGCATTATACAAAAAGTATAATAATTTTCATACTATATTTAAAGCTATTTTGGAAACCCTTCTCGGTTTAGAATATTTATTAATTTAAAAAAAAAAAGAATGTCATTGTCTTTAGCACGAGAGAAACATGACTCACTTATTATAAAACTTATTACACACCATGTTTATTTTGTTTCTCAATGTTTCAAACATTCACGTTAGTAATCTATCTTTAAACGACTTGGTGCCGTGTGATAGCAAAACAGAATATTTTAAGACATTTGTTCCATCTTCATTGCTTTAAGATAAATGTTTCATTATTGGTTACATAAAATCGTTTCGACTCACTTAAATAAAGGTTGAGGTTTATTACTCTTTGTTTAGATAAAAGTGTATGATTTATTGCAATTATCAGACCTTTGCGTAATTTGATTACAAATTGCAATAATTACATTTACAAACAGTTAAAATCAAACATGAATCTATACAAAACATGTAATGTCAAAAGAGACTTTTATAAAAAATTAAAATGCAATGTGTATTGAAAATATAGGAACCACATTGTCCCTTGATATTCGTGAGGGTGTTGCATATCGTACACAAAAAAAGATAATTCGGGCAACTGTTTGTTTAATAATTGTTATGATTGATTTATATGACGGATGATATCTTTTAATGAAAACAGAATACAAGTTTAAACAGCAATATAACTTCCTACAAAATATAAATTAAATTTCATATCATATCTAATTTGGTACTTTTCAAGTTACTATTATTCTATTGGAAGACAAATTGCTATTAAAGATGAAAATGATAGGCGATACAAATATGTCAAACGTTCATATATTTAAACAAAAAAAACCTACAGCTTAGGGTTATTGAGTTAATTGATAAAAGTAATATTTTATGAACCCGTTTGTAATATTCTTTTTAAATGCTTAACAAGTACTTCTCACATGTTGTTTCAGCTAATGTATTGTACATAACCGACGGTCAAACAGACATTATTTACAAATGCTCATACCATGGAGTCTGCACGAACCATTTTGCAGACAGTGGGTCTCACCTCATGGATATAACATTACTTGGTGATTATATGTATTACACTGCTTGGAATAGACCGTAAGTTGTCTGCAAAATGTTATGTCTTGTTTAGGTTGATTTCCCTTCATTTTTGTAAATAGAATAATGTACTATGACAATCATCTCATTTTTCTAAATATACATAGAAATTGAGACAATACTAAATATTTCTTGAAAAATTTAAACTGAAAAAACATCAAGCCCCCCAATTTTTATCATCCCAGATTGGGTAGAATTCTTATTGAATTAAAACCTTTTAAAATATCGTCCACTTTTTAAATTAAAAAAATAAAATACTTTTTGTGTTATCCTTTAAATTTAAAGTAAACAGAAGTTAATTTTAATTGAAAGTAAGAATTTCTTTTTTATAAAGTACCCTTAAATATATTTAAAATCTTTTTCCCCAAAATGACAGTATATTGTTGCCAATTTTTTTTATTTAGTATATTTTCCCAAAATTTTCCCAAACAAACCCTTCAAGTGTTATTAAAGTTGGTTACAAGCCGGAATTAGGGAGATTGGATTCGCTAGCACTTTATAGTTCAATGCTTGACCAATCACGTAGGTTACAATTTTCTTACTGGTTTAATTTTACTACAAGTCATGTATGTAAATTAAATGTAATCGCTCAAATATTTTACTTCAGGGCATATTAAGCGATAGTTATCAATAAAAACATTTATAAATTTCATTCTTTTTTTCCATTTTAAAGTACATCGCACTTCCCTTCAATGGGTTTCTACTGATTGATCACATTTGAATATTTACAGAATCAGCAGCCTGCTCTGAGAATAATGGGCGTGGTCCATGCAGTACATTTTGTCTGCCTAAAAACACCGGATACAAGTGTGCATGCGAAGACAACGTAGCACTAAAAAGTGATGGCAAAACATGTGAAAATGGTAATAGTATTTCTAAAAGCATGTAGCATTTATTATTAAAGCATAAATGTAGTGGAGGCTTGGCCGTGTAGCTGATGCGTCAGACAAGTAATCAAGGATTGCTGACCGTGTGGGATCAAACCCTGTCAGAAGCAAGCCGTTGATTCCTTCACAGTCATTGCTAAGTACTGGTTGGTTTCTGGAACAGATTCAAGAGTGTTTCGATAAGCTTCCAAAACAATCGAACTAAAATAAATTTGTATAAATTAGAAATGTAAGATTGACATATGCTTCTTCAAGGTTAAGTTTGAATTAAAGACCAGGGCTGCGTTTCATGGAGAGTCCTAAGTTAATCCTAAATCCTAGGACTTATGACCAACTTTAGGAGAAAAAGTTTTTGCACTTAAGACCGTTTCAAGTAACTGTCCTATCTTTTGTCTTAAACTTTAAGACTTATGACCAATTTGCTCTCCTGAAAAAAGTTACAAAATACAATGGCACGCGCATAATCCCGGATTGGATTTACTTTGTAATTGATTATAGCAAGTATAAAAAGCAATGTATTGCCCTCTTATCATGTTGAGTGAAAATATAAACCATACTCCACAAAAAACGATAAAATAACTGTTTTATTTAATTTCATAGTAAAAATGGAACCCCTTGCTTGCTACGCAACTGCAATTGTACAGCGTGCAGTAATATTACTATTTATAGATGCGTCTTGTTTTGCACGCGATATTTGGCGCTACATTGTGACGTCATGTAAACAACTCTTTAAACATCTGTACAGCATTAATGACTGAATTAAAGATATTGGTGTTCGGATTTATTTTCTTAGTTAGACCATTATCTATCATTCTAGATAGTTTTCAAAATAAAATTCAACAAAAATTTGTTTGATTTTGGAGTGGTTTTGACTTAGGACAATCTTAAGATACCTTTAAAACACTCATAGACTTAGGACTTCTATTTGTCATAAGTATAGGAGTCATAAGTTAGGACCTTTTTTAAGACTTTCTTTGAAACGCAAAATCGTCACAATTTTTATCTTAAGACAAACTTAAGACTTAGGACTCTCCATGAAACGCAGCCCAGATGTACCCAGAGTCACAGGACAAATATTCCTTAGCTTAACTATGTATAATACCATGTTCTTAGGGATTAGATAATGATAGACATAGAGAATATCTTCTTGTTATAAATGAAAATTTATTTAGACCTAATTTATGTTTGAAAATATATGTTTAATCATAACACAGTAATGTTTGACAACACTAGTTTATTGTTGTATTTTATCATTGAATGTGTATAACACTTAACCTTTTCGGATAATAATTGTTATTATCAAGTGTTAGAGCGGGTATCAAATCTTTCATGTACAAAATGGTTATCGAGGTAACAACTATACATGTTCAGAAGATTGTTGTATCTGTTTATACAGTTGAACTGCGGACAACAACTACTTCTACTATTCCTACTACAACTACTCCTACTACTACAACTACTACTACTCCTACTACTACTAAAACTACTACTACTCCTACTACTAAAACTACTACTACTCCTACTACTACAACAACTACTACTACTACAACTACTCCTACTCATACTAGTACACCTACGCCTACAACTACAACTACTCCTACTACTACAACTACTCCTACTACTAAAACTACTACTACTCCTACAACTACAACTACTCCTACTACTACAACTACTCCTACTACTACAACTACTACTACTCCTACTACAACTACTACTACCACTACAACTACTACTACTCCTCCTACTACAACTACTACTACTAACCCATCAGAAGATTCAACTAGATACCCAAAAACAACACAATCTTCATCGGAAGTGCCAACGACTTCGCCAAAAACGACCCCGTCAACATCAAAACCGCTACCGATTGCGGCTATTGGTGGGGCCAATGCCGGGTTTGCAGTCTTGATCATTGTCATAATTGTCCTAGTTTGTGTTATCGTTAAAAGGTATATAGTTTTGAAAATCATGTTGCAAGTCCCACTGAGACATTTGTTTTGCTTTAAAATGATGATAAACGTTCTTTAAAAAGTTCAAATTAGGTCTGATATGTTTTAGTTTAATTGGTCATATAACCAGCTTCTTAATCCATTTTTGGTAAGGAGATGAATTAAAGAATTACAACGTTTTCTATAGTAAAGTCAGGAGTGTAAATGATTCATTTAAAGGATGAACGTAATATATGTATCATTGTTATTTCTACGTTGTAGCTTTTTTGTCACTCATTGCCATTTTATTTAAACAGAATTAAAACTCTTGACTTTGACATATATCATTTAAACAGGCGCAACAATAATGGAAACAAAGGCGGTGACAGTGTGAGTTATAATCATTTTGCTTCTGACATAGCCTTTTTGACACCGCCTGCTGATAGCCCAAACAGACCTGATTCAACTTATGATGTTATAGGCGGCTTTGATGAGCTGGAAAACAAGAAAGTAAGTAAATCTACGTTATAAGTGATCTAATTTCTTAAAGAGATAAAAATAAATTTAGCTTTAATACACTCTAAAATAAGTATTCACTCAAGTCATCTCAAAGCTCAGCTGTATCGTTTTTCATTTGCTATTTATAGCCTTTCAAAATAGATACCTAAGACACTGATAAAAATCTAAGTTTAAATAACTGGACGTTTGACGTACATTTTGTCAGTTTTTGACAAATGTTTTACTGAATGATGATCAATTTTATTTTAGAATCAAGAGAGTGAATACACGAATGTGTATGAGCAGTTAAGCTTCAAGAGGAAAGACGTTCCAACAAGCGAGTTTAGACCATCAGCATTTCCAAACGTCTATGAAGACATGCATGAGTCTACAATGATTACAAGTGGTGTACTGCAAGATGATTACTTGCAGCCATCTCATGTAAATCCAAGTTTCTCCTCCGATGATGCCGACTTCAATAACCCTGTTTATTTAGATGAATAGAAGTGTCACAAACCCAAAACTCCAATTTTCTAACATCAACAGATCTACAACAAGCTAAGCAAATAATAAACACAGGAATCGCGAGTTTTGAGCCCTAGTTCGAGTGAAAATGATATTTTTTATAACTTGTTTTTGTCATAGGTCTCTCCAGGTCAAGGGACAATTGAAAACATTGTGTATACACGGTATTAAATTTGCCTGAAGTCAGTGACGTAATTGTTTGAATAATCTTGATACTTAATCGGATTAAATCATGTTGAAGCGAATAGTAAATATTTTAACAACTGTATAATTTAACCAGTTAACAAGGTGATGTTTTGTTAGAGAACTTTTTTATTCTTTCACCATATGAACTTGTGTTAGTTAATTAGGAGAATCAGATACAGATATTGCTTAAGCTTTGTTCTTCAGTAATACCCTTAATGGTATGAAAAGAACATTTCACTTCAGTAATTATGTATACATTTTGTACATTTGTTGATTAAAAAGCCCTTACATTATTGATAGCAAAGAGGGTTGATGTAAAAATAGTTAGCACTATGTATTGTATATTAAGATGTATGTATGAATTATACCAAACACACGCGTTGGTTATTTTACCAATCTATACACATGATTTTTTAACCTTTGTTTATTTTTGTATTTTAATGTTTTATTGCCATTTCAAATAAGTTGAAAGATCAATGTTTAAATCAATAGATGACTTTTTTCTCTATGTAGCGATATTTTTTATTCAATTATATTATAATACGAGTGTAACAATTAACCTTCTTATCAAAGCAATTATATATGGCACAAATGATAAGTTAGAAGGATGGTAACTTTTACGATCGGATCTACTAGTCTAATATTCCGATCGTGTCTCATTTTACTAGTCTGAGATTCCATTCTGTTTATCCAATTAAAGGTACATAATGCCTCAGAAACAAATAAATTTTATCTTCTTTTGAAAGGACAAACATGAATCTTGTTACCTGAAGATAAATGTGAAATAACTTGTCATAAATGTATCAAAGTGAAAACAAAATAGTTCTTGACTTCAATACAAAATACTCATTCAGTTAAATTATATATATTGTCAAAAAGCAACATGTAAAAATAATTGTTCGGGTGATTGGCCAATGAGTAACTACTATTGACACTGTAAAAGTACAAGAACATTAAAAAGCTTTGAGACATAAACATAAAGAATTTTTTGAGGTAAGATGGACCTTTAAGAAATGAATGTTATTATTGAGCATGAGATTTATTTTGAACAATTTATGGTTTATCTTAAGTGACATGTCGTTTGAACTATTCGGAGATTTTTTGTAATATAACGGGATCTTTTTAGTAACATAATTTTTAGAATTTTGTATATAATTTTTAAGACTATATTCAAATGTTTGAAATGATGTGTCTTTTTGTAATATAAAGTGATCTTCTTAGTAAGATATTTTTAGAGTTTTGTATAATTTTAATGTGTATGATCCAAGACTATATATTCAAATTTTGAGATGTTAATATATATGTTGTATTTGTACATGTACATGCGTCGCCTTTGTGAACTTCATGGAACAAGAATGTGGTGTATTTATAATGCTAATAAAACGACTGTAATCGTAAGATTGTTGTTTTTCTATATAATATTTTTGATAATTTCTCCTTTGCATTCACTGATCATTTATATTAGGAATGGAATGTATATTCTTCCGTAAATAAATGCTGCAAAAAGAAAAATAGAAAAAATGAAAAATGCTTAAATTGACTGTAATACAAATGAGGATAACGCTTAGTAGAACAATAGTTTATTGTCAAGGAAATTATACTAAAATGTGTGCACTCAATTTGAAAGAAGGAACAAAGTTCTTAATGGGCTGCTATAAACTCAAGATGTACCCTTTAATAACCAGATACCTTAACATCGGATTTATAGCTCGAAAATAATTCAAATATATTCCGTATATCTTCAACAATTTGACAATATCTTCTTGTTAAATCATATTATTATAAACAGATTGAATCAATTTAAATGGGACTGTGACCTTGTTGTTAAGGTGTTCGTCACTCAAGATACGGATCATGGCTTTTAGTCATAACCATATTTTCTCAAATACGTTGACACCAGTTTTGAGAACTTCAAGCTTTTATCATAATCAAGCTGAAAATAGGGTTAATCTAAACCTCATAATTCTCCTTTTTTCAAGAGATGTCCAATGATTGCTAAAATGAACTGAAAACGTTTATTACAACATACTTGCACGTAAACCCAAGAAATCATCATGTTATTTAAATTGATGAAAATCTAAAATTCATAAATGATGATAAAAATCCGTAATAGAAGACTGTCTTGAATGAAAATATACATCTAAAGCATTGAGCGAAATTGTAAATTTTGACTGTGTACTGAAATGTCAAGTCAGAAACTTACATTACTCCTGAATACTATGAGACATGAAACACACACCATTGAGAACGGAGAATTCACAATGTTGCAGGATTAATCATTTTAAAGATTCATCATCTGAAAAACCTTTTTTTGAAAATTTATCAGTTTAAACTAAACTATAATTACTTATTTTTAAAAAGCTATCGTTTACCAAAAAGAAGTTTTCTGTTTGATACTTTTGGCAAAGGGATATGCGCATCTCAATTGCAAATTTTATGCATACCATTTTTTTTCAAAATAAAAATACATTTTCTTTCTATATTAAGCTTTTTGTATCTTCCGTCATTGAACACAAAGATTAAACAAGCCAATAAGGCAGTGGGACATTCACAGACAATCTAGTCACGTAAAGCATGTCAATAACTATTAAAACTTGTAAAACGTTACCAATATTTCAAATTAATATGGCATCATGAAAAAGCTAACCAATCTATTATATCCCGGTGTAATTTGACTTATATTTCATTTTAGATATTACTTTTATTTTGTTGTTGTTTTTATTGAAAAGTATAAAATTGTTATCATACAATTGTTTCAGCAAAAAATCCTCAGGTGAGCAGATCTTCTTAAATTCAATCCGCATTGTCTAATGTAGTGTTCAGTAGATGACATTTATTATCTATATTTTAATATTCAGTTTTGCGCGGAAATTATCATCATCTGACCCATTGAAAATACCTTCTTATAATTTTACCAAACATACTATGAACACATCTACCTCTACTCACGTTTAAACAATAATTTAACAGTAAGTAGTAATATAAACTAAAAGCTATATTAAGTTTTGTATTATCCCTTTTCCTTTTTATCTAACAGTGAATTATTTACCTAAAGGATGCAATAACATTTTTTTTATTAATTGACAGCTTAAGAGCCGGCAGAATTTTCAATTTTGTCGTTTCGGGCGTTCTATAAAGATTCTGTTTTTCTTTATTATATATTATACATTATATATTACAATTATTGCTGATAGTATCTTGTGTTTGCCACACTTATACTTATATATGTCTTCAAGAGTACTTTCGCCAGTGGAGACAAGTGTAATTATCAGACTGTTACGAAGCTTTATAGAGACTTTGTTTGGTGATGACACGAAGTAAGATTTATCTCATTGTAATTTTAACTACATGTATCAATCGCTTCCTACTTAGTTTTGCTTAAATCACGTTTAAATATTCTTTTTTGGAGGGCGGTAACAGAGGCAGTATTGTGTAATAAATTGTTTACAAATATTTAGACGATGGAGACGCACTTTCACTGTGTAATTGTATGATGTTTTACTTATGCTGTGAGTAGTACACAACTAAGTTGTTATGTATGTTTTTAAATAATTATTACTTTTTTTACAATTTGACAAGTGAACAATAGGAGTTATTTCTTTCTATTACATGTTTCTAATACCTGTTAATTACTAAAACGTGAAAGTGAATAATGTCTTCATAATCTCACTTTATAATTGTCTTATTATAGTAGCCGTACTATTTTTGAATGCGAAAGAAGACTTTTATTACCAGATGAATGGAAAGCTCCGTCGGTTCAGTAAATCTCATTTTTAATCTGAAGCATGCTAATTCAAATGTTTTTATTTATACATTTGTGTATAACTATATATGCATACATTAAAATGTAAATGTATAGTTTGGAGAGTATACTAGGGTATATATGTAATATGATATTGTATCATAGTTTAGAGACTTTACTATTGAAAATGTGTCAAATCGTATACTCACTGTCTTGGAGTTAAATGGTATACCGGTACTTACTGTCTGTCTAGAGCATGCTCGTTGATTGGCTCATTTTTTCTGGGGTTTACTTATTGTGATGACAGGGAAAGAAGCAATGATAAAAAGTCATATTCAGATGCTCGTACACTGGTTAGTTTTTTATCTTGGGTTAATATGGTGACAACAGGGAACGTGTTTTTATTTTTGCCTATGATACAATAGAGAAAGAACATCAAAACCATCGTACAGGTGATTAAATATTATTGTTATACCGAAAAAAGTGCTATATATTTGCTGCACGGCTATTGGTGATAGGTAGTGAACACATGATGTTAATTCCTGGGACCAATTTTATTCAGTTTTATATTTTAGACAGATACACCATAACTGCATGTGAAACTGGCTATTTGGGAGATAACTGCGAGACAAAATGTGAGACAAATTGTGATGGTTCATGTGACCGGTTCAGTGGTGTCCGATGTCGCGAAGGATTTCCAGATAATTGTTGTAATGACACTTGCAGTGTTTATTGCAACAGCAACTGTTATAAGGATGGAAATTGTACTCCTTGTAAATACGGCATGTGGGGTTCTCTTTGGAATAAAATGTGCGAGGCACACAGTGTTGATTGTGGCAGAAATAGTGGACAGTACAGTAGTTGTCAAACCGGGCTATGGGTGACTTTTGCAATATGACTTGTGATTTTACTTGAAATAGTTGTGCTAAATGTAACGGATATTTCTTTTCTTTTAGACACAATCTTTGGGGTCCTACTTGCAGTAAATCTTGTAATTCCCAGTGTCCGAGATGCGACAGAGTCATTGGGCGGTATCTTTTTATTACCGTCCATGAACAGGCTACATCAAACCGAGGCTGAAACATTTTCAATTTTGTCTTGTTTTGGATTTCTTTAGGGATTCTGTATTTCTCTCTATTCTATATTTTCAGGACATTGCAAGTCATGGTTATTTAGGAACCTATTGCAATAAAACATGCCGCAAAAAAATGTCATTGTTGTGATATAAGAAGTGGTGCATGTAGCATATGTATAATAAGTTTTTTGGTATTTTGTGTGAAAATAAATGTAATAGAAGTTGTTTTCCATATGCATGCGACAAAGTTTGAGGGGAATGCATAAGTTGTTTATTAGGCAAATGTTAAATTAAACCGATCTGTTCATTACAATGTTATGTCACAATAAGATTGTAGGTTTGCAGGAACATATTTGAGGTATTTTCGAGTTATAAATCAGATGTAAAGTTATTTAGTTATTTACTGCTATATCTTGAATTTATATCAGCCAGATAACAGCTCAATACGATCTTTAAAATTGTGTACACACATTTGAACAACAAAAAAAACCAAAAAAACAATCGATCTACTCAGCATTATCATTTTTGTATTAAATTGGCAATTCATCAGTCATGTACGGGCGAATATACAATATATAAATGATTTGAAAACAAAAAGGAGAAATTATTAATATCATTACAGAGAAACAACAATTGAACGGTTAAATTCGATTTTATTAGTATTATAAATACCCAGGTTGTTTTGTTACATAAAATCCATAAAGGCAACCAATGTACATGCGCAAATACAACATTTTTACATCTCAAACAATTGAATATTATCTTGGATATATTATATATTATACTAATTTGATTATATAAAAAAATCAGAAAATGTGTTACCAAGAAGATCCCTATATTTAAAAAAGACACACTACATTTGTTTCCGAAAAGTTCAAATGATATGTCAGTTCAGTTATAAGATAAATCATAAACGATGCATCTTACATTTTTCAAAATGAATCTCATGATCAAACACATGATGAAAAATACCATTAGTTTGTCTCAGAAATGCTTGTATATTTTTTCCCAAAAGTTTTTTTAAATTCTGTTGTACTTTTACTGTAAAAAGGAAGTTACTTATTGTCCAATTACCTTAATCATCTTTTTCATCTGTTGCTTTTTGACAACAAGTGTAATTATAGGGAAGTAGTATTTTGTATGGAAGTCAAAAATACATTGCTTATATTTTGATACATTTATGACTTTATAAAGTTATTTTACATTAATCGATATGTTCTTCAGGTGACAAGATTCGTGATGGTCCTTCAAAATCAGATACAATTTATTTGTTCCTGAGGTAGTATGTACCTTTAATTTGAGGAACAAAACGGAATATCAGCCTAGTTAAATATGACCCGATCGTTAAAGGTAACAATCCTTTTAACATCCTTTCAATCATTTTCTATAATTGCATTGATAAGGTGGTATATTGTTACACTCGTATCATAATATAATTGAAAACAACACAAATATTATAACATAGAGAACACAATCTTGGCTATATAGCATTTGGAACTGCAGATGGTCTGAACTGGCTTGGAACGTCCTTCCTCTTGAAGTTTAACTGCTCATACTCATTCTGTTTCTTACTCAAGCTCATGTATTCACTTATTGATTTAATCATTGATCTTACATGTTTTTTGTTTGAAAGCTTAATAAAATATACTATACATAGTTCTAATTATGTTTACATTCTTCCTCTCTGCTATCGTTGATGAAAGGGCTTTTACGTTAAAAATGTCAATAAAAAGTATATAAAATGTCTGCAGTCAAGTGTTATGTTCTTACCATTATGGGTATTACTGGAGAATAAAGCAAAATCTGTATCTTATTTCCTAGTAAGTTAACACATGTTAATAGATTTATAGTAAGGGAATGTAAAAAACAATAAAAAAAAACATTCCCTTGCTTTTATAACTGTTAGTAGTATCTTTATTTTAACATATTAACTATCCGCTTCAACATGATTTAATCCAATTTAGTACTTTGAAGATATCCTCAAGACGATTCAAACAATTACTTCACTGATTTCAGGCAATTTAATACGTGTAATATTCCAGTGTATACACATTATTTGCACATTTGCACTTGTACCTAGAACTTAAGAGGCTAATCAATTAACATATATAACATGTAACAAAAAAGCTATGAACAAATATCTTTTTCACTTGCACTGAGGCTCATAACTTATGATTTCAGGTTTTATTATTTGCTTAGCTTGATGTAGATCTATTGAAGGTCTGGGTTTGTAATACTTCTATCAGATTCATCTAAATAAACTGGGTTGTTGAAGTCAGTTTCATCGGAGGAGAAACATGGATTTAAATAAGATGGCTGCAAGTAATCATCTTGCGGTTCATCTGTAATCATTGTTAATTCATTCATGTCTTCATAAACGTTTGGGACTGCAGGTGGTCTAAACTGGCTTGTTGGAACTTCGTTCCTCGTGAAGCTTAGCTGTTCATACTCATTCTGTGTCTCACTCAAGCCCATGTTATCACTCTCTTGATTCTTAAAAATAAAATTGATCATCATTCATTAAAAATTTGTTAAAAATGACGGAATGTACTTCAAACGTCCTACCATTTAAACGTATCTATGTTCATCCGTGTCTAAGGTATCTATTTAAAAAAAATGTAAACAGTAAATGAAAAACGAAACATCTGAACTTGAAGACGATTTGAGTGAGTGTTGTTGCTTATTTGGTATTAAAAATAAGTTTGTGTTTTTGTGAATTTAAGAAATAAAACCATTTGAGCAGCGTCACGATAAAACCAACATAGTGCGTTTGCGACCAGCATAGATCCAGACCAGCCAGCGCATCCGCGCAGTCTGATCAGGATCCATGCTGTTTGCTTACCAACTCTATTACAAGTAGAGAAACTGATAGCGAGTAGCATTGATACTGATCAGACTGCGCAGATGCGCAGGCTGGTCTGGATCCATGCTGATCGCAAACCCACTATGTTGGTTTTGTCGTGACATGGCTCATTTATAACATACTAACTTCCTTATTATCCGGCTCATCAAAGCTGCCTATAACATCATAAGTTGAATCGGGTCTACTTGGGCTGTCAGAAGGAAAATGATCATAGTTCACACTGTCACCGCCTTTGTTTCCATTATTGTTGCGCCTGTTTAAATGATATATGTCAAAGTCAAGAGATTTAATTCTGTTAACAAAAATGGTAATGAGTGACAGAAAAAGCTACAACGTAAAAACAATGATGACACTACGCGCATACTTTAACTTTAAATTATTTACACACCTCATCCTTACTTTAGAATACGTTGTTATTCTTTAAATCATTTCCTTACAAAAAGGAATAAGTAGCTGGGTGTATGATCAATTAAACAAAGGCATATCAGACTTGATTTGAACTTTTAAAGAAATTCATGCATACTTATTAAACTGAATATATGTCTCGGTGGCATTTGCAACATAATATTCAAAGAACTATTTACCTTTTAAGGATAACACAAACAAGGACAATTATGACAATGATCAGGACTGCAAACCCGGCACTGCCCCCACAAATAGCCGCATCCGGTAGCGTTTTCGGACTTGGTGTTGACGGGGTCGCTTTTGGCAAAATTATTGGTCCCATTAAATTTGTCGAAGTCAGTGGCACTTCAGAAGCAGATGACGTTGCTTTTTGATAACTAGTTGAAAGTACTGATGGTGTACTAGAAGAAGTTATTATACTAGAAGTAGTTGTAGTAGTAGGAGCAGTAGCTGTAGTAGTAGGTGTAGTTGTAGTAGTAGGTGTAGTTGTAGTAGTAGGTGTAGTTGTTGTAGTAGTAGGAGTAGTTGTTGTAGAAGGTGTAGTTGTAGTAGTAGGTAAAGTTGTAGTAGTAGGTGTAGTTGTAGTAGTAGATGTAGTTGTAGTAGTAGGTGTAGTTGTAGTAGTAGCTGTAGTAGTTGCTGTAGTAGGAGTAGTTCTAGTAGTAGATGTAGTTGTAGTAGTAGGTGTAGTTGTAGTAGTAGGTATAGTTGTAGTAGTAGGTGTAGTTGTAGTAGTAGGTGTAGTTGTAGTAGTAGTAGGTGTGGTAGTTGTAGTAGTTGGAGTAGAAGGAGTAGTTGTAGTAGAAGAAGTAGTTGTTGTAGTAGGTGTAGTTGTAGTAGTAGCAGTAGTTGTAGTAGTAGGTGTAGTTGTAGTAGTAGGTGTAGTTGTAGTAGAAGGTGTAGTTGTAGTAGTAGGTGAAGTTGTTGTAGAAGGTGTAGTCGTAGTAGTAGGTGTATTAGTTGAAGTATTAGGTGTAGTTGAAGTAGTAGGTGTAGTAGTTGTAGTAGTAGGAGTAGTTGTAGTAGTAGGTGTAGTTGTAGTAGTAGGTGTAGTAGTTGAAGTAGTAGGTGTAGTAGTTGTAGTAGTAGGTGTAGTTGTAGTAGTAGGTGTAGTTGTAGTAGTAGGTGTAGTAGTTGTAGTAGGTGTAGTTGTAGTAGTAGGTGTAGTTGTAGTAGTAGGTGTAGTAGTTGTAGTAGTAGGTGTAGTTGTAGTAGTAGGTGTAGTTGTAGAAGTAGGTGTAGTTGTAGTAGTAGGTGTAGTAGTTGTAGTTGAAGTAGAAGTTGTAGTTGTTGTAGTAGTAGTAGTTGTGGTAGTAGGAGTAGTTGAAGGAGTAGTTGTAGTAGTAGGACCAGTAGTAGTAGTTATTCTTGTTGTCAGCAGTTCAACTGTAAAAATAGATACAACACAATCTTTTTATCAATTCTAAACATGTGTCTTTGTTAATTCAATAACCATTTTTACATAAGAAATTGACATACTCTTAAATACTTGATTCTAACAATTATAATCCGAAAGAATTAAGTGCTATAATATTCAAATGATAAGTGTATTAAATTGCCTGATAAACAATAAACTAATGATCTGAACCATTGCTGTGTTATAAATTAAACATGTATTTTCAAAAATAAATGAAGTACTTCACAATGATATAACCTTTTCTGGTCATTCTGGATCATTGATTCAAGCACTTTTAAGTGTTGAAAATTGAGTACCGCTCAAGCTGGTGCTAGGGGACGTGAAGGAAGTTGCTCTTTTTCATTATCCCCAATGAACATACTCAATCAAACCAAGCAATTTTCATGTAATTTTGTTTTGATTAGCCCAGTACAGTAGTCCTCGGACAAGTGTGATACAAATGTCACGGTTAAAAAATATAAAGGAGCACATGATATGGAACTTACCTTTTTAGAATAAACACAAGGTTATCCCGTAACTATTGAAACAAGAAAAAACCGATTCAATAGATATGTCCGTTTTATAATTACACTTATATACAAGTTAACTTACAGCAAACTATTTAAGTCCTAAGTGATGTAGTTCTCGTACACCCGGCTTTGATCTCATTAAACTGCATATTTTTTTCTTAACTAAAACCAATCCATATTTACCTAAACTGATTACAAATTCAAATAGTTTGTGCATCATTTACTTTCTATTTTTTGGTATTAGGACAACAAAAACAAAGTACTGAATAGTTATACTCTAAAACTTACAGTACAAAATGCTATTTTGTTCCTTTCTTTGGAAATGCTTAACAAGACAACAGGTTAGTAAATAGTGTAACTACATGAATGCGAGGGGTTATGAAAATATTCGTGGTCTTTTAAAGGTCAAAGTGCATTGTAATGAAATTCTATCAGCATACCTTGTAGAATATCATCAACATCTTTGAAATAAATAATGATTTATATTATTGTTTTATTTTATTAACCTGTCAATTGCATACTGATTATGCCTTCAATGCACACAATATATTAATCTTCGATAAATGTTCGGTAAATTTCGTGAGATGTGAGTAGTAAGATGTGATTAAATTCAAATTTTCAAAAAATAAATACATGTAATAGAAAGAGCACCGAAATACGAGGCTATCTGATTTGTACGAGGGGGCGTAGCCCCCGAGTATAAATCAGATTGCCGAGTTTTTTGGTGTTCTTTCTCTTTTGTATTATAGTCAAACATGACAGCACGTTCCCTGTTGTCATAATACGAAACCCCAGAAAAAATGAACCAATGAACGAGCATTTGAATATGATATTTCTGCCCCTTTCCCTTTCTCTGCCGTCACAATATGTAAACCCCAGCAAAAATGAACCAATCAACGGGCATTATCTGGAGTGCGGGTAACTGATACCTGCACTCCAGTTACCGCACTGTGCATGTATATGTATACGATTTAACTCTGACACTTTTTCAACAGAAAGGTCCCTAAACTATGATACAATTACAGTTATAGCGCAATGTTTGGGTAAGCTGCAGTTTTATAATTTCTAAATGTCCTACGTGTTGTTAGATCGAGACCGCATGAGTCAATATATTTTTCTTATTCATAACTATTTTCAACATTATTGAAGCTATAATGTTTTATGTTGTCTTTTTTGTATTATAATATGTTTTGCACTTATTTTGGTAAAGACCATTCGTTTTTAAAATAACATAGTTTAAGACTTAATATTTAAAATTCATTCGGATTAAAGTCAATAAATGTCATTTCAGTGCCGTAAAATACAATACAAAACGAGACAAATCAGTGTTTCTAAATTGTTTTATATCCGTAAATAGTTTGCAAGCACTTGTCCATCTTCATTAAAATAAACTTAACATATACATTACACTAGTGTGAATTTCCATACATTAGTTATAAATACTCCATATTAATTCTCGTAAACTATACGGACAAAATCGAATATTTAATAAGTGCTATAATGTATTCATAATTGACAGGTCAATAAAATCAGAATATACCGATATTATTTACAACGGGAAAATGACGGACACGCATAAAGACGGACACGATCATGAAGTTTTGATGTAATTTGGGAATGATACCGACAAATACATTTGAAAATAATCAGCAGGCGAACAGAGAAAATAACATTTCACGATCATTAGTGTTGAAGTGGCATAAGAGATTAAGTGATGGGCTGAAAAGCATAAAGGACGATAAAAGATGCCGACAAAATACAATAATCAACGCGCACAGGATTGACGACGTCAAAATGTGCCTTGATACAGATATGAGCCAACTATAGCAGGAATTATGGAGAGCGGGCCGTATGATTAACCAATTTCTGCTACATCATGATAATGCACAAACCCTTACGGCCCATGCGGCCGTGGATACCAGACTTGAGTTTTCACGATGTATGTAAAGTGTGTGCCACATCCCACATATTTACCGGACCTAGCACTAATGGACGTTGCAGTATTTCCAGAGTTAACATTTACACTTAATTTAAGATAATTAACAAAAATCAACTTAAACTCTGTTTTAAGTTAATAATACAAGACTAAAACAAATGAATAATAAAAAACAAACACCATTTTTGTTAACATTTATTAATAAATGATAAATGTATTCGTTACATGCTAATTGCAGGACAACTGCGTGGTCGCCGGTTCCAGACAATTGCCGATCTACTGAAGGCTACACAGCGTATTCTGTGTCAGTTACATGACCAATGGTTTTGGACTATGAACCAGCGTTTGATTCATCGTCAAGAACGATGTGTGCAGGCCGAGTACATTACTTTGAGAATCAGTAATGGTCATTGTGTGACGTTGAAGCAAAAGCTTTTCGTTATTATGACGTTGATGTCAATAACCTTTTGGGGTGCGCCGCTGTTGCCGACATGTGTTTATGTAAAATTAGATATTGTTGTTATATAAGAAGCTAATTACTTTTTCTGTGTTTATTGTTTATTAATTCTTCTAAGCAGAGAAAAAATTTCAAATCAATATCTCAAATATATTTTACGCAACAAAGAAAATCTACGATTTTTTGGATAACCACTCGTACAGTTGTTAAAGAAAATAAATATTGTGAATAGTGGAACAAAGTTTTTACATTTAATATTTCTGTCAATAAATAAAAAAAATCAAGTAACTGTGTTTGATTTTATTGTTTTGTTCTGTTGTTTTTTATTACGAACTATAATTACTGACACATTTTACACTAATCCTTTGTAACCAAACTCAAGTCTGTCTCGAGTTTGCTGACTCCTTAGTAAACACTCATTGTGGAACCACCTTTCATTTATAATGTTGTCACATCCTACCCAATAGCCCCTGTTCCTTAATTTGTATATTGCATATTCAATTCCGTCGTTAGTATTGTCAGAATCAGAGCTTGTCCCCATATGTATTTCAGCTGTTGTTGTAGGATGCCGAGGCACTATGAGATTCAGGTGAATTCAGGTCTGCAACTGTGATCCACCTTATATCTTGCACCTTCAGTTCTTTTTCTTTTTTGTTATGGTTTGACAAGGTTCAGCAACGATATGTGCTACATCTGCAGGTACAAAACCTAATTTATGAAGACGATTTGTAACAGAATGTCCTCCACATTCCCGACAATATTCATCTTTTTCCAATAAACCTTCACCACTGTTAGAAATGTTCATTGCAAGTTCAATAGGGTTTGGCACCTGATTTGATGTTCATAACCTCAGATACTCTTTCAAAATTCCATTTTATTTAGTTCCGCTCATTGTTTTCTCGTTTAGGACACACGCATTCTTTTACTAGGGGACCATACGCCGCTTTTCATAGAATGACACTACTACTGTGTCACATTAAAGGTTTCATGATAACCGCCGTATGAACACATCTGTGGATGTTTCTAAATTCAAAATTTCACCATTTTTGTGTTTTAATGTTGAATTCTGCTTAAGCCGGTGCTAGGGGGCGTGGACGGTAACTTGCACTTTCCAGTACCGTCCATGAACAGGCTCAATCAAACCGAGCAACCTTTTCAATTTTGCCGTGTTGGGCTTTCTTCAGGGATTCTGTTTTTCTCTATTTTAATGGGAACATGCAAGTCTTGTGAAATGTCGACATGATATCATGAGTTGAAATGCGGTTGATCCCATGATAAAGAATACTTGGAAATTGATCTCTTGTCACTGCACGGCCCCAGCATAGCCAATTCTATCATATTATGTTTCAAAAGATGAACGAATCCTTTATCCAGATGTTGTAGTAGCGAGTAGAATGATGAGGCAAAAGCAAAAGTTCAACTCTTTTATAAAAGGCAAGATCTACCAATTCTGGGCAAAGTGTGGTGCATGATTGTCCATAGTTAGTAGAACTGGACGTTGCAGCCCACATTCTGGTACACATATGTCGCGGAACCTGTTGAAGAAAAATTTCATATTTATTTTACTATTCTTTGAAGAAAGATTTCATGTTTATGTAACCATTTATTATTTTGGGAACAAATTCACAATTACGTGGCGAAGTCATGAAGATTTTTTCATGTAATAGCTTTATTAAAAAGATTATATTATTCAATAATTCCATCATTTGTTTCATGTGTTCTATCTCTGTCTTAAACATCAGGGTGCTTTCTTGAAAAGTCCGGATGTCTTCTTAGAAATATTCTTATCCATTTATAGGATGAGTTATCTAGCATGTTAGTTTCAGTATCTCTGCCCTTGTAAAAGAAGCTCTAATCATACTCCTAGTCAACGGATTACCTCTGTCAGACATATACAAAGAATAACTAACTAGGTTTTCATTTTACTTTAAGTCTAAATAGACCAATCTGTGTGATTTTGTTTTTGTATTTGCTTTTTGAATGGCCATTTAAAATTTACTTTGGGATACTAGTTGATTTTGAAACATTTGAAATTGAGGATCCATTTCTAATTTGTCTAATGACGTTAGTAAATTTGTCTTCAGTGTATTTTTTTGGCATCATGTCTTCAATGGACAGTAATGATCTGTCAAATGATAAACAAATATCTCTAGGTAAGAAATTTCATTTTAATTGTAATATTATAAAATGAATAATCTTTATTTAACGGTAAAAAATCAAGGATATTTACTTTTATGATTATATTATTTTACCTTCTAATAAAAATTGTATAAATATTTAAATTAGAATAAAAATTTACCTATTGTTCATTTTCATGTGATGTACGAATATCAAGCCAGCAATGTTCTTTATTTACTTTTTACGATCTCGTGAAAAACCGGTGTTTGTGTTCATAACGAATAAACACAAAGAAATAGGAACTGTCAACAGCCATACATAGTTTATTTCTCAAATATTAATGTATGACATAATAAACGGTGTTTATGATGTAATCGTTCGAGGACTACTGCACTTACGAAGACTACTGTACTGAGGCCAATATTTCCGAGGGATCACCCTTCTTCCAGATTTTTATAAATTTTCTATTTACAAACATAACAAAACAAGAACCGGTTGAATCGGGTGAAGGTTTTGGACACAGGAAAGTATAAAAAATTGAACAAAGGGCTAAAACCCCAAAATTAGGCAAAGCGGAGTTATGCTTTTTTGCACTGCACTTCTATTCAATGAGATCTATCTATCTATAAAGTTTCCTGATGATATCTCTTATAGTTTCAGAGATATGTCCCAGGTAAAATCAAAAGTGTAAAAATGAACAAAGGGCAATAACTCCAAATTTAGAAAAGGCTTTGTTTAGGTTCTTTAAGCATTGCAGTTCTATCCAATGATATCTTTCTACCTACAAAGTTTCATATTGGTATCTCTTATAGTATTAGAGTTATGTCCTGGACAAAAGTCAAAAAGTAAAAATAAACAAAGGGCAATAACTTCAAAATAAGGCAAGGCAGAGTTATGATTCTTAAGCACTGCACTTCTTCCCAATGAGACCTATCTATCTACAAAGTTTCATGTTGATATCTCTTATAATTTTAGAGTAATATCCAGGACAAAGTTCAAAGTGTCAAAATGAACAAAGGGCAATTACTCCAAAATTAGGCAAGACAGAGTTATTGTTCTTATGCACTGCAAATCTACTTAATAAGATCTATCTACCTACAAAGTTTCATGTTGATAACTCTTATAGTTTTAGAGTTATGTCCTAGACAAAATTCAAAGTGTAAAAATAAACAAAGGGCAATAATTCAAAATTTAGTCATGGCAGAGTTACGATTCTTTTGCACTGCACACCTACTTAATAAGATATTTCTACCTACAAAGTTTCATGTTGATACCTCTTATAGTTTTAGATTTATGTTCCGGACAAAGTTCAAAGTGTAAAAATAAACAAAGGGGAATTATTCAAAAATTAGGCAAGGCAGAGTTACGGTTCTTGTGCACTGCACACCAACTCAACGAGATCTATATATCTACAAAGTTTCATGTTGATACCTCCTACAAAGTTTCATGTTGGTATCTCTTATAGTTTTAGAGTTATGTCCCGGACAAAAGTCAAAACGCAAAAGTAAACAACGGGCAATAACTTCAAAATAAAGCAAGGCAGAGTTATGATTCTTTAGCACTGCACTTCTACCCAATGAGACCTATCTATCTACAAAGTTTCATTTTGATATCTTTTATAATTTTACAGTAATGTCCCGGACAAAATTCAAAGTGTAAAAATAAACAAAGGGCAATAATTCAAAAATTAGGCAAGGCAGAGTAATGGTTCTTGTGCACTGCACATTCACTTAAGGAGATCTTTCTACCTACAAAGTTTCACAGTTACGGTTTTTGTGCACTGCACACCTACTCAATGAGAACTATCTACCTACAAAGTTTCATTTGATACCTCTAACTTATAGTTTTAGATTTATGTTCCGGACAAAGTTCAAAGTGTAAAAATAAACAAAGGGAAAATATCAAAAATAAGGCAAGGCAGAGTTACGGTTTTTGTGCACTGCACATCTACTCAATGAGATCTTTCTACCTACAAAGTTTCATGATGATAACCCTTATAGTTTTAAAGTTATGTCCCGGACAAAGTTCAAAGTGTAAAAATAAACAAAGGGGAATAATTCAAACATAAGGCAAGGCAGAGTTACGGTTCTTGTGCACTGCACACCTACTCAATGAGATCTACTGCACACCTACTCAATGAGATCTATTTACCTACAAAGTTTCATGTTGATACCTCTTGTTGTTTCAAAGTTATGTCCCAGACAAGAAAAGCGGACGGACGGACAACATGGACAAGGCGGCGACTATATGCTCCCCCGAAAATTTTCGGGGAGCATAAAAATATAGTCTATGTCTATCATTACCTTATACCTAAGAACATCGTAATTTATAGTTAAGCTAAAGAATATTTGTCTTAAAAATCATTATAAGTTCACATTTATTTTAACACTGTTTCTTTGACTTAAATACATCTAGTCATTAATGCGAGCTAAACCTGAAAGAAGCATATTTCAATACTACACGTTTGCTTCAGTAATAAAGCCTACATGCTTTTAGAAATACTATTACCATTTTCACATGTTATGCTATCACTTCTTAGTGCTACGTTGTCTTCGCATGCACACGTGTATCCGGTATTTTTAGAAAGACAAAATGTACTGCAGGGACCACGCCCATTATTCTCAGAGCAGGCTGCTGATTCTGTAAATATTCAAATGTGAACAATCAGTAGACACCCATTAAAGGGCAGTGCGATGAATGTTAAAAATGAGAATTAATAATGTAGTTTATAAATGTTCTTATTGATAACTGACGCTTAATTTTCCCTGAAAAAAAATTCAGAGATAACATTTAATTTATATACATGTATAATATATCTACCAGTTAGAAAAAATGTTTCTTACGTGATTTGTCAAGCATTGAACTATAAAGTGCTAGCGAATCCAATCTTCCTAATTCAGGCCTGTAACCAACTTTAATAACACTTGAAGGGTTTGTCTTGGACAATTTGGAAATATACCTAAATATAAAATGTGCATAGTGTGAACAATGTATGACATATTTGTGGGAAGACTTTGGTATATATTTAACGGTACTCTTATATATACAGAATACCTTACCTTCAATAACAATAACCTTCGTGTAATTGCATGTAACTTGAACGATAAACACAAAATATTACAAGTTAAATCTAAGTGGACGATGTACTAGTGGTAATATTTTAAAAAATCATTTTGTTTTTACTTTCAATTAAAAATAATCTAGAGAATTCTTAAAACCTAATATGTTAAAAAACTGAGGGCAGGACTGATCAATAGGGTTTGTTTATATAAATTGAAACAAATCTGAATATTGCCTGAAGAAAGATGGCTAGGGTAAATATAACTGTATTAAACACAAATGAAAGTCCAGCCCTCAATTTTGTAACATATTGCAGCGTGCCGATTTTTATGACTATCATGGTAGGTAATTCTATTTACAAAATGAACGAATATTGATCTTTAAAAAAAACATGATATTTTGAATACAACTTACGGTCTATTCCAAGCTGTGTAATACATATAATCACCAAGTAATGTTATATCCATAAGATGCGACCCACTGTCTGAAAAATGGTTCGTGCAAACACCATGGTATGAGCATTTGTATATAATGTTTGTTTGACCGTCGGTTATGTACAGTACATTAGCTGAAACAACATATGAGAAGCATTTTTTTAAGCATTTAAGCAAAAAGAATATTACAAAAGAGTTAATAAAATATGACGTTTTATCAATTTACTCAATAAAGTAAGGCAGTTTTATTTCTTATTTAGATATATAAACCTTTGACATACTTTTACCGCCTATCATTTTCATCTTTAATTATATTAATTTGTCATTCAATAGAAAAATAATAACTTGAAAAGTACCAAATTAGATATGATATGATATGAAATGTAATTTAGATTTGTAGGGAGTTATATTGCTAAGGTTGTTTAAACTTGTATTATTTTGTCATTATAATACTAGTTTCCGTCATCTTAATCAATCATACCAATTATTAAACAAACAGTTCATAGAATTATCTTTTGTGTACCATTTGTAACACTCACAGGAATATCAGGGGACAGTGTGGTTCCTATATTTTCAATACACAGTGAACTTTTTATAAATGTATCTTTTGACATTACATGTTTTGTATCGATTCACGTTTGATTTTATTTGTTTGTAAATGTAGTTATTGCAAGCTGTAATACAATTACACAAATGTCTGATAATTGCGTTTAATCATATACTTTAATAAATACTTTTACATAAACAAAAAGTAATGAACCTCTCAATATGCTAAAGTGAGTAAAAACGAATTTATATAACCAATAATGAAACATTAATCTTAAACTAATGAAGATGGAACGAATGTCTTAAGAACCTTTCTCTTGCTATCATCCGGTACCAAGTCGTTAAATTAAATACGTATTACCTGAATTGTTGAAACATTGTGAAACAAACTAAACATGGTTTGTAATAAGTTTTATGACTAGTGAGTCATGTTTCTCTCATGTTAGGTAATGACAATGACATTCTTTTCTATTTTAGTCAGATATTCTGAAAAGAGAAAGGAATCAATATAGCTTTAATAATAGTACAGTGATTTACTATACCTTTTGTATCAATTGCCAGACCATTTGGCCAGACAAGACCGTTGTTAATGATTTGCTTAACGTCTGTACCATCCATGTTTGCTCTTGCTACATAGGGAGGATTATACCCATGGTCCGTCCAAAACATCAGTCTGTCAGGAAAACAACAATATTGATATCACAATATTTGGAATATTATAAGGATGATTTTACCAAAAGTGTTTATGTTGAGTACCGATGATATATATCATAGGATAATAAACAATGTCATACTAGGCAAAATGATATTAAAAGTGTTGTATAGAATGCTTCTGTCAGATAAAGAAATAGTTTAACGAATTATATACAGTCTAACTTGCCTATGCGACCACGTGTATTAAGCGACTTTTGTCTTAAACGACCACTTTAAATTCCCCCCGATCATTTTCCCTCTATATCTTTAATGTATTAAGCGACTTTTGCTCAACGCGACCAGCGACCGCTTATTAGTCGCCTAATTGACATCAATCTTTTCATTAAACGACCACTTTTACCTGTCAAGTAATTGTGTTTTTAGAGAACGCCACCTCGTTATGTCACAAGTGTCAGCAATCAAAACACAACAATAAACGTGTGAAAAACTCTATTTCTCATACCGTTTTAGCGTATGCAAATGAAGTTAAGTATACGCGTGACGTGTATTATCCAATAATATCGGATAAACAATGCAACGCTCCGCCCATACTGAGATGGTGTAAACGCTTCGCTTGTTGACATTTAGACTGCATTGAATTGACCTTGAACTTGATCAGCCATTAAATTAATCGTAACAAATAGATTTAGTTTGTTTATTTCAAATGAAAAAATGCACAACAGAAAACATCTTCACTAATAGGGTTTTCGTGTTGGAGACAAGGAATAACAACGGAGAAGTTAAAAAATTCTGGAAAAAATGTCAAACATGTACGTAATGGATCAAAACAGATTTTGTCAATAAATATCAGAACGTTATTTTCACATTTGCATCCGTTTAAATTATTGGAGCGTACTTATTATTCAACATTTATATAAAAATGAAGTTGAAAAACAATCCCATCGAATAAAAAAGATGTCATTTATAAATTTTGACTTTTATAACATGCTGACTGTCTTAAGAGACCGTTTCATTAAGCGACCGTTTTTGGTGTTTCCCTTGCCTGGTCGCTTAATACACGTTTGACTGTAACTAAGTTTATAGTTACCCTTCTTCTGAATCGAGAACAATATCTCTTGGCTTTGATCCAGCAGTAAGGAGACGTTTGTGAAGACTATTAGTTGATATAACACCAATTCCTACAAATCCTGACAGTGAAGTGGGGTTAGCGGTGTAGTATAAGTTTCCACTCGGGTAGTCGATAGCGAAACGATCTGCATGGCACCCTAGTAACTCTGTAATTATTTATATATGATACCAGTTAATGAATACTACGTAATTCTGAATGAAAATTATAAGACGAAATATACGCAACACAGTAAACGAGAACTAACAAAAACAAAATCAAACAAATAGGAGTAATTTGATGCCACATAGATTCCAATAATGTGCCACACAATGATGATAAAAACAATACTTAATGGTATTGTATCACTCTTCATGAAGTTGAAATGTTTGTGGACCAAAATAGTTTACAAACAATATCAATTTACTATAAAATTAGGCAATATTTAGATTTGATACTTACCTGTATTAAAGAAAACTTTATAATTATGATTTTCAAGACTTAGTTGGTGAATCAATTCGTTGGTACTCCACATCAGCTCCCTTGTAATATAATTATACGCAATAGCGATTGGACTCCCAAAAGTGTCCGTGTCAATAGCTCTGACCTCATCGTTAACTAGGGACACCTGATAGATCGTATTATGTGTCCAGTCAGTAACCACGAGAAAATTGTCTGTCATAGGAGCTGCAAGAGAAGAGACATTTTAATAAAAAGTATAACTAGAAGGGTTCTTTGTCACAAAAACATATGTCTCCGAAAAATGTATGGAACAGCAGTTTAACCTAAGAACACCGGACAAGATTTTTCTATTTATAGCTCTGACGGCCATTTTTTGCAGCAAAGCGGAACATGCTCATGATATGCACAACTATGGATGGTACTGATCACTCCTCTGAAGTTTCATTAAATCCCGTTAGCAGTTTGACCTGTGAAAGACGGACAAAATTTTTTCTACTTTTAGTTCTGGCGGCCATTTTGTGCTGTGGAGCGGAACGTGCTGGAAATATGCACAACTAGGGATGTTACTGATCACTCATTGGAGGTTCATTGAAATCCTACCAGCAGTTTGATCTGCGAAAGCCGGACAAAATAATTAATTTTATTTCTTTGAATCCACTTGTTAAAAGCTGCTAAACATCATTTACAATAAAGTTATAAATGCCTGATTACCTTTTCAATAATGTGCCTATTTGTTAAGAACCAGTTAACTTGTCGTTAGCAATTACAGAGTAGATTCCTGACCATCATTTATATCATACGGTTACACTTTTTTAGAATACAATGAAATGATAAGCTTTTTAGCAGTTCAGAAATTTCTACAGAGATGTAGCTCCATTGGAATGAACTCTATATGAAATCACAAGGAGACTTTGTTATCCATTTTGATCATTTTCTTTTTTTGATCATTACTTTGTTTTGTCATCGACATATTCCCAAAATAAGTATCTTTAAGTTATGAAACTGACACTGTTTTTATTTAAAGCATTTCAAAACAAAAATCCGTGCTTGAATATAACTCATATAAATTTACTTGAGAACATTTCCTCTTTAGCATCTAAGTCAACTGGTACCCGTATTCACACTGACAAATCCTATTTCTGCCAATTGAAATGCAAATCTGTTCACAGTCTCCGTTGAGTATAGCACATGGACCTATATGACAAACATACCAAATCATGAAACGACAAAGAGGTAGAAGCTCATTTTACTATGATATGAGGTTATAACTTCAATTAGGTTTTCTATGATGTTTGATTTATACCATAATAATCACCATCTTCGCAATTATCATCATTATCATCATCATCATTACCATCATCACCAACAACCACAGAAACAACACCATAGACAACAATAAAAGCATCAGAATCTTCTTTATTATTATTATTATTATTGGGCAAACATATTTTCTTTAAAAGTATTTGCTACAAAGTATCAAACAACATGATGTATATCATTCTATAAGCAAAGTAACTCGTAGTCAAATTAATCAAAACAGAAGTAGGTGTAGCTATTATGCTGTAATAAAGAAACATACCCTGCTGCTCGGACTGAAGTGCTGCATCTAACACATGAAAGTCCGTCAACGAAACCAAGTCAATGTTGGACATCTGGTACTTTAATACTGGTTCAGATTTCTTTTCAAAAACCTTTATAACATTGCTAGCGAAAGAATTGTCGGCAACGATAAGAAAATTCTGAAATGGAACAATGACCAGAAAATTCTGAAATGGAACAATGACCATATGAAATATGTGGCTAAATATGAATTACTGATGATGATGTTGTAGTTGTAAAGTAAAGCACTGGAATCTCTAAAACGGTAAGCACACATTGATACTGGTATATAATTTGAATATTATCAAAATGTTGTTTTTATCAGCTTAAACTGACAGTTCATCCTCTTATCTTTAAACAGGTATGTGAAAGACAATTTGATCACATCATACGTTTTGCATGATAACCTGAATAAATTATACTGAACTTGGTCAAGATATTTATTATTTTACTATGTTCTTTATGTTATTCTCTCCTTCACGGATGGATTATTCACCCAAAAGTTTACAGCACATATAATAGTATAAACAATCTTAATGCTCTGCTCCAGGACTTCCGGGATCGCTCATCTCAGTATTTACGTGATTAATGGTGCCGATATGTGTTCTATGAAAGCCAATATTATATATATCTCTTAAATATCTAAACAAAAAGAGGCCTAACTTCTTTGTTTTCATCTTGTCATGCGGCACTAACAAAAACGAAAGGATGACATAATCGAAATTGTTTTCTTATGTCACGCGGCACTTTATTGCTCAAGTATGTAATTCGGCGATACTTAACTTATTTCTAAAGCAGGCGTCAGAGTGGTTGAAATGTGAAGCCAAGGCAGCAAAACATTCGCATTAACATATCAAAGCTCTTACTTTGTAAGACAGGACGAGCATCGGCGATATTAAAGTTGATGTCGAAGCCAATGTCGTCAATTGTTTCCCCTCAAAGTCACAACTTTTGACTTGGGTATTATCAATGAAGTATATACTGAATAATACAATAAAGTAATATAATTATGTGTATAATTGCAAAATGGTTGGTTCAATTTGGTATATAAATGTTCATATTTCTAGTGAAAACGCACAGATAATAAATGAACTGCTTTAATGTTACAGTTTCGTAAATGTTAACTGGAACTTCATGAAAGATTAATTAAGTTCAGATATAATTATCATTTATTATGAATTTTGTAAGTATTACTTGGTGTTTAATCTCAATTTGTTTAATTATTTAAAAAAAATATTTTCGGTAAACAGTATAAAAACTAAACATTTCGCCGACTTTCTTCGGGTACTAAATTTAAACCCAAAAATTTTTTTTACCCTTTCTTAAAAAAAATTGATAACATTAATTTAAAATTTAAATTAAACATTAAAAAAATAAGCCGTGGTCGTTGGTAAATCAAACGTAAACTTTCATATCAACCGCGAGGGACTGGTAAAAAATGTAACCCTTTTTAAATTAATTTTAGCCTTTTCTATTTTGTGAACAGCTGCCCTGATATCCCTACTAAAAAACTGAAGTAATTAAAGAAAACAGAAATTTCTATACCCGCTGTTTCGGAAAAGGTAATGAAAAAAAAATTTCAGTGAAACTTTAATTTAATTTAATAGGGAATTTTGTTTAATTTGGGTTACATTCATTTCTAGAAATAATTTAAAGTTTAAAATAGTTTTTTTCAAAAAAACCTTCAATGCCGGTTTTAAAGGTAATCGAAAACAAATATTTCATAGTTGATATGCTTATATAATTGAAAAGGACTGAAAACATTTATAATCATCATAGAGGTTGTTAATACGTCAAATGATCAATATTCCAGCGTATTTTAGCAAATTTATGCACGTGGGATTTATGTATTTGTTTATTGATTACGAACACGAACCATGCTGTAATAAAGCCTAAGAATATTGTTTAGTTTATTGTAAGATCAATTATAAATTGTTCGCTTTAGAAAATTGGATTATTACAATACGATGCCATCGAATAACATGAAAATTTGAAACTGGTTTTAAAAATTGATCAATGTGAAGTTACCTGTGAAAGGGGGCAATATTAAGATGTTTCGGGTACGCGAGATTAGTTGCGATCAAGTTGTATGCCATTCCTGTATCCTGTGAAACCACGCTGATTTTACCCGTGAGTCCTCCCATACACCAGTACACGTTGTTATCCCGCCAGTCGATGGCAATACCTATGGCGTAGAGCAAAACTATACATCCGCCAGACAATTGTGATAAAATTGGGTATAACAATTACTTTACACTCGCCAGAAAATGGCATTACATTTTGGGTAGAACAGTTACTCTACGTTTGTCAGCCATAGAATATCTTTGTGGTAAAACAGTAAATTTACGCTTGTCAGTAAATGTAATACCTATTTGGTAGAGAAGTTACTTTACGATCGATTAATGACCTAGGGAAGAAAAGTAACTATTCACTTGCCGCCATTCAATTGGAAGGCCTATTTGGTAGAACAGATATCATACACTTTGTACGATATTGTTTGGACTATTTGTACCTAAATCAAATAATGCTAATTATAAGCCCTTTTAAAAATTCTCTATGCCAATATAACGTCAATGGGTCAATTTACGTCACTGTAGTTATCAAATTATGAGAATGTTCACCTGTAATTGTTCCTGTAGCTGATAGCAGTCTGCGTTTTACGGGATTCGCTCGAATATTGACACTGATTATTTCTCTGCCGTCAACATACACTAGCTGGCGTTCATTCATATCTTCAAAGAAAAGAAGTGGTGCCAATGAGTAAGCAATACCTTTATGTTTTCAAAAATGCGTATCATATTATGTAGCTCCTGCACATTTGATTTTAAGACATCGCAAAAAATTATATAACGCCGAATCATATACCACATAAAGTGTCCCTTTATCAAGCTTTGAAACAAGTGAAGAAATGCATTACATAATTAGCCGATATTTGGTTTTGCAAAACGAAACAAGTCTAGATCTATTAGGATATACATTTGCATGCGTAAGTTACCTATGTCAAATTGCGAGATGGCGGTTCCACCTTCTAAAAAGCAGTCGGAAGTGCCTGCATTAACGTTAGAAGTTAGAGTTCGAAAATCCATTAAGCATATGCTATTGGCATTGGAAGTCACAACCGCACGATGGTATGCACCTAGGTCCTCTGAAAAAAAGATTTACATTGAATAGGGTAATAAGAATATGAGAATATGAACAATATGAGAAATGAGCACTTCATTGACTTATGTCCATTGATAGATGTTAGCACAAAAGGACATGATTAGCTATTTTAGCTAGAAGGCAATTATTTCTGGTCACCCAAACTTCTTCAATACTCATATTTCATACTACTTTATAGACACAATTCGGTATACATTTCAGAAAACCATTTTCAAGTTCATTATGTGCGAATGGCTCTTTTGGCACTTTTGCACTGTTAACATTTCTTTCATCTTGCCACTATTCATACTGATTGGATTTTACTTGAAATTTAAGCTCGAATGGATAAACAAAAAACCTCAGTACTTGTATTGTTTCTATTTCGGAATGACAACTCAAAATTAAACTGGTAACAGAAGACATAGAATAGAGAAAATAAGAATCCATAAAGATAGTCCAAAACGGCAAAGTTGCAAATGTTGCAGACTCGGTTTGATGGAGTCTATTCTTGAACGGTACTGTCAAGTGCAAACTCCCGTCCACGCCCCGCAGCACCGGCTTAAGCAGAATTCAACATTAAAAGATTAAATGGCAGAATTTTGAATTTAGAAACAGATGTGTTCTATGGCAGTTATCATGGAACCTTCATTGTTACACGGTAGAGTCATTCCATGAAAAGCGGCGTATGGTCCTCACGGAAAAAATGCGTGTGTCCTAAAATTTTGAATTGTTTAACCAATAAACCAGCAATATTTACCAGTTCCATGTACAGCAATTAATTTGATCTCATCTTTCAGTATTTGGCAGAATGGGGCATATTTTGGGAATAATTTTTACCCGACCTACTGTAGGTACAGGTTTTGTTTTTTAGGTATCTCACTTTTGCCACTGATCGGATATTGATTTATATATACAGTCAAAGTACTTGTTATTTTTCGTGAAAGGGAGCTGGGGCACAAAATACTCGTGCATAAATACTGCATACGTTACCTGAACACGTTTTATAAACGCCATCTTGATTGAGAGTATAACCTTCTTTACACAAACATACTGGACCATTCTTCTCGTTAATACAAATATCGCTACAACCGAAACTTAAACAACCATCTGAAAAAGGGTTTAAACAATTCGTCACATTTAAGAGATTTTTGAATATAACATTCAAATATAGAATATATATTATTAATTTATTGCAAGAAAAGGTGAAAATCTTTACGTATTCCTACACATACGCGATATTCACCCTTATTTTGACAAAAACGAAACGTCAAGAGGGCCAAATCATATGTAAAATATGTGAGCTTATCCTAACATTGTCTACAGAATCGAAATAAATTGATATTACACTCAGGTAAATGCAATGAGTCCTACTCTACCAAGTCAGATTTTTCCTTATCGATCTGTTAAAATAGCACACTTGAAAATATCGCGAAATCCTTCATTAAATCGGATATTATGACACTTTGCCTTGAAAACATTCATGTTCTCTGTAATGATAACGATGCTTCTTGATGACGAATCTCATTTCAATGTATTTTAATAAAATATTTGGCCAAAATATAGAAAAGTAGAAAAATCTTTGCGAACGGTAAAACGCTTTTTGACAACCATTGAAGTAAGGACTGAATTCTTTATAAACACTAATTTTATGACATTTTCTGACTTTCAAATGTAATATTTCGATGTATTTTATCATAATAAACTTGCTTTTTATGAATTTATTTTTCATTGAATATTTCACACATAAACTGGATCAGTAGAATGTTTGCGGACGTAAAAATTGCTTTTTGTCAACCATAGAAAGTCAAACGCCTAAGTCCCGCCCCGCCCTTCAAACTGGCTAGCAAGTTGTTTCACTGATATTCATATATTCGTTCCTTGTGAGCCCACATGAGTGAGAAATATAATCAATCATTGGGTTGGATAGAAGATAGGGAGATCCAAACCCTCGGGCATTTTGTTCCATCCATTTTTGTTCCATTGCGAACGAGCTATTAAAACAGAATGCATCTGACACTGATCTAGTACATGTCCTATAAGTCACATGCTAGAATATTTTAGATTATGTTAATTTATGTTAAAGTTCGACTTTTCTGCTCGCATGAATAAGTTTAAGACTTAAACTCTTGATTTTTATGAGGTTGAAAAAACAAACAACACGTATTCAAACTGCATAATCTATAGGCATACTTTAAAATATTTGCCGATATCTTACGGTGAGTTTTTTAAGTAATATTCTTTACAAATTAAGTCACCCAGGCATTAGCCATTTCCATACTGAAAATAAAATGCATTCAATTTGAAATTCAATTAAAGTATGGATTTATATTCATATTAAATCAACTTTGTATTGTATAACTCACCAACTTGCGGTGGTTGAATTTGTGCAGTATATAGTGTAACAGCAACAAAAGGTTCACCATCTGTCAACCGGATAGTTTGAAACAATTCTCCTGTATTTTTGTTGAACATGGATTTATATTCATATTAAATCAACTTTGTATTGTATAACTCACCAACTTGCGGTGGTTGAATTTGTGCAGTATATAGTGTAACAGCAACAAAAGGTTCACCATCTGTCAACCGGATAGTTTGAAACAATTCTCCTGTATTTTTGTTGAACACTAATAAAGTTCCATTTGTCAATTCTGTTACAGCCACCAGATCCTAGCAAATGAAGTATTTAGTGTTATGGACTTCGGTTACCAAACAGAGAAAACAAAAATCACTAAAGACAAAGTGACGACTCAAACACTGCTCAGGAATTGCTGAATAGCTCGTTTGAATATACTTGCGAAGGTAATTATACATAGTAGGTCACATACGAGCGACATGTATGTTGTTTGTTTATCCTTTTTTATGATATTGGTCTGATGAAGTTACCCCTGTACTAAGATGCGATATATAGGCTATTTGGCCTGTAGGAATATAGGTTCCAAAGGTCTATAAGTAACCAATAATCATATTATTCTAATTATATTACATTTTATATTTACTCATATGTTTTTGTTTGTTCTTCAAATACCAATTCACGTCTGATTTTCCGATAAATAAATAAACGCATCTGGTCTCTTGGTTATAGAGCATAATGTTTAAATTATCCTTTCCTTTCCTTGCGATTTCCATTAGCAAGTAAGTATATTGCTTATAAGTGTATGAAATAAGTCATGTATCATCATGTAGTTGATATGCATATATCATCGTAAGAATTGTAAAATTGTAATCATTGGCTGTCAGAAAATATTAAACTGTTTTTTAATTGAAGAGATCATTTAATATTGTGTTGCAGTGTCCATAGACCAAAACGTTTCGTTTTTTTTTTAATTTTTGCTTTGTACCTAGTTTATTCAAACAGTATTTGGGCCGCGTGAATTATTTTTCGCTATTGCCAAGTAAATCATAACATTGAAAGCAACTTGTGAAAAAATCTAAAGTTTTATGACTTTCGCCTTTTCAGTGGCTATTAACCCGTGGATTGGAATAATGCCAATCTTAACGATTTTTTTATGTGTGTGTCTTAGCAAGATTGGTAATTATTGAAGTTTGAAACAATGAAAAACATTTACATTTATATATTAAAGCCGGCGGGGCACAGGAAGGCAAAGACATTATAGAACGACAGAGACAAAAGTGTTATATTGTCGTGTTTTCTTTTCGTCTGGTGGAGCAACAGTACGACGAAATGGTCACATTTTGTCTTATTTTCTTGTTTTTGACTGGCGCCCCGACGCTAAATGCCAAACTCCTCACAGCGGTTACGTCACGCTTTGCTACTTTAACCACTGCCACCACTGAAATCACGTGATGATAGTTGTATCATGTGACAAAAACATGGCGGCCAGTTTCAGAACGCCAGGGATCCCATATCAAACTGGCAGATTAATAATTACATCCTTACCAGACAAAATAAGTTCAAGACACACAATTTGCTTTCACTTTAAAACAAGTGCCGGATCAAATCTTTTTGTGCAATCGTTCAATAACTGTTTATATTCTGCCATTGTTTACTATGCATACGGTGTCACAGTGAAAATATCTTTCGTTATGTTTACAAAATAATTTTTATACGTATATTTTTTTACTTTCTTGTACATTAAGCATAACTATTTAACGAAAGAAAACTAAAATGATATAAAATATTCTATTTTAAAATTAAAACTGAAAAAAATATATCCGGCTATATTCGACCGAATTTTCTTGTGGTGGCAGTGGTTACTGTACAGATCAGGGGAAGTAACCGCTGCGAGGAGTTTGGCTAAATGCTGTTAAAAAATTTGGTGGTTCACAAACCTTAAACACTGCAACGTCATAGAATTCCGTGTGTGACAATCTGCGAATAACACGCCGCGAAGTCCCGTTAAAATCACTCGTTTCCAGCGTGTCACGTGACGCGTCTACCCAAACCAATCGGCTATCATCTTGGTCAATGGCAATACTTATCGGAAACACCAACCCAGTTGTGATGATTGCTTCCTGGTCAGTACCTGATAAAGACGCTCGTACAATCTTCACATTGCGACCAATATCACTCCAAAACATATACCTGAAAATAAATAATGTCATATAGATTAAATATTGGAAATGTAAATGTTAATAAAAATTATATACTCGACCTCTGTATTATCACCGACAATCACTCAATATCTTGTCACGTGCAGTCATGCATACGTTGAAGTTAAAATTCTTTGATCTCGTTCAATAAAAAAATGGGTCAAGGATTGAAAAGGCCGGGTTGCATTTATAAACCAAATATCATGAGGCTGTGATATTACAAAAAATGTTTACCATTGACTATTAATGTCGAAACTTTTACTAAGTCGGTAAACAGGAAGTTTTTTTGTTTTGTTTTGGGTTTTACGTCACATTTGTTTTGGGTTTTACGTCACATTGACACAGTATAGGTCATATCGCGACGTTCCAGTTTTTACTGGTGGAGGAAGACCTCAGGTGCCCTTCCGTGCATTATTTCAGGCACGAACGGGCACCTGAGTAGAACCACCGACGTTCCGTAAGCTAGCTGGATAGCTTCCTCACATGAAAGAATCCAAAGTCCCTGTCGGGACTCGAACCCACAGCGGTGAGGGGCAAGTGGTTTGAAGTCATAAACAGGAAGTGGATGAGCCACAGACCTGAAATCGAATCTATGGGACCACTAGTTAAAGATGTATGCGAAATATCAAGAGACCGTGATCGGTAGTTGCTGAGAAAACTGTTTCGACCATTTCCTATCATTGACATAAATGTTAAAAATTTAATTAATCGGTAAATAGGAAGTGGAAGAGCGACAGACCTGAAATGAAATCCTACGGTATTGGACCACTCGTTGATACTGTATACCAAATATCAAGAGCCTGCAATAATTAGTTGCTGAGAAAACTGTTACGAAAATTTTCTTCCATTCACCATTATTGCTGAAAATTTAACTAAGTCGGTAAACAGGAAGTGGATGAGCGACAGACCTGAAACCGAATCCCACAGTATGGGACCATGTGTCAAAAATAGCAATAAGTAGTTGCTGAGAAAACTGTAACGAAAATTTTCAACGCACGTCCGCCAAATCATTCGCCATACTATAACCCGCGTTTGAGCATGTGCAAATCGGCCAAAAATGCAATGTTTAGTTGAATCCCCTCTGCTTCACACAAAATATCAGTTATTAAATTCATCAGTAAAATTCAATGCCGACATATAGAAAACTTTAACAACGTCAATAAGACAGAGTCCCATGCTTTATCATTATGAAGTACATGAATCATAGCCTAGTTATTAAGATTGCAATATATTAGAAAGATTTACAAAATTAGCTTACTTGCTAATGGGATCAACCACCAATGCGTATGGCTTTTCAATGTCATTATCTATTAAAATTTTGTACTCCCCATCTTTGTCTGCAGACTGAACTACAATCCAACTATATAAAGCATCCGTCCAATATATATTGTTTGAAACCCAATCTACAGATATACGAGTTGAAGACCTTGATAAACCAGAATGAATTACAGTCAAGGCAAGGTTGGAAAAGAAATCTCTCCAGTTAAAATTTTCCACTGCATATATAGAAGCCGTGTTTGAGTCATAAATGTATAGTCGACTTCTTGCATAGTCGACATCAATGTTGAGAAGTCTAGTGTTGACGTTACTCAATCCAATATATCGTGTAGCAGTAATATTGCCCGCGTCATGCAAGGTTCCTGGCAACATGTTTATGTGCTTATTTTGTGTTGTAAATACGTTATTCATCAAGGAAGAGACGACAATTGAGTGTTCGAAATCAGCACCTGAATAAAGGGAAAAAATAATTGACATAATGTGATTATTTTTAGATACAAATGCATCCTGCAGCAAAGTCATTGACGACAACAAAGTGTTCGAAATCAGTACCTGGATCAGGAAAAACAGAAAATAATTGAAATTATGTGCTATATACATCATCATCAAAGATGATACGACAATTGAGTGCTTGAAATACGTGAATAAGGAAAAAATAAAAAATAAAAATTGACATGATCAAATCTAAAGTTAACCAACAAATAATATAGAGTTTCTTCAGACTACGAGTTTTGGTGCAGGCTGACCTGGCTGTATTCTGTTGGCAAAGACTGATCACTCCCGGTTTTAGATTTTGATGGTGAATTACCCCTTTATATATATCCATAAATATTGTCGATTTAACACAAAAAGCAGAGATCTACAATTAACTTGACCTTTATTGTTAAGGCTATTGGCCATTTAGATAAATTCTTGCATCATTTTATTTACTTTTGCTGTTGGATTTTTATATATATATATATATATATATATATATATATATATATATATATATATATATATATATATATATATATATATATATATATATATATATATATTCATGTGAGGATATGTCTTTAACAACTTGCCCGCATTTTCTTTTTACATGGTTTTATTATTTGGTGACATTATGTTCATTTTATCATTGTCAAGTTGCACTGAGCTGACTATATATTTCAAAAGATTGACTATTCTAATGTTGATTGACCAATAGTTAATATTTGACACTGATAAGGATAAAATATTTAAAGGCCTTAAATATAAATAGACTATCCAACTCTTTTTATAAATAGAACGTTACATGTAAATACCGATATATATTTATAGAAATTTCATTTGGCCTCGTGCGTTATTTATCATTCATGCAAAATCAAATTTACAATTGAAAGGAATTGTGACAAAATGTAATCTTTTGTTTTTTACTTTCACCTATTCACTCACTTTAAACTCTAGGACGGACATAATGCCACTTTTATGAACTATTATACTGTTTTATAAACTATGCACTATTGGTCCAATTCAGGACCGACGGCATTACGGATAGAAAACCGCGCCATGATGAAATAACACAAGTCAACATTTATGAGATTCGGGTATTCTGATTGGCTGTTTAACTCGATCAGTATTAAGCAAACGCTTCACATAATACTCGACGTCATTGTAAAAAGGATTATTCTAAAATTTGTTTCCAAAACTACAAGACCCCTTTCAGCGGTAGCACTAAAAAGAGGAATTGCGTGTATCGTACTTTTTGTAAACATTGCCATGTGTCAAGGCAAAAGGCTAATATGACTCTCTGAAGTCCAATAACAAGGCAATTATGAAAACTCTTAATTACTAACATTACATTTTAAAACAATTTGAATCGGTGATTTCATAAATTTGCTTGTAATAGTTCAATAGCATAACTTCATAACTATATTTTATATTTTGATTGTCCGTCGGCATCTCAAGGAAAAGCAAAGAACAAAAAAGTCTTTTGAGGCAGAACACATGCACAAATATTCAATCTTCTCGATTGTTAAGTGCAATATTTAGAAAATATTAATTTAAATTAAACTAGTTACATTAAAAAGGATGTGCCCGTTCGTGTCTGAAACAATGCACAACCAGTAAAGATGGAACGTCTCCATGACCTATACTGCGTCGGTGTGACGTAATGACGTGAATTAACAGTGTTTTTAATGGGAAATTATGCAGGGTTGCGTTGAAAACGGCAACTATTTTAATATTTGTCGCGTGTGAGTAAATATCGAGTTGCTTAAACAAATATTTCATTACAGTCGTAGTGCATGTTGCGCTATCCCTCATGGAAAAATAATTAAGATTTAAATAGTAGATTTATGTAAGATTTCACAAATAATATATCTATTGTCTGCATAATACGTTCGATGGCCTGGTGTGACAAGAGTTCTTAATGCTATGACATTTTCCTAAAAAACAAAGAATATGATTGTATTAAATTGCAAGACTTGCAATTCAATTCAATCATGACAAGATGTTTGGACCATGGAAATGTGATACACAACGCATGCATGCCGGTTTTTATAAAACAACACAAATTATAACCAACAACAGTAACTGCAGATACTTTTAAAAAACGCAATTCAATTTAAAAATATAGTATAAGCACTGCTTGTATTCAAAATCGTTATATAGAACTAGATCAGCCCGGTTTGAAGATATGGCTTCTTAATTCTTTGTGCCTATGTTGAGGTTGGTTTGTAACTGTGATTTGGTACTGTACGTTTAGGAATATAAACAATAAAATTCCCTTCTATACCAAAGTACGTAATGCTGTTCTCCACATGTCGCTGACAACTAATTAAATAACTTTAATCCATGAACCAGCTGGTAGTTGGTTTTTCGTAATTCCGTACTATTTAAAAGTTGATAGTTGATAATTTTTCACCAGCATAAAATGTTCGAACACATCATTCTTTTTCAAAACAGTATAAAGGATGGGACCTAGTTGGCTATTTGCGCGGATCTACAACTAACTGCAAGAAGCTATCAGAAGGTATTGGTTATTCAAACTATGCATGTTTTCCCCAAAAAAATTGAAACATATATCCTGGAATAACAAATACGGACATATGACAAAATATGTGTTTTGAAAACTGGTTACACCCCGCCTCCTTATATTTATACATCGGGTGACTTAGTTTCCAATTACCTACTACGTATCTCAAAACACACCTATCTTATTATATATTCGTAAATTTAATACTTGAAATGTACCTTTTATTTTGAGAAAAAAAAACCCAGATGTAATGTTTAAAAAAAAAACATATTTGGGTTGGTAGTTTAGGATTACCGCGAGTCGCTTCGTCGGCTTTGGGAAGTGGGTATAACCATCTTGTTGGACACACTTATCTTGTTACATATCCGTTACAAATAATCCAGATTTTTTTTTCTGTTTTCAGAAGAATACTTTTAATGTCCGGATTACCTTTTACCTTCTAAGACACAACTAGGTCTCCTCCGTGTGTGTATAAAACGTGTGATGTGTTCGAACATTTCATTCTAGTGATAGTGGATTAAATTAACATTTGCCAGCTGTTAGATAGTTGTGAATAATAAGTAACCAACAATCAGCTAGTGGGGAGTTGGGTATTAGAATGTCTTAACTACAAACCACCTACCGAATTAACGCTTATATTTTTCCGGTGCGCTAGAATCTTCGATCTAGCGAGAGTGGGATATAAGTTTTGCAGATCCCATGGTGGCGTCCGTAACCTAGTGGTTAAGGTCGTTGACTTTAATCCACTTGCCCCTCACCTCTGTGGGTTCGAATCCCGACAGTGAGAAAGCTATTCAGCTAGCTTCCGGAAAGTCGGTGGTTCTACTCAGGTGCCCGTTCGTGCCTGAAATAATACACGGAATGGCACCTGAGGTCTTCCTCCACCAGTAAAACTGGAACGTCGCCATATGACCTTTACTGTTTCGGTGTGATGTAAAACCCAATAAATTAACAAACAAACAAACAAACAAAAGCAGATCCAGTGGTCGTAGACCAATTTAAATATTTCCGTTTGAATAATGTAAACTAAAATGTAATATCATTTATGTACCTATTACTTCAAATATGCACACGTAAAACGAATTGAGAAACACTCCGCAGAACATCTTTATTTAAATCTAGCACAGTAATTACAGTTTTAAAATGTAATGTGATACTGTATTAACAATACGATAAAAATGCAATTTAAACAATTGTATGGTAAATACGTCATTTACCTAACTTAACACTAACGGGAAAATTTTGATAAAAGTTTGATATCAATCGTTTTTGAGCCCCAATGACTTGGTCAAATGTAACGTTTAAACTGCTGAAATTGTGTAATGAAATCGTCTTACTGTCACGAAATTTCAAATACCCAAATATTTTATTTCGAAGCGGAGAAATTGAAAACTAGAAACTACGCAAAAACTTGTTTCATGTATTTTAAAGTCCCAACATAAAAAAGCATTTTAACATACCGGTTAGTTGCGCCAAAACAACATTTCGTAAGGGCACTGTCGTCAGGAACAACACTGTTAGAATTAGGGTACCCGTTTTAAGTTCCATAATTTATATAACTTTACTAGATATAACTTAATCAAAAACAGGACTGAGGAGAACTATTCACGACTCTAACGATACACTGACCGGTCAACCGTTCTAAACTTCCTAGTTCTAAACTTCCTAGTTGAACGTCAAAACATAACGAAAAAAGGTTTTAATACTTATGAATAAATATACGTTTAATATATTTAGGAGTTGTAGATAAACTTTTTACATGAAAAGAATGATTAAAAGTTAACATTATTTAATATGTTTAAAACGTGACTTAAGAAATTAGTATCGCTAAAATGTTAATTCATTATGGCACTGAATTGCTGTTTTACTGTAATTTTTTTAGTGTTGTTGTTATAAGCTGACGTCAGTAAGCGGAAAAAACCAAAGACTGCTCGGCTGCTTAAGGGAGTGTCTTTCAGTCACAGTAACCTTTATTTCATATTTAAATGTGATTAAATGTGATAAAGAGTGGCGGCATGGCCGAATGGTTAACGCTTCGGACTAGTAATCTTATTATCACTAGCCGCATGGGTTCACAAACCCTGACAGGGGCAAGTCGTTTTTTCCTTGAGCAAGAAACTTTACACTCATTGCACAGTACTGGTTGGTTCCAAGAACGGATTCGAAAGTGTGTTTATAAGCTTATAGCTTCCTACACAATCGAACTAAAATAAATTCTGTATTAACCAAATGTGATAACCCAAAAATGGACTTTATTTCACAAAATCTGCGCCGAACATATCTTGGTGTGAATTACACGTAAGACTGGTGCAAATAATTGTGTTCAATGAAAGATATTTAACACAAACTAAGAACAAAAATTGCTTTTACATCGCTATTATTCCGTCATCTGTTCAATTCACTGTTACAGATTATTTTATGAATTCGGAAATACCCATTGAAATGTTTGACGAGATTCTTATTATTCAAAGTAATGAAATTAAACAGCCAGTAATATGCAGACTGGTCTTTTTGCACTGGTGGTATTAACAATTTATGAAAATGGAGCAGAGGTGTCTGTTCCTCAACCCAGCGATCATAAGCTGAATTATAAGATCGCCGCTTTGTTTATCCAGATAGGACGTGATAGGCTAACATGACAGCCCGTAACTACCGTGGCTGCGAGACACGTTTTTAAATCCTCAGAATAGTATCCACCGCAGACAATATGCGATTGAGATACGTAATAGGCCGTAGTGTAACGTGGTAAAAGCTACAAAACGTGACAGTACGTAGAAGGTCGTTACAAACGTTCTGAAACCGGAATCATGCATTATGCGCGGGCTTTAAATGTTAATTAAATGACTAAGCCCGACAGAAGAGCTTATTTTGCTCCTCAGTTAACTATGCTGGTGGTATTTGGGATGAAACATTAAAACCCGAAGTCCCAGCTGACATGTAAAATATATGTAAAATAACAGGATCCGCGCTTCTGGAATGGATTAACCGCTGTTTCCTTTCACAATTCTAAAATAACGACTACATTTTCGGTGTAATCTCTGTTACAACCAACAAAAATGCGACATGAATTTAAATCATACAAAATGAGAGCTTTATTTTAATGTAAGCACTAGGCAAACGATTGTCAGATCTCTTGCTGACGTTAGGCCTGAATAAAGAAAGTTAATAAACAATGTTTCTTATCGCAGTTCTCTCCCAAATAGCCAGTTTCACGTGAACTTTCTGAGTTTATGCCTACATTGAAACAAAAAAGAATGTATTTAAACCAGCTTAGTGTTTTAAATTACTTTTAAATAGCCGATTTACTAGACTGATTAATAGTTTGCCGATTTACCAAAGTTAAATTGTTACGATTCATATTAAATACTGCAATCCTATTCGACAAATAATAATTTCAAAAATCAATGAGCTCTATATTAGTGTACAATTTGTACATTAAAAATATCAAAAACCCATAATTGAACAGCACACTTGTTGTTAAGATTCACCATGTCATTTTTGTTAAATAACAAAACAGTTTAATATGTTGTTCTAGCAGATCTCTCTTAATGCCATAATGTAAACATACAGGTTAAAATTTTGAAAATATTTTACGAAGATGATTTCCGTTATATTATTGTTGCCACTTGGTGAACTCATTAAAACATTTATTTGCCTGTAAAATAAGAATAAAAACAATGTTGAACTGAAATGTGAAGATGTCAAAATACAATAATTTCTTTGAATAGAGCTAATGTAAACATAAGAATATCAACAGAGCAAATGAAACAAATAATTCACAGCTAAAACTCCTGATTAAATCTCTTATGACAAGATACATAGTTATTATAAGGTTTTTATAATAAACTATACAATAATGGGAGCGTTAACACTTCCATTCAGGGCTGATATGAAGTTCACCACGGCATAATGAATACAAAATTCGGCAATTATAAAAGAGCACGGCCATAACGAAAAAGGTTGGTCTTTACACGATTTGGACATTCTGATTTGCTTTTTAACTCGACCTTTAAGACGCCAACGCTACACAAACAAAACCTCTATCACATTATGAAAGGGGTGACTGCGAGCCAGTCATTTTGCAGCTTTTAATATTTCATTGAAATTGTTGCAATATTTTAGAACAATAGGTGCAGATGTCATTGTGTTCTTGTTAATATTGCAATGTAAATTTTCAGATCTCCGGCATCACGGTGTTGACACAAACTGCATATTCCACGACCCAAAGTGCAATAGAAACATTTTTCTGACTAACACTTATAACCAAAACTGCTTGAAACTTATATACTGGTACAGGTCAGATGCGTGCCAGCATAAAACGCATTTCCATTAATTGCACCTGTTGAAATATCCAGCTTTACAGTTGTATCCATCTGTATATATATGCCACATTTCCAGGAACATGATTTCTTGTCTACATTTGTACAATATTTCCCCAATTTTCCAATTGTGCAACTTTTTCTGTCCTCTAAATCTTGGTTTAAACAATTTATTTCCAAGTTGTTCAACATGAATATAAACAATAAGGATTACAATCAAACACAGTAACAATATCATGGGTCACTATTGTAAATACATTTTCACATGTTAGGGTACTTGCAATTGAAAACATATGCATATAATCAGCTAGATTCATAAACCAGTAATCAAAACAAATCAATTTGTCTTCATTATTTTTGCCTAGAAGAATTAAGAAATTTCTATTTCGATAGTCTATATATTACATTGTTTGACTTCGATGAAATTATATTTGACAATAAATTAAACGCATTCTAATAATTATTATATCATTTGCATGTACAATTCCGTAAATTTCAATTAATCATGTAGTGAGAAGTAATAAAACTTACTTTTCATTAATCAAATTGTTAATTCAAAATATTAATTAAGCCAATATTACACAGTAATAATTAAACAACATATATACCATAAGAATAACAAAAAAAATCATTATACGGATGTGCGTCTTCATCATCAAATTGTTTGTAGGCTGCGTTTGTCAGAATGACCGTTCTGGAACACAAGTCAGTTCATCTTCCATATTAAATATTTCATTGTCCCTTCCAGGTTTAACCGTTGATAAGGACATTCGTCAGTCAGTCCGTCTTCTTAAATTGGATCCCATGATAATTCAAAAAGAACTCAAAATACTTTTATGAAACTTGAAATATAGTAAACAGATTACGAACGTGTTCTTTTTATTCTGATGTTGAAAATTCAGATTGTTTTGAAAGCAAATATAAATAAAATATATCTAAATTACTAATATATTGAGATCATTCAAAAGGTATTTTAAATATTTCTATGAAACTTAAATGGCGATCACGCACGTTTTTTTTCTTTATTTTTCTATGTATTTAAAAAAAACTCGTTGCTATGACAACAAATAGACTTAGAATATGGCAAATAAGCAATATATTGTTGAAAACCAGTTTAAACTGTTGGCACTTCAGGTTTGCCGAAGAGCCTGTCTGTTCATCTGCAAGAATTGGACCCTGTAATAACAAAGAAGTACTGGATATATTATAAATTATAAAGGTTTCTGATGTTATATGACACTACAAACGGTTGTTTGCATATATAACCCAAGCCCCAAGGAGAGGGCTAAAATGAAACGACCGGTCATAAACGATCATATTACATTTCCGGAATTTTTATAGCGAATTTATTATACTGCAAATTTCAATTTTGAGAAAACAAATCTTCATAAACTGACAATAGCCGTGAATATATAAACGTCACGATTATCCAATGAAAAGCGATGTTTCAAATGTACAGTATAATATTATGAATTTTGACATATCATGTACTGATCACCACATCTGACGATGATATGATGTATATTTTACTCTACTGTATTAACTACTACATAATTATACTTAAATTTTACTTTTAAAATGCTTTCACATTATTTAGAGTAAACATTTATGTCTATACATAAATAGTTACAGATTAAAAATGTACAAACTTTATTGAAAAGTTATTAAATGTTGGTAAAGCTCGTAAGTATTGAACTAACATCTTCATTTACTATTAACAATTACGATAGCGATTAATCTCCTAGCCTAATTTATGGTATGATACGTTTTCGATCGTAATAGAATTTTTCAACACGCATTTTACGAACAAGCATGTGTCTATTCATAACCTATACCCAGTTACCCATGTCATCGTCAATGGGGCATTAAAATGATACGCATGTGAAACGTCAAGTGCATGCATCTTATAGATATCATAAATGCATTCACTAAAATACTCTATGTGTTTTTTTAAACACTGATAACAAATTATGATAAACAAATAAAAAGTTTTGATGCATTATCTATTATTAAAAAATAAATAATCGGTGACTCACTCTTTATCCTATTCTTACACTCGAATGATTTTTGTGTCATAAATGATAAAAGAAATTAATTGGCTGACTAGGTAATGCATATTTTAAAAGCTTAACTACTTGTACAGGTTTTCCTTTTTTATATTAACCTAGAATCTTTACCAGTATCTAATCATAGGAATGGAATAAAGGCTTTGATAACAAAAACAAATTTCAGAAAAAAACTTCGAGTAGAAAGAAATCCTAGCATAATATATTTTAACATTGTCAGAACATATTTATAAGTACAAAACTTTTTATTTGATTGTAACGAAAGTTAGTGGAAAAGAAATTGTTATTATGAAATAATTAATTTATCAAGATTGTTTTTGTGACTTAGAATAAGTTGATATCTAAGACAATATACAACGGGATAATCAAATTGTGAAAGTAATTATGGAAATGTACCCATTGAAGACTAGTTCTTTTTATAAAGTCATATAAACGAGCACAATATTGTTTATTTATAAAGTTCAATAAATAAAGTTAGTATTGAGGGGAAGAATTGATTTCTCTTTTCAGAAAAATATAGAGATATTTGCATAAGAAAGGGATAAATGGGTTTAAAACTGTATAGATATTCAAAATGTGTTAGTCTGTATTGAAGTAAATATTGAAGTTTGATAATGTATCAATGACAGCTCTTATAAAGATATAGATCTAATCATATCCTGAAATGAAATCTTTATCCAGCGCCCAATTTAATCAAACTCAACATTTTGAAAACTTCGAGCAACTCAGCATTTAATTGATTAATTGAAATGGAAACTTGTAAACGTTTCAGTTATAAAATATAGACGCTTTGCAGAATCTTAGGTCAATTTGAGGTCACTCATGTTTTATTTAGTGAGGACAGAAAGGTGTTTATTGATGATTATCTAATGATTTTGTTTATGAAATTCAAAAATGGATGAATCTCATGGTTTGCTCCCTTAAGAGTTAAAGCATAGAATATTTTTTAATATAAAAAACATAAACAGAACAAAATGTTCCGGGACAAAATATTATGCTGCTTCTTTACGTAGGTTTTTAATTTGGATTTTTTTCTCTCCAAATATATGGATGCTCAAATTGGCAAAACACAGAAAACACAATGTCATTACTTAGATTCCTGAATACTTTTTGTGAAGAAGGTGGACATTGACGAACACTATAAAACGATGGGATAAGAAAATCTGAAATCCTGGCAACCAAAAAGTAATTTTTTGTATGCATTATACGTTTTATAACGTGACCATTTGTTTTGCCACATGGCCTTTAATATGTTTCTTGACAGAATTATTTCGCCATTCAACATAGTAAATACATTGTTAACAAAACATCGAGGTTTAGCATTAATTTTGGTCTCTTACAGGCTTTTCTGCAGAAGTACAAATATTTTAACTAGACCATGCATTTCAGAAATCAAAGAATATGCGTATAATTTAGATAGGTGTTTTACAAATATAATAATTATGTATTAAAGCCTCTGTTGTTTGCATTTTCTGTATTCTGATACATTGGTAGTTTTTGACTTGTAGCTATGAAACCAAGTTTATGCCAGAGATTAAATATAAATTAAATATTAATAATATAAAAGAAAATTAATGATATTTTAGGTTGCATTGATCATATTTTTTCTCTTTCAGATAGCCTTGTAAATTAGGTTCTTCGTACACTGCCGCTTGCTTGCCAACACTTGTGACTTTCTCACAACAGAACTGGCTGCACATGTCCTAGTATTTTCTGTATTCAAATGTTTAGTTGTGAAGTATGGTGGTTTATGAATGCAGACGTTTTTTTAACAAATACATAAACAATAGTATGTTTATTTAATAAGTTAAATAGTCAACAGATACGGCTAGCCACTTTCAAAATAAATAGATTTTCGGACTTTCACAATGATAAGGTCGTCATTCTATTTATAGCTTTCGGATACATGTAAAACAATAACATACATAATAACCCACTGTGTACTACAAAATGATTAAAAAAAACCCGAAGAGCGCGATTAATTGACGGAAAACAATATTATCGAGGCATTTCATTTTTAATAAAAAAACATCTTACCAATCAGAATGATTATGATTATGACCGACTAAAAGGCCCGAGAAGTTGCAATTGCCCTTTCACAAAATCTGATTTCATTCTATAAGGGGCGTCGCGCTTCGGTGCGGACGCCAATAAATACCATCTTATCTTGATATTTTTTTAAGTTATGTGTTGGAAATCTTTATTATTATGTCTAGTTTTGTTTAAATTTAGTATTTTTTGTATTTTTTACAAAGGAATTAACGAAAGTGCACTTTATGTTATAGTCAGGTTTCTCTTTATCCTTAAATATCCGATAAAGTCTGAGCTAAGGTAACATTCCAACACGAGTATGAATACATTCATTTTATTAACGCAAACTCATCGTAAATTTTTTATGTATTCTGTGATAAAGCTTTTAGATTGAGGGACAGTATATGATTATATACTAACTTTAAGTTTTGCTCTGATTTTCTGTTTTTGTTTGCTTTTGTTATCTTTTTGGTAAGATTAAATGTACATTGTCACTATTAAATACCCATTGTACACTCATCCAGTAGATGTGTTAAGTTATATGTGAATCTGATATTGTACTTATTTTCTTTTGGATTTATATTCGTATTTTATAAAATTAAATTTTAAAAAAGTGTCATCTGTCTGTTTTCCAACACATAATAAATAATAAATACCAAAATTAGATCTTATCTTGATATTTATATTTCGTTAGTGTTGGAAATAAGTCTGGTTTTCTTTAAAAAATTATTAGTCGCCGGTAGAAACCGGCGACTATATTTGTAATAGTTTAATATTATACCTATGGTAGGAGTAGCCCTTAAAATCTGAAAATAAAAGCATATCAATCATTGAACAATCAAAGACAACAATTCTTTTTCAGTAATCACAAAAAATCAAACATATGATAACTTTGCTCAGTGGGATGAAATATGCACAAACTGACGTCTTAAAAAGCAACATTACAATTTTCATAAAATGAATCAATAACGTATCCCCAAGGATCAGTCATTGAATATTAGAGATACTTTTACTTTTTTCTATGTGTCAAGCATTGCTATTTTATAATAAATAAATCATGAATGATATTTGAAATGACACTTTAGAATTATTTATTGTTTATTTTTTATGAGACATTTTATATTACATTATTTTATCTAATTATAAACAAATGCTCCCTGGTCTTTTGTAAGAATCACGTGACTACATGTTTATATATGTTGTATATCGTTATAAAATCTATTAATAGTTACAGATTGCTGGTAAGACAGGTAACTTGTTAATGGTGGTAACTGATAAGATGTATATCATTGTAATTTTGTACAGATAATTACATAAGTTATTTTTCATTAATCAGGTTCATACTTTATATCATAAGAGAAACCTGTTTACATTAAAAATACATTTTCAAAACCTTTTCCTTTCTTCTTGGTAAAGGGTTTAACTTGGCCCTTTCTGTCAAACATTCGACAAGAAAGTTCATTTGTTTACTTTAGGTTGAACATCCCAAAGTAATGTTATGCTTAAGAGGCACATTATTGAAATATATAATGGTAATCGTTGATTTCGGTATATTCCGTCGGTTTCCGTCACCCAGGTTTCCAAAACGGTATGACGTCAGGGTCCGGAATCGTATTAGATATACTTGAAAAAAATAATAAACTATCTTTGTGTTGATAGTTTATCGCACTGAAGGGCAATTAAACGTTAATTTTATATATCGTATGTAACGATTGGAATACGTGTATTGATTTCAACTAAATAATATATTTTTCATAGCACATAATAATGATGTACAACACTTTTACAGTAAAATTGTATTGTTTCATGTAATAATTAAATATATATTTTCATAGTCACTTTGCAAATATTCGATGATCGGTAATTATTTGTCGGTAAGTATCTGAATCTGAACTAGTAACCTATACGGATTTCAATGTATGGTACAACAGTATATGTATAAAGTATAATTACAAGAAGAATTACAAGCATAGCACTTGCCTTACAAGCCTCAGTGGCAAACATTACTCAACTCATTGTTCCTCTTATTTTTATACTTGAACCATTAAACTTATATTTTCTTATATTTATGATAATACAATCATTTTTCTATCCGGCGATGTGATGCTTTAGCATCAAAATCTCTACTTGTGTTTTCTTGTTGTTGTTTTTTGTTTTGCTTTGTTTTTTTTGGTAAGATTTTATGTACATATAATTGTTATGTGAAGCTAAACCAGTTATTCCCCTTCATTTGTCACAATCATAATTTTCATTAAAACTGTATTTTTTGTGTGATAGGCATCTTTTAGCAAAGTTTTCAAATCTAAAACAACAATTAATGTAATGTAGCAAAATGTGATAACGTTAGGTAAAGATATACAAATTCTTGAGCATTATATAATGTATTTAAATGAGTTTTAGATAATTTCTTGTCTCATTAAACATTCTCAAATTTCATAAACCATTATTTTTTAGTCAAATATGTTCTTGTAATGTTTAGTTTATTCGTTAATTTAAGTTTCTTTCTCACATTTACCAAGTTGAACACAGTATATACAATTCATATACATTTCAAGTACATGTGAGGTCAATCAACTGAAATTTATAAGAGACACATGTAACCATTATCACATATAACCTGGCTTTATACGTATAAAATAGATAAGAACTAAAATACTTTTGTTAATCTTATTTATTTTCTAACACGCTATAAAAGAAGAAAACGAAAAAGAGGGTGAATAATTTGGTAATATACTCCACACTACAAAATGTTTGTAAAAAATGATAATATCTTGGATTAAATCAGATTTTGAAATTAGATTAACAAGTGTATTAAAGCAACTGAGTATAGCAGTTTCAACCTAAGATAAAACCAAAATTGATTTACAGGATTAAAAACATGTTTACGGCAATATGGTCATGACAAAAAGCCATGATCCGTAGGTTGAGAGACGAACACCATAACAACTGGGTCACTGACCTTGTTTAATTAAACCGGTCTGTTCATTGAAAATTGATATAACAAGCAGATATTGTCAAATCGTTAAAGTAATACGGATATTTGAGTTATTTTCGAGGAATAAATAAGATGTTAAGTTATTTAGTTATTTACAGTTCTATATTGAATTTATGGCAGCCGAATAACAGCAAAATACGGTCCTTAAACATTGTGTATAGTTACATATTTTAATAGAATGTCCTAGACAATAAACAATCGATCTCTTATGAGTTATTCTTTTCGTTTTAAAGTCTGAATGTAGCAGTTATGTACGGGCGTATCTTTATAAAAATGATCTGTAAACCAGAAGGAGATATTATATATATTATTACAGTAAAACAGCAATCGCACGTTTACAGTATTATAAATACCCAAACAATCTTGTTACATAAAGTTCATAAAGGCCATCAATATACACGCGCAAATTCAACATATATACATATCAAACAATTGAATATTGTCTTGGATTGAACATATTTAAATCAGAAAAATATGTTACCAAGAATATCCCTTTATATTAAAATAAAGACACAACACTTTTGATTCCGAACAGTTCAAATGACATGTCAGTTCAGTTATAATTTAAACCATAACTGATGTTCATTACATTGTTCAAAATGAATTTCATGCTCAATCAAATGATTAAAAAAAATTACCATTAATTTCTTAAAGGCCCAATATGCCTCACAAATGATTTTATGTTTATTTCTCAAAAACCTTTTAACTGTTGTACTTTTACTGTATCAATAAAAGTTACTTATTGGCCAATTACCTAAACCATCTTTTTCATCTGTTGCTTTTTGACAATAAGTATAGTTATAGTAAATAGTATTTTGTATGGAAGTCAAAATACTACTTTGTTCACATTTTGATACATTTATGACTTGATAAAGGTATTGCACATTAATCGATACTTTCTTTAGGTGACAAGTTCCGTGCTTGTCTTTCAAAAGAAGATATTAGCCAATTACCTAAACTTTTTTTTTCATCTGTTGCTTTTTGGCAAGTATAGTTATAGTGAATTAGAATTTTGTATGGAAGTCAAAATACTATTTTGTTAACATTCTGATACATTTATGACTTTAAAAAGTTATTTTACATTAATCGATACTTTCTTCGGGTAACAAGTTTGTCCTTCAAAAGAAGATACATTTATTTGTTTATAAGGCATTATGTACCTTTAGGTTAAGAAACAGAACGGAAAATCAGTTTAGTTAAATATGACCCCATCGTTAAAGGTAACACTCCTTCTAACTTATCATTTTCTATAACTGCTTTGATAAGGATGTTTATTGTTACACTTATAACATAATTGAAAGCAACACAAATATCATTACATAGAGAAAAAATCCTCTATTGATTAAAACATTGATCTTACATTATTTTTTTAAATCTCAATAAAAGTTTCAAATACAAGAATAAATAAAGGTTAAAAAATCATGTGAACAGATTGGTTAAAGAACAATAGCCACCCAAAATGTGTGTTTTGATATAATTCGTTCATACATCTTAATGTATCATACATAATTCTAATTATATTGCATTTACCCTCTCTGTTATCATTAATGAAAGACCTTTTATATTAAAACTGCCTTTATACACACAACAATTGAAATTCCTAAAAGGATGCCATTTCGAAGCTTGTTCTCTTTTACATTGATTTAAATACAAGCATCCTTAAGGGAAGCAACAACAACAATTGTATTGTGCTTATGTCATTTATTTACATATATAAATGACGATTCAATATAATTGACATATATAATTGGCTGGGTACAACAGTATAGTAACGTAACATATTTACAATGATAAAACAATGTAATTAATTAACCTTAACCCAGCCAATATACCTTATATACAATATGTACAAGAGAAGGTGGTGCATACAAAAGCCACACAAGTCAGTCTTGTGTTTTGGCACATAGTCCAAATAAAATCAGATCACACTGCGCTAAAAATGTATATCAAATTTAGTTTTTGTACATATTTACTATTCGCTTTAACATAATTTAATCCGATTGAGTACTGTAAAAAATGTGTGTAATATTTCAGTGTATATAGCTATAGTCTGATTTTATTGATCTGTCAATTATGAATACATTATATCACTAATTTAAATATTCGATCCTACGTCGAGTTTTCGAGTGTAAAACAAATATTTTGAAAAGTCATACTAGCCTAATGTTTTTGACGTCGTCATGTCCGCAATAGCACAGCTTATATATGAGAGGTATGTGATTCAATTCCTAGTGTTGCCATTGTTTTTAGATCTACTCTTTTTTGCAGTATATCCTAATGGAAATGGCAAAGTGCTTGAAAAATTGTCTACACGCATTTGAAGCAACTTAGAAATTCCCTTTTTAATCGTTTTAAATTGTACTTTATGGCCTTGAAATGACATTTATTGACATTTATCCTAATGGTTTTTAATATTTATTATCACACCACGTTATCTATAAAATATGAACTTTACCTAAATAAGTGCAAAACATAATTAAACAAAAAAAAACAGCATAAAAAATCAAAGCTTCAATAATGTTGAAAATATAAGCAAGAAATAAACATTGACCCACGCGGTCTTGAACTAACAACACGTAGGACATTCCTTAGTTTACATATACCGCTATTATAATTTTATACGCTCATATATTAAGTATTTCATAGACACGTATAAAGTTTAATTACACCTTACTGCGTACATCTCATTAAACTTACCGAAAGTCCATCGAAGATTAATATATTGTGTGTGCATTCACCGTATAATAAGCATGCAAGTGGCGTGTTAACAATACACAATGTGTTCACTTGTAGAGGTGTATCAATTTATATGTATAACTTGTTACAAAACCAGGCTATAATCAAATATATTTGTCACTCGCACAAGGTCTAATTACACACGATTCCAGTATATATGTATATTATTGCTTAGCTTATTGTAGTTTACTTTATGTAAGAAAACCTAAAATTTTTGTTTGTGATACAGATCATTCATCTAAATGAACCGAGTTATTGAAGTCGGCATCATCGACAGAGAAAGTTGGATTTACATGAGATGGCTCTTACGGTTCGCCTGTAATCAATGTAGTCTCATTAATGCTTTCATAGACGTTTGGAACTGCAGATGGACTGAGCTGGCTTGTTGGAACGTCAATCCTCTTGAAGCTTAATTGCTCATACTCATTCTGTTTCTTACTTAAGCTCATGTATTCACTCTCTTGATTCTTAAAATAAAATTGATGATCGTTCATTAGAAATTTGACACTGAAAGAATGTACTTCAAACGTCCCACCATTTAAAAGTAGATGTTAATCAGTGTCTACTATATCAATTTTTTTAAAACTTTAAATAGCAATTTAAAAAACAAAATTGAGATTCGAGACGATTTGAGTGAGTCATTTTGCTTATTGGGTATTTAAAATAAGGTTTTGTTTTGTGAATTTATGAATAAAGACCATTTATAACATACTAACTTTCTGATTCCCCAGCTCATCAAAGTTGCTTATAACATCATAACTTGAATCGGTTCTGCTTGGTTTATTAGCAGGCGGTGTCATATAGGCTATGTCAGAAGCATAAGTCACACGGTCATCGCCTTTGTTTCCATTTTTGTTGCGTCTGCTTAATGTCAAAGTCAAGAGATTTAATTTTTCTAAAATAAAATGGTAATGAGTGACAGAAAAAAGGTACAACTCAAAATAATGATGACACTACGTGTATAATTTAACTAAAATTATTTATACTCCTTGTCCTTACTTTACAATACGTTGTAATTCTTTAAATCTTTTCCGAAAAGATTATGTGATCAAATTAACAAGAACATGTCAGTCTTGATTTGAACTTTTTGAAGAAAGTCATGCATTATTATGAATTCTAACACGATCCGCATAGAAGAACCTAAAGTGTGTGTCATTGTGCAATAAAATCACTGTTTGACGTTCTATAATAAGACAAGTGAAGTAATCATTATACACGTGACGTAACCACTAAAAATGTGACGCGCTAAAAATAAGTACGGAAACAAATCAGGAATAATTCAGTTTAATATCAGGTACGGCAGCATTTGTTAGTTGATGTCGTGTTAGAATCAAATAATATATCCAAATCGGTGATTTTATCGCTTGATAAAATCACTGTTTGTCGTTCCTTGCATCCGAACTCCAAACAGTATTTTTATTGAGCGATAAAATCACAGCTTGAGATATATTATTTCTTAAACAAAATCTATGACTCTGGCGTTTGCATCATAATAGTAAAAATATTTACTTTTTAACGATAACGCAAACAAGGACATTTATGACAATGATGAAGACTGCAAACCCGACAGTGCTCCCAACAATAGCTGCAATCGGTAGCGTAGTTTTCGGTTTGGGTGTTGACGGACTGGCTTTTTCAAACACTGTTGCCACCTTTGAATTTGTCGTAGTCGTTTGCACCTCAGATAATGATAAGGTTGTTTTGGGATAACTAATTGAAGGTACTAATGATGTAGTGAAAGCAGTTGTAGTAGTAGGAGTAGTTGAAGTAGTAGGAGTAGTTGGAGTAGTTGTAGTAGTAGGTGTAGTAGTAGTAGTAGTAGTAGTAGTAGTAGTAGTAGTTGTTGTAGTAGTAGGAGGAGTAGTAGTAGTAGTAGTAGGTGTAGTAGTAGTAGGTGTAGTTGTAGTAGTAGGAGTAGTAGTAGGTGTAGTAGTTGTAGTCGTAGTTGTAGAAGTAGGTGTAGTTGTAGTAGTAGGAATAGTTGTAGTAGTAGGTGTAGTAGTAGAAGTAGTAGGAGTAGTTGTAGTAGTAGGTGTAGTAGTAGTAGTAGAAGTAGATGTAGTAGTAGGTGTAGTAGTAGTAGTAGAAGTAGTTGTAGTAGTAGGTGTAGTAGTAGGAGTAGTTGTAGTAGTAGGTGTAGTAGTTGTAGTCGTAGTTGTAGTAGTAGTACTAGGTGTAGTTTTTGTAGTAGTTGTAGTAGTAGGTGTAGTAGTTGTAGAAGTAGTTTTAGTTGTTTTTGTCAATTCAACTGTTACAATAGATATAACATAATATTTTAATCACTTCTAAACATGTATCTACCATCTTGTAAAACATTTGACATTCACTCAACATAACACATTTGACATTCACTCAAAAATTTGATGCTAACAATTATAAACTGAACAAATTGTGCTATGCAAATTCAAAGATAAAGTATAACAATACACTAGTGCTTTCACAACAATAGCTTTTTTTATAAATGAAGTACTTCACTTTAGTGTTGTTACATTTTTCAGTTCCTTCGGGATGATTGATTCCAGCACTTTTAAGTGTTGAAAATTGCTTCAGCTCAAGCCGGTGTTAGGGGACTTAAAGGATGTTGCACTTTCTCATTATCCCACATTAACAAACTCATAAACAGACTCAATCAAATCGAGTCTACAATTCTCATGTAAGTTGTTGTGATTAATGCTTCAAAGATTTTTAAAAATTAAACAAGAAATATCCTTTATGTCTATCATTTTCTAATATCTTAGAACATGGTATTTTACAACGCTTAGCTACGGAATATTTGTCTTAAGAATCGTGATAAGTTAACATGTATTTCTAACATTGTTTCTCTACCTTAAGTACATCTGGTCTATAACGCAAGTTAAACCTGAAAGAAACATATTTTAATATTGCATTTTTGCATCAGTAATAAAGCCTACATGTTAATACGACCATTTTCACATGTTGTGCCATCACTTCTTAGTGCTACGTTGTCTTCGCATGCACACTTGTATCCGTTATTTTTAGGTAGACAAAATGTACTGCATGGATCTCGCGCATTTTTCTCAGAGCAGGATGCTGACTCTTGATATATTCAAATGTTCAACATCAATAGACACCGCGATGAACTTAATGAATAGAACAAAATGTAATTTATAATAATTTTATTGTTCTTATTGAAAACTATCGCTTCATAATCCTGAAAAAATTGAGAAATTCCATTTGAGTTATGTACATGTATAAAATGTCAACCAGTAAGAAAAATATAACTTACGTGATTGGTCAAACTTTGAACTATATATTGCTAGCGAATTCAATTTTCCTAATTCCGCCTTGTAACCAACCTTTATAACACTTGAAGGATTTGTCTTGGACAATTTGGAAATATATCTAAATATAAATATTCATACGGTGATCAATGTATGTCATATGAAAAGTTTAGTATACAATTAACGGTTTTTAATTTTACGTTGCAAGTACAACTGACTTCTTGTAATAACATGTAATTAGAAAGATAAACACAAAATAGTCATAATTTATATTTCAATTTAAACATAAGTGGACGCTGCACTAGGTGTTATTTTTGAAAAAAAAATCATTTTGTTTAATACATTCAAGTAAGAATAATCTAGCCAATTCCTAGGACCTAATATGTTACAAAATTGAAGTCGGGACTGCACAGTAGTTTGAAATACTGTTTTATCCACCCATTGTTTTCATTCAGGCACTATTCAGAATTGTCTTAATATATAATGTTGAGAAAAATGAGATGATTATAATAGTACGGATTTATATTTACAAAATGAACGGAAATCGACCTTAAAAACAAGACATAATATTTTGCATACAACTTACGGTCTTTCCGAAGCAGTGTAATACAAATAATCACCAAGTAATGTTATGTCCATAAGATGAGACTCACTGTCGGAAAAATGTTCCTTGCAATCACCATGGTATGAGCATTTGTATATAATGCTTGTTTGACCGTCGGTTATGTACAAAAAATTAGCTGAAACAACATATGAAAAATTTTCAAGCATCTAAGCTGCAGTTATTTCTTTTTAGAAATATAAACGTTTGACATATTTGTACCGCCTATCATTTTCATCTTTGAAAACTATATGTCTTTCAATAAAATGGTAATAACTTGATAAGTACCAAATTAGATATGATCTGATCGTAATTTAGATTTTGTAGGGAGTTATGTTGCTAATGTTGTTAAAAATTGTATCCAATGTTTCATTAAAATACTCCGTCATATCAATCAATCATTACAATATAACAATAGTTAAAACAATTGTTATAAGAAACTGTTCTCTGTTTTAGTTTATCGTGTACCATTTGCAACACTCGCACAAATATCAGGGGGAATGTGATTCCTATATTTTCACATAGCAATTTTTATAAATGTATCTTTTGACTTTAGATTTTGTAGGGAGTTATGTTGCTAATGTTGTTTAAAATTGTATCCAATGTTTCATTATTACATGTTTTGTATCGATTCACGTTCGTTTTTAACTGTTAGTAAATGTGGTAACACAAATGTCACAAATGTCTGATTTTAATTTAATTTTATGTTAACAAACCTCTGCCTAAACTTTAGTGAGTAAAAACGAATTCATGTAACCAATATAGAAACATTTTAATCTTAAAACAATGATGGGATCAAGTTTACGAATGTCCTAAAAATTTAAGGGCACCAAGTCGTTTGAAGATGTATATCATACCTTAATTTGGAAACATTGAGAAAGCACCTGACCTGTTTTGTAATATGCTTTGATAAGTGAGTAGGTTTTCTTTAATGCTAGTTAGTGACAATAACATTTTTTCTATTTTAAATTTTGAATAAAATATTTTGAAAATATTTCATATATCTTTACGTAATAGTACAGTGATTAACCAAACATTTTGTATCAATTGCTAGACCATTTGGCCGGACAAGACCGTTGTTAATGATTTGCTTAACGTCTGAACCATCCATGTTTGCTCTTGCTACATAGGGAGTGTCATACCCATGGTCCGCCCAAAACACCAGTCTGTCAGGAAAACAACAATATTGATATCACAATATTTAGAATATTATAAGTACGATTCTACCAAAGGTGTCACTAACAGCATACAGTTAATTACCTTATATGTTTAATTTTCTTTCAGTTGTCCTTTTCGTTGAACATTATATAAATAACACATGGGTTCGTGGGTAACAGTAAAAATATCATCCCGAGGAAAATACTGTTACCCGAGGCGTAGCCGAGGGTAACAGTATTTATACGAGGGATGATATTTTTACTGTTACCCACAAACCCATGTGTTATTTATTTTATTACCCCGAACAAATACTGTGATGATCTGAATTTGGCAACTAAATCTAACTGTAACAAAAATAAGCCAAGAGAAGCAATAACTAAACTGTCCTTACCTTGCAAGTTTTAAGTGCACTGTAGGCCTACTTGAGAAGCTGTTTTTCTTTTATTCTTTAGGCAAGTGATGATATCTACCAGTCATAAACATAAAATAAGCTGTGTTTTATTCAGAAAACAAAACACTAACCCATTTATAAGGTTATGATCTGTGAAATCTGATCCTTCTGCATCCAGAATATTCTTCGCATGGTTTTTGACAAAGTGCATTTAGAAAATAACGATGATATCCTACAGATGTCTGTCCACCAACTCTATCTGTAACGTTTCACTGGTTAAAATTTTTAAATTATCCTTTGTTGCATGCTTTAATTGTCTGCATGTTCCAGTTTGACACAAAATTATTTACATTACAATTACTTCCGTTGAAAACGGAGGTTTCCTGTTGACTATTCAACAAAAAGATATTTAATTCGCGAAAGGGACTCCAGGGTGCAAAGAACTAAATTTTATCAGAGTAATAGTTACTTCGGCGATGCCCTATCGTCGAAAATAAGAATGAATCGAGAAAAAAAAATGGCGGCCGTTTTATTTCATTTTATTTAGAAAATAGACCACGTGACCAGATTTTATACTGTTAAAAAATACTGTTACCTATGTAGTATGTATCAGTACAAAATTCGTAGTCACGAGGTACACTTGCATTAACAGTAAGAATAACTCCCAGAGGCCTATGGGAAATTAGCATTACGAAAAAAGTGAGGGGTAATAAAAAGAATTATTGATACCTCAATTTTCAAGGACGTCTTGGCAATTGAATCTTAAGGTGAAATCTACCTGTCATATTGCTTTACTATTGGCGTAACAAAAACAGCCGGTTTACACAAAAATACTTTTCACTGCTTATTTGTTACTGGTTTGTTTTAAAATATAACCCAATTTACTTAAATGATGCTTTAGTTGCAACAGTGAGGAAATGCCATGCATATTCGGAGCTATTTTCTATATTATTTATTTACCTATACGTTGAGTGTCCATGATATACATGTATATGATAGGATAAACATAATAAAACATATATTCTTAGTTTTGTACAAAGCTTCTTTTGCAAGATGAAAAAGTAGTTTAACGATTAACATAACTAAGTTTATAGTTACCCTTCATCAGAATCGAGAACAATATCTTTTGGTTTTGATTCAGTAGTAAGGAGACGTTTGTGAAGGCTTTTCGGTAAAATAACACCAATTCCAACAAATCCTGACTCTGAAGTAGGGTTAGCTGTGTAGTACAAGTTTCCACTCGGATAGTCGATAGCAAAACGATCTGCTTGGCAACCTAGTAACTCTGCTGGAATTGTTTTATTAATGATACTTCAAAATTAAAAGACAAAATATATGCAACATAGTATATGCAACATAGTAAACGAGAACTTACAAAAATAAAATCAAACAAATTATGGGTAAATTAAGGCTACATAGATTCCAATAGTGTGCGAAAAACAATGTTGCTACCAGGGTTGTTCAAATATGTATGCAACTGTGTCAATTGTCAGAAGTGCTTAACAAACAGTGTAAAAATAATCATCTCAATCCTTCAAAATACTCACAACCATGATATATACAAAGTTTTAAAATAACTATTTTAATCAAATCTTTAAATGCGTTTTCATAATACTTTCGGGGTATAATGTTCAGACACTGGGAAATAGCCGAACCGCATTTCGCATTTGATTGTTTGATATATTCTTCCAGCAATGTGTTTTTTTGAGCCTCAGAAATAGGAAAACAAGGAACAAGATCTTACGAATAAGGAATAAGGAGGGTGAGGGAGCACGACAACCTTTGACTGTGTGCAATGGCCGCTTTGTTAGACGAAGCATTGCTATACAACATCCGGACACCACGAAGACCAGTTGCTGGTCGACGGTTTTTTAAATGTGTCTTTAATATTTAAAGGATCCTACCTTTATAAAGTTTGGCAATTACAGTTTTACCCTTTGGTACGGCAATTTGAATAGCAGGACCTTGATTGGGAAAGAAAATTACATACATGACCTTTTTGACGCTCAAGTTGCGTTTTGCTATTCATTCAAGGTCTTTGACTCCCTTAAGTTGACCATATTTTGTTATTTATCTTTCGCTTGGGCTCTTAAAATTGAACCCACGTCTCATTGCCAGTGATGATATTTTGCAAAAGAGCGGTTGTTGTATTAAGGGAACTGATTCACCAATTGTCCGGATATTCTTACCCGAGCAAGGTTTTTCTCTTTTGTAAACAGACAGAGTATCCATCTGGCACTTATCCTTTTCATTTTTAAATCAAGTCTGTGAATTGTATGCTCCTACAGAAATACCAACGCATTTAGCTATATACCTAGTTGTAACTCTTGCATCAGTAGCAATCAAATTCTTTACTTTTTCAACAATTTGTGTCGAAATTGCAGTTTTCAGACGGCGTGCATGAGGTGCATCTTTTAGTGAATCCACACCACTATTAAATTTCCTACACCACCATGGGTCTTTCGCATGTATACCAGGAATACAGCAGTCCTTGATATAGAACCGTATTTGGTCAGTGAAAGGAGACATTTTCCCAAGCATTTTCGCTTTGGTATAAACAAGTAAATAGCGTTTATCATGCTATTGTCAAAGCTAAACTGAACTGATTTACAAACTATAGTATCAATTGAAAGCTTACACAACCATCTATGCGATACATGTACATAGTTGGGGCAAACGTCTTAAAAAGCGAGATATTGGCACAGCTGCATTCATATTTGAACACCCTTCTAAAAACAATAATTAATAATATTATATCATTTTATGAAGTTGAAATGTTTAGGAAACAATATTGTTTACCAACATTTTAAATTTACTATAAAATATGGCCATATTTCGATTTGATACTTACCTGTTTTAAAGAAAACCTTATAATTATGATTTTCAAGACTTAGTTGATGAATCAATTCCTTGGTACTCCACATCAGCTCCCTTGTAATATAATTATACGCAATAGCGATTGGGCTCCCGAAAGTGTCTGTGTCAATAGCTCTAACCTCATCGTTAACTAGGGACACCTGATATATCGTATTATGTGTCAATTCAGTAACCACGAGAAAATTGTCTGTCATAGGAGCTGCAAGAGAAGAGACATTTTTTTTATCAAAAGTATAATAAATAAAAAATAAACGTCATTTTATTCTAAAAAGATCAATCTACTTGTTAAGAGCTGCTAAACAGCATTTACAATAGCTTTAAAAATTCCCGATTACCTTTTTCATAATATGCTTTTTTGTTAAGAACCATTAAATGTCGTTAGGAACTACAGAGTAGATTCTAAACATTTTGTATCGGGGTGAGAATAAACACGACTTCGCGTCGTGCGCCGACCTGACGTTTAAGGCGATTATCAAGGTGGTTTTAACGAATGGCGAAAAGACGATAACATGCAATTAAAATGACAGACAAGCTTAACGAAAAGGGTCAAAATTACTTAATAATATGATATTTATGCACACCAGTTTCTCATTTAATGTTTAGATTTAAATTTCTTCTGCTCCTTTTAGATATTATTATAATCGTTATTCATATTTTTTTAAACTTTAAATTTTAGAGGAAGTTGTAGTAGTAGTAGTAGTTGTTGTAGTGGTGTAGTTGATGTAGAAGGGGTAGTTGAAGTAGAATGGGTAGTTGAAGTAGAAGGAGTAGTTTTAGTAGAAGGAGTAGTAGTAGCAGTTGTAGTATTTGTAGTAGGAGTAGTAGTTCTGGGGGCGTGAGGGATGTTGCACTTATTCATTATCCCTTATGTACAGACTCAATCAAACCGATTATGCAATTCTTATGTTATTTTGTTGTGATTAATGCTTCCGAGGGATCACTTTGTTTCCAGAATTTTATTGGAAGGAGTAGTTGAAGTAGTTGTAGTAGTAGAAGTTGTAGTAGATGTAGTTGTTGTAGCAGGAGTAGTTGGTAAAATAGAAGGAGCAGTTGCAATTGTTTCATTTGTTACAATAAATATAACATAATCTTTTTATCACTTCTAAACATGTACTCAATAACATCTTTACATAAAATTTTTGACATTTACCCAAAAATTTGATGCTAATAATTATAAACTGAAAAAATTGTGCTATGCAAATTTTAAGATAAAGTTCAACAATACACTAGTGCTTTCACAACAATAGCTTTTTTTTTATAAATAAAACATGTAATTTCAAACATAAATGAAGTACTTCACTTTGGGATGATTGACTTCAGCACTTTTTTAAGTGTTGAAAATTGTTTTCATCCCAAGCCAGTGTAAGAGGACGTAAGGGATTTTGCACTTTCTCATTATCCGTCATAAACAGACTCAATCAAACCGAGTCTACACTTGTCATTGTAATTTTGTTGTGATTAATGCTTCAGAGGGATCAACCTCCTTCCAGATTTTCATAAATTTTCTATTTTTATACATAACAAGAAAAATGCTCTATGCCTATCATTTACCTTAGAACAAGGTATTTTACAACGCTTAGCTAAGGAATATGAATCGTGATAAGATTACATGTATCTTTTAAACATTGCTTCTCTACCTTAAATACATCTGATCATAGATGCAAGCTAAACTTGGAAGAAACATGTATCAATATTACATTTTTGCATCAGTAATATAAAACATACATGCTTTATAAAATACAATACCATTTTCACATGTTTTGCCATCACTTTTTAGTGCTACTTTGTCTTCGCATGCACACGTGTATCCGGTTTTTTTAGGAAGACAAAATGTACTGCATGGACCAAGCCCATTATTCTCAAAGCAGGCTGCTGATTCTGTAAATATTCAAATGTTAATCATCAGTAGACGGTAGACACCTATTAGAAGGAAGTGCAATGAACTTTAGAAATAGAAAAAGAATTTAATTTATAAATGTTCTTATTGATAACTATCGCTTCATATTCCCTAAAAAAATGAGAAATTCCATTTAAGTTATAAACATGATTGTATAAAATGTAAACCAGTAAGAAAAATATAACTTACGTGATGGGTCTAGCATTGAACTATAAATTGCTAGCGAATCCAATCTCCCAAATTCCTCATTGTAACCAATTTCAATAACACTTGAAGGGTTTGTTTTGGACAATTTGGAAATATAGCTAAATATAAAATGTTCATACTTCATATTATGATCAATGTATGTCATATTTCTGCGAACGTTTAGTATACAATTAACGGTTTTTTTTATTTTAAGTTGCAAATACAACTTACATCATGTAATTAGAAAGATAAACACAAAATAGTCCTTAATATTTCAATTTAAACAAAAGTTGACGCTGTACTAGGAGTTATATATTTAAAAAATAATTTTGTTTTAATACATTCAATTAAGAAAAATCTAGCCAGTTCCTAGGATCTAATATGTTACAAAATTGAAGTCGGGACTGTTCAATATTTTTAAATACTGTTTGATTGACCCATTGTTTCCAGGAAATATTCAGAATTGTCTTTAAGTTAATATATAATATTGAGAAAAAATGAGAAGACTATAAAAGTACGTATTTATATTTACAAAATGAACGGAAATTGACCTTTAAGCAAGACATAATATTTTGCATGCAACTTACGGTCTATTCGAAGCGGTGTAATACATATAATCACCAAGTAGTGTTATATCCATGAGGTGAGACCCACTGCCTGTAAAATGTTTCGTGCAATCACCACCGTATGAGCATTTGTATACAATATCTTTTTTACCGTCGGTTATGTACAAAACTTGTTCTGAAACAACATATCAGAAATATTTTTAAGCATTTAAAAAGAATAATGCAATGGAGATCATAAACGATTCCTTTTTCTCAATTAACACAATAACCCTAAGCTGCAGTTATTTCTTTTTTAGATATACAAATGTATAAACGTTTGACATATTGTATCGCCTATCATTTTCATCTTTAGAGGTTATTTGTTTTTCAATAAAATGATAATAACTTGATAAGTACCAAAATAGATACGAACTGAATGTAAGTTAGATTTTGTATGGAGTTAAGTTGCTAATTTTGTTTAAACTTGTATCCCTTTTTCATTAACATTCTCCGTCATATCAATCAATCATAATAACAGTTATTAACTATTAAATTATTTTTTCGTGTACCACTCGCACGAATATCAGGGGGAAATGCGGTTCCTATATTTTCAATACACATTTCAGTTTTTATCAATGTATCTTTTGACATTACATTTTTTATTGATTCACGTTTGTTTTTAACTGTTAGTAAAATAGTACTTGCAATCAGTAATCAAATTACACAAGTGTCTGGTAATTATAATTAATCATACAAATTAATGAATACTGTTATATTAAACAAACCTCTGCCTTTATTTAAATGAAAAAAACAACAACATAGAAACGTTAATCTTAGACCAATGAAGCGATCCATTGGACGAATGTCCTAAAAATTTCCCGACACCAAGTCGTTTGAAAATGAAGTACATACCTTAATTCGAAACATTGAGAAAACACTAGGCCTGTTTTATAATATGCTTTATGATAAGTGAGTACTATTTCTCTAATGCTAGTTAGTGACAATGACACAATATTTCATTTTTCTTTAAATAAAAGCACAGTGATTAACTATACCCTTTGTATCAACTGCCAGACCATTTGGCCAGACAAGATCGTTGGTAATATTCTTAGCGTCTGTACCATCCATGTTTGCTCTTGCTACATAGGGTGTATCATATCCATGGTCTGTCCAAAACATAAGTCTGTCAGGAAAACAACAATATTGATATCAGAATATTTAGAATATTATAAGTATGATTCTACAAACCGTGTAACTAAGAGCATATAGTTAATTTCCATACATGTTTAATATTCTTTGAGTTTTCCTTGTCGTTGAACACAAAGAATTAATGGTATCTTAATTAAAAGGGATTGATTTTTTGCAATTTAGTCTTATGATAAAATGAAATCTGTCTGTCATATTGTTTTACTATTTGAGTACCAAAAACAGCCGATTTACACAAAATACTTTTCTCAGCTTATTTGTCACTGGTTTGCTTTGAAATATAACCCTTTATACTCAAATGATGCTCCAATTGCCAAAGTGAGGAATTGTTAGGCATATTCGGAGCTATTTTATTGGTTTATCTATGTATTGAAGTTTTATGATATACATGTATATGATGGGATAGAAGCAATGTAAAATTGGGTATAAATTATATTCTTAGTTTTGTATAAAACTTCTTTTGCAAGATGAAAAAGTAGTTTAACGAATAACATAACTAAGTTTATAGTTACCCTTCATCGGAATCGAGAACAATATCTTTTGGTTTTGATTGAATAGTAAGAAGATGTTTGTGGAGGCTTTTCGGTGAAATAACACCAATTCCAACAAATCCTGTCTCTGAAGTAGGGTTAGCGGTGTAATATAAGTTTCCACTCGGGTAGTCGATAGCAAAACGTTCTGCATGAAACCCTAGTAACTCTGCTGGAATTGTTTTATTAATGAAACTTCAAAATTAAAAGACAAAATATATGCAACATAGTATTTGCAACATAGTAAACGAGAATTTACAAAAATAAAATCAAACAAAATATGGGTAAATTAAGGCTACATAGATTTCAATAGTCTGAGAAAAACAAACAATGTTGATACCAGGGTTGTTCAAATATGTATGCAACTATGTCAATTTTAAGAAGTGCTTAAAGAACAGTGTAAAAATAATCATCTCAATCCTTCAAAATACTCACCACCATGAGATATACACAGTTTTAAAATAAGTATTTTAATCAAATCTTTAAATGCGTTTTCATAATACTTTCGGGGTATAATGTTCAGACACTGGAAAATAGCCGTACCGAGATATTTTCGCATTTGATTGTTTGATATTTTCTTCCAGCAATGTGTTTTTTGAGCCTCAGAAATAGGAAAACAAGGGACAGATCTTACGAATAAGGAATAAGGAGGGTGAGGGAGCTCGACAGCCTTTTCCTGTGTGCAATGGCCGCTTTGTTAGACGAAGCATTGCTATACAACAACCGGACACCACGAAGACCAGATGCTGGTCGACGGTTTTTTTAAATGTGTCTTTAATTCTTAAAGGACCTTACCTTTGTAAAGCTTGGCATTTACAGATTTACCCTTTGGTACGGCAATTTGAATAGCAGGACCTTGATTGGGAAAGAAAATTACATACATGACCTTTTTGACGCTCAAGTTGCGTTTTGCTATTCAAGGTCTTTGACTCCCTTTGGTTGACCATATTTTGTTATTTATCTTTCGCTTGGGCTCGTAAAAGTGAACCCACGTCTCATTGCCAGTGATGATATTTTGCAAAAGATCGGTTGTTGTATTTAGGGAACTGATTCAATAATTGTCTGGATACTTTTACCCGAGCAAGGTTTTTCTCTTTTGTAAACAGACGGGGTATCCATCTGGCACTTATCCTTTTCATTTTTAAATCAAGTCTGAGAATTGTATGCTCCTACAGAAATACCAACGCATTTAGCTATATACCTGGTTGTAAATCTTGCATCAGTAGCAATCAAATTCTTTACTTTTTCAACAATTTTTGTCGAAATTGCAGTTTTCGGACGGCGTGCATGAGGTGCATCTTTTAGTGAATCCACACCACTATTAAATTTCTTACACCACCATGTGTCTTTCGCATGTATACCAGGAATACAGCAGTTGTTGATATAGAACCGTATTTGGTCAGTGAAAGGAAACACTTTCCCAACCATTTTAGCTTTAGTATACACAAGTAAATAGCGTTAATCACGCTATTGTCAAAGCTAAACTGAACTGATTTACAAACTATTGTATCAATTGAGAGCTTACACAACCATATATGCGTTACATGTACATAGTTCGTGCAAAACGTCTTAAAAAGCGAGATATTGGCACAGTTGCATTCATATTTGAACACCCTTCTAAAAACAATAATTAATAATATTAAATCATTTTATGAAGTTGAAATAATTAGGAAACAATATTGTTTACCAACATTTTAAATTTACAATAAAATATGGCCATATTTCGATTTGATACTTACCAGTTTTAAAGAAAACCTTATAATTATGATTTTCCAGACTTAATTGATGAATCAGTTCCTTGGTACTCCACATCAGCTCCCTTGTAATATAATTATACGCAATAGCGATTGGGCTCCCGAAATTGTCCGTGTCAATAGCTCTGACTTCTTTATCGTTAACTAGGGAAACCTGATATATCGTATTATGTGTCAATTCAGTAACCACGAGAATATTGTCTGTCATAGGAGCTGCAAGAGAAGAGACATTTTTTATAAAAAAAATAAGAATAAATAAAAAATAAACGTCATTTTATTCCTTTAAATAAAAAATATACTCGTTAAGTGCTGCTAAACAGCATTTACAATAGCTTTATAAATTCCCGACTACCTTTATCATAATGAATGTCCTTTTAAATGAACCATTAAATGTCGTTAGAAATAGCAGAGTATAGATAGATAGTTTTATTCTGGTAAAAAATACATGCCATAAAACAACTACAAATTCAATGTCAACATCAAGAGATACATGTAAACATGAAAGTGCATGTGTTGATGCCATATATTCAATACCAAGGATGACACAAAAAGAAGGCATAAGCCGACTTATTTCTATTGTGGTCCTTAGAAATGATCATATGGCACCAGAAAGGCAAAATATTTACTAATTATAATTTAAGTATTGCACATAAATTATTCAATCACAATTTCTTATATCAATTATTGCACATAAGTATTTCCATCACAAAATTTATCACACATGTATTATAATCATAATTATTATGACAGATATGTTTGACAATGAATAGGTTCTACTAAAATATGCACTAAACATAAAAAATATATATAAATAAAAACTAGGTAAGATGACTTGATTAAAATGACTAAACAGATATTGATTGCATTAAATGTTCCTTAAGAGATTTTTTAAAATTATCACGACTTGCTATGAACCTAAGATGTGTTGGTAACCTGTTCCATTCCTGACAACCATTAAATACAAATGTTTTCTTACCGAACCCCTTAACTCTTGGAATAGAATAACTGTTACTATCTCTAAATCGAGTGGAGTAAGAGTGTACCTCATTTGCAATTTGAAAATGCTCATTTAAATAACTAGGTGCACTATTGTTATGTATCTTGTGTACATGACCAAGAATAAGGAAATTTACTCTCAGATGTACAGGTAACCAACCAACTTCCTCAAAATGAGCCCTCCCTATATGAGTACGGGGTCTGAGATTAAGTATAAATCTCACCAACTTATTCTGTGTGGCATGAAGTCTATTTTTTAGATTTTGACTCAACCCTAAATACCAGGAGGCACACGCATAATCAAAATGACATTGTATAAATGAAGAAACTAAAAGCTGTTTAGTATACCTATTTAAAAATGAACTTTTTCTATATAAAAACTTAAGTTTTGCATTGGCCTTCTTAATTACCTGGTTGGCTATAGACTCACCAGATAGACATTGATCTAGGTCAGCACCTAAGTACTTAACAGATTTGGTGGATGTTATTGTAGTACCATTACATACAATATTTAGTTGATCACATGACCTAAGTCTTGGTTTGGACGCAAATAAAATAGACTCTGTCTTTCCAAGATGTAAGGAAAGTTTATTATCAGTGAGCCACTTACTCACACTGCTGAGATCATCAGTAAGCTGAGAGGTAATATACTGGATATCTTTACCTGATACTAAAATACCTGAGTCATCAGCATACAGAAGCAATTTATTACGAACCACAGCCTCCATATCATTAACATAAATCAAGAATAGGAGAGGGCCAAGGATCGAACCTTGGGGTACCCCACAAGTTACATTGGTGCTAGATGAAAGTACACCGGAGACATTGACCATTTGTGTACGGTTAGATAAGTAAGACCTAAACCAGTGAATAACATCACTAGAAAAACCCATAGCATCAAGTTTCATGAGTAAAATATTATGATCGACAGTGTCGAACGCCTTTTGTAAATCTAAAAGGACCATACCAACATAATTACCTTTATCCATTTCAAATTTAATGAAATCTGTAAGGTGTAAAGGCAAGTGTCAGTAGAATATCTATGTCTAAAACCAGACTGATGGGTATAAAGTACGTTATTCTCTGATAAGTAACTCCCTACTTGGTCATAAATAATTCTCTCAAGGACCTTTGACACTACACTTAAAATAGACACTGGTCGATAATTACCAGGTTCAGTCTTATTATTTTTTTTATACAATGGAACAACACGGGCAGACTTGAGATCATCTGGAACAATACCAGTAATAATGGACAAATTAAGTATATGAGTAAGGGGTTCAGCAATGTTGTGAACACTATCCTTTATAAATCGCGCAGGTATACCATCCAAGCCTGTAGCTTTATTGGCCCCTAGTTTATTTAAGTACTTAATTACTGTTCCCTTAGTAACAACAGATAAAGAAAAGCTGTTACGTACAACACCTTTTTTACTATAAAAATATAATATAAAGTTTCTTCCAAAATTATTCATACCAGTAGGAAGTTTTTCAACTAACTTTTGAGCAACAGTCGTAAAAAATTCATTAAATTTTTCAGCAACACAAAATTTATCAAAACATAAACTATTATTGATGTTTAAACCTATATTTGAAGTCGAAGAGTCTTTTTTTGATGGTACACCTAAACCTTTTAATGTTTTCCATAACTTTTTCGAGTCAGTTCTGTGGTCTTCAATATTTTGTTTGATAAAATCAGTTTTACACTTTTTTATTTGATATTGCACTTGATTTCTAATTAGTTTATAAGGTATGAAATCTTCTTCACTACGGGATTTTTTTAAATTTTTCACAAAGTTTATCTCTCTGTTGAATCAAATCAAGTAAATCACTGCTCATCCAAGGTTCTGTTCGAGTTTTCATGCGTGTTTGCTTCACTGGAGCAATTTCATCAATAACACTCAAAAATAGTTTTTTAAAAATAGACCATGCTTTGATAACATCATCACAATATAGAATAGACATCCAGTCAAGAGTTGATAATTTTTCCTGGAAGATAACTTTGCTGTAATTTTTCATTGAACGTAAATTTACTGTATTATGATCAGTAGAATCTTTGTCAAGTCTCCTTAATTTCCTTGTACAAAAGGTTAAATAATGGTAACTAATTCCAATAGGTACTACACCACTTTGTGAGATCCTGCTGTTGTCGGATACTAATATCAAATCAATTGCTGTTGCTGATGTAACAGTGCATCTTGTTGGTTCTGAGATTAACTGGGTGTAATTCATAAAACTTAAAATAGTATTTAATGATTTCACTAAAACACAAGTACTTGAACGGTTTAAAACATCAGTATTAAAATCCCCAAGGATGATAGTTTCAAATTCTGAAAACTCCGAAAAAGATGACATGACAGACTCGAATAAAGTAGATTTCTCGATATTCATACATTTTGAATCGGCGCGTGAAAACACGACTACGTATCGTTCGGTGACCTGACGTTTAAGACAACATTCAAACGGCGAAAATTAAAGCGGTTTTAACGAATTGCGAAAAGACGATAGTATCCAATAAAAATTACAGACGAGCTTAACGAAAAGGGTAAAAATTACTTATTTTATATTTATGCACATCAGTTTCTTATTTTATGTTTAGATTGAAAGTTCTTCTGTTTCTTTTAGATCTATAATTATAATCGTGATTCAGATTTTTTAAATCTAAAATTTTCAGATTTTTGTAAAAATAAAAAGCATTTCTGACAACCATAGACAATTTCCAATTAAACAATTCATATACCAAACAATAGTTTCGTATTGAAATGAAGCCAATGAAGAAATTGATAACTACGCAAACGAGTTTTCATATTTGTCAAACCCCTCATAAAACAATTTTAACGTACCGGCTAGTTGCACCAAAACAACAGTTCGTAAGGGCACTGCCGACAGGAACAGCACTGTTAGAATAAGGGCATCCGTTTTAATTTCCATTATTAAAAAGATATAACTTAATCCAAAACAGAACTGATATGTCGGACAAATATCCACGGCTTTAACGATTCACTGGCCGGTCAATCGTTTTAAACTTCCTAGTTGAACGTCTTTTCTATAGACATGATCGTTAAAACATAACGCAAAAAAGAAGAAAGTTTTAATACTCATGAATAAATATACGTTAAATCTATTTAGGAGATGTAGAGAAACTTCTTACATGAAAAGTATGATTAAAAGATAAGATTATTTAAGAAATATGTTAAATAACGTGATTTATGAAATTAGTACATTGTATCGCAAAAATGTTGAATCATTCTTGCATCGAATTACTGTTTTACTGTAAATCTTTTAAGCTGACGTCATTAAACGAAAAACACAACAAGACTGCTCGAGTGCTTAAGGGAGGGTCTTTCAGTCACAGTAACTTTAGTTCATATTTAAATGTGATAACTAAAAAATGGAATTTATTTCACATAATCTGCCGAACATATCTTTGCGTGAATTCAACGTAAGACTCGTGCAAATAATTTATGTTCAGTGAAAGATATTCCACATAAACTAAGAACAAACATTGCTTATACATTTTATCATTTTATATTCTTACATCCCTTTTTATCCGTCGCCTGTTCAATTTACTGTTACAGATTATTTCATGAATTTGGAAACACCCATTAAAATGTTTGAGGAAATTCTTATTATAGAAGCAGGGCTAGCATACCCCCCTTACACCCCCCCCCCTGGTTATTTTTGTACACCTATATAGTATTGAAGCTAAGGGTATTTGCTATCGATTTGCATTTGTTGTTGAGCTGAAACATTAACCTTGAATCCAATAGAACAAGATGATTATCTCTCCTCGAATCATTTTTTTTCGATATATTGAGTTTTATAAGATTTCTTCAGATATCTTCTCTATGACGGAGTAAGTTTGTGATCTAAACATTGTTTTGAGTTGTAAATATATGTTTTATGATTTATACAAAAAGAAAATTTAAGTTTTAACATAAAAAATAACATAATCAATGGCGTCAGCCATTTTAAAATGGCCGCCAATTATTGAACAGATAAACAATTCATAACAATATTTAATGTGTTTATACCCATTTACTCGTATACATAGTTTGATGTAATTATTGATTATATATGACATTCTTAGTGAAATTAACCCTATGCTAAGTAAAATTCTAAATAGTCTGCTCTTGAATATTATTTCAATGTTATAGAGAAATGAACCACTATTGTTTTTGGGGTCGATTTGAGCTGCCTTTAGAGTTGGATAAGATACTTTTAATTGAATTTCCTGCGAACATGTTTTTTTGTCCTTTCTAGAAACTTAATATACTCACTTATATGAGAAACAATTTGAAAAGTTGGTATTTGACTTCTCCGTTCCGTTCCTGCTTCTGTATATCCATATGACTATATTGAATTGTATAGCTTATCCGCACCACAATGACTATTTGACTGAAACGCTGCTGAGTTCCACCAAAGGAAACTGTTCTTACTCTTATTTTATTTTTAAAAAGACTTAAGCCTTTAGTTTGTAGTTTTTCATTATTATTAGAGTAATAATTGAGATTAACGTATAATATTTCATTATCATTGTTACTGCTCTTTAAAAACATTATAAAGTAACTTCCTCTATTTTCATTGCGCCATTAGAAAAAAGGCAGACAACAGTATAGTATGCTTCTCTCTTAAAATCAATTGTTTAATAGTAATTTTGTTGATTAAATCTTTTTTGAAATGCAACACGTCATATGACAGAAGTGCAGAACTCATGACACTGATGAATCATTTCGGATGTTGTCAGTCATACTCTCAGATTTTAGAGTTGGAAACTGTGTAAAAGTACTCTTGATCGGGACATTGTTCTCCGTGATGCTATTTCTGCAAAAAGCAATTTGATAACACATATTTGCTGGGACCATTTCCACCTAAAAATCAGCTCATACCGCACACGGAATTGTCATTCAAGAAAGAGAACAGCCGTAAGGAGATGATGATGATACTAAAAGAGAACAAACATCCACTAATATATCAAATATACAGGCGACTAAGGCACGCACTGTTAAATACAAACCTGAAAAAAATGAATGAATGCTTAATTATTGGGAAATAAGAACCGTTTACTTATAAGTTTCGACAAAGAAAATGTTTCGGGTTTAGCTGTTTCCTCTGACTGTCTCTGGTTCATGTGTACATGACAAGCAGAGTATTCCCTTGTTGGGCTGGCTTGATCTCTCTAACCTCTGAGTTGCAAGATCAAACATCCTCTACAGAAGAGTATAGCCTCCTACTTATACCAAAAGTACAAAAATTGCCACTGTTTAGAAAATTCTAGAAATTTCAAGTGTTTCAAGAGCTGTAAACCAACAGTACACATTTGTGACCTTTGATTTGGCTGCTGCTAAAAAGCATATTGTATAGCATACATTTAGGGTCTTTACGTTTGCTTGGCTCATACCTAGGGGCGATTGGCAAACGGCTTCGTAGAAGTGGTTTCTCGGAAATCCTGATAGAGTTGAGTTAATGTATTTATGTGTTAACAGTTGAAGCCCTCGAAAGACTGCTTTTTGAAGAGTTTGTAGCAACAGTTATCCAAATCCACAACCCTAATGCATTGGAAGATATCAACCAAGCGTTAAATGCACTAGCTGAGAATCAGAGACGTGATCACCTTGAAGATGTGTTAGCTAATTATTCTGTCATTGAACTTTACAAGAGGTATCAAGAGTTCAAAGAAGACAGCACAGTTTTGAATAAATTTATTGCTAAGATTTGGCTGGTTCTTCGTTTTATGAAAGCCACGAAGGAAAAAGATCTTGACTTATACATTACAACATTGCAAAATGTGCTACAATTATTCTTTGTATATTATCATCAAAACTATCAAACATATAAATCTGTATATGTTTTCAGGTTGATAAATTGATTCAACACACCCAGAATCAAGAACGCTTCTTCAAAATAACGGATTCAATGTATGCAGATTCAATGTACCTGGCTCTTGTAATGCTTTTTAAATAACTATTGAGCAAATAATAAACAGTCATGCAACGCCTCCTAAAGGCATAACAGGATTCAGCAGAAATTTTGCTGCCTATTACAGATTGAGTCAAACACGACACTCGAGAGCCAGCTGTGTTGGGGCTACATTCCGCATGGCCATATCATTAGCGGATTCTCTTACACACATTGATACACAACCAGCAAATAAAACTGCATTTGAAAAAAAATATCACGATACTCAAAGAACCAATAACTAACTTTATGACTATATTTGCAACAGATAATAGGGACGTGTTGTGCTGTTTAAGTTCGTTCAGGGGCTCCTGCGCCAGAGGAGATCGAAAAGAGTCTGCTTGTTGCCTACCGAAATGGAGTTGAAGTACACAAAAAGCTCGCCCAAGAACGTCTGGTTGATAAAACCGTTAGTTTTAATGCCGATACAAAAAGAAAGTTAAGAAAGTGACATAAACTCAGGACAATCTTGTCGAAGTTAGGCCCGCTCGCATTTTCTTCTGTCTGCTTATCATGCTATCAGAAGAAAATGTCATTACCATTAAAAGCACACTAACGTACCCGCTTGGACCAGTCCCTTGGTCTCTAGCTACAGCAGATGGCTTACCAACCAAGACTGACAATGCAAAACTAATGCATGATCTCGAAGGCGATTATACAATGCACAGAGGCCAGGTAACAAAAACATAATACCGTATGACGGTTATTTCTGCGGTGCAAATTTTTGCGTTTTGGGACTGAAAATGGGTATACTAATTTTTGCGAATTTAATTTCTGCGTTTTTCATCAAAAACTTTTATAAAAAAATTTTTGCGTTTTTCTATTAAACTTTTGGGAGCAGGTTCTTTGAAGAGAGAGGTAAGGTATAAAATTTAAAAAGTATGTATTTCATATGATAAAATATATTCATATAGCACATTTAAATATACAAGTTAAAAGCAGAATACCGAAAATGATAATCAACTTGGCAGATATACAGTCTACAAACACAAACTTGCTTAACTTATTACACGATAAACTACATATAAAATCCTTTGTGTTAAATTGACTACACCGAGAACGTGTTATAAACATCTCACAATTCTTTATCGATTTTCACTAGAGCGAGAGGCTACCAGTGAGTAAAATATTTTATTCAAAGAAATTTATTGAAATCTATAAAATTCTTACGGAATATGCCTAAAACTAATAAAAAATGAATAAACTATGGATTGGAAGCTATGTTCCCTATTACAGGACAGGTAAAGATGGTCTTTTCTTTCAAAAAAATGCAAGTTTTTTTTAAAGACACTACAGATTCATATTGTGACCACCTACAGTGTGTAGCGTATTTAACATGACATATCTACTTTGTGTGAAGTCAAAACATGTTTATTATATATTTAAAAATGACTGTGTAGCAATTATCAATATTTTTTAATTAAATTTGAGCATAGTATATCTTTAACAGGTAAATTGAGGTGACAAACGGGTTAAATTACATATAAAACTACGAAAAATTTGCGAATTTAATTTTTGCGGTCCGCAGGAACCCGCAAGATATCGCAGAAATTAGCTATCCGCAGAAATAACCAGTTATACGGTATACATGTATCAAACAATTTCTTGTCTCCCTTCAATCCTTTAAGACGCGCTGAAAAAGATTTTGAGATATTACCAAAATGTGAGCGTGCAGACTTTGTGACATAGTACAAAGCAGAATTTATTAAATCTGCAGAAATGTCACAAACAGGAATGAGTAATACATGCCTGATAAAAGGCAAAAAACACCAAAGTTCTGCAAGACTGGACAGGTTTTTGTAATAATAATAAAAATAAGAAACAATTGATAAGATTGATATTAGAGGAATCGTCTTAAAGGTTACGTTTCAGTCAGACAACAAGTTGCAAATGTCTTCCTATATGTTTATTTTTAAAAAGTACATGGGTCCAATAAAATACCCAGAGGGGGTAACCTTTTTCATTTCTAGCTCATACTCTATTATCAAAGTAATTAACATTAAACCGCCAGTAATTCGCAGACTGGTCTGTTTGCACTGGAGACATTGAAAATTCATCAAAATGGACCAGACGCTGTTATGTTAAGGTGTCTGTTCCTCAACCCAGCGATCATGAGCAGAATTATAAGATCGCCGCTATGTTTATCCAGATAGGTCGGGACAAGCAAATATGACAGCCCGAAACCATCGCGAAGAGTGGGAAAATATTTTAAACCGTCAAAATATATTCAACGGCAGGTTGAGATAAATAATAGGCTGTAGTGTGACGTGGTAAAAGCTACAAAACGTTAGAGTATGTAGAAGGTCGTCACTAGCCTCGGAGGTGGTACCTTCTGAGTCCGGAATCATGTAATGCGCGCGGACTTATATTAATTAAAGGCTAAACGAGGCAGAAGAGCCTCCCCTGTTCCTCAATAAACGTCATTTGAAACGTCAAATAGTATATAATATACAATTTCAAAATGTGATGATTAATTATAATTCGTATGTGCAAGAAAAACACAAAGTACAGTTTCGCAATATTGTTACAACATCAAAAACTAGAATAACAGATCACTTTTCTTAACAGATATGGCCATTAGCCAATAACGTATGAGTTAAATTTTGAATTCTGCTGAAGCCAATGGGAAGGCATGGATGGTAGCTTGCACTTAAGTACCATGCATGAACAGGTTAAATCAAACCGATCCTGCAACATTTTCAATTAACGTTATGGACGTTCTGTTTTCACTTATTTATATAACTTTCAAAATTATCATTGTCTGTGTGTACGTACACATATAAATAATATTTTAACATGTGCACAATTGTGATTAAAACAACCCTGGCTTCTGTTTAATGACATATATTATTCACCCGCACATACCGTTGTACATCAATGAAATTATATTTGACAATTATGTGTAGGTTAATTATTAACAACATTTAATCGGTAAAGAATGGCATAAAACGACCAAAAATAATTTCAAACACTAAATTGCGAAAAAATGAAACTATCATTCACTATTATAACATTTCAATAATTTTAGTTGATTATATATCGTGTAATAAAACAAATAACATTAATGTTCTTTGCATTTATCAATTCGCTGAAATAAGCTATTAATTAACAATATTATACAATATAGCTGTTCAACATGGTTGATCTTTACACCGGTTAACTTTTAATTTTCATGAAATTCAAACTTAACTATAATACTACATCCAACAGTTTTACATATTACCGGTAAAAATCATATAGCAAATTATGTAGAACTAATGTTAGGTCTTATAAAAAGAGTGATAACCTTACTGTATATTTCTTTACTATGATATGCCTATTAGTTGACGCGTCTTTTATTATCTTTAATGAGCTCTACTTTTGTGTACAATGTTTTATATGAAAAAAAAATCAAAATTAAACAACACACTTGTGGTTAAGATTTACCATGTCAATTGTGATTAAATGCTAACAAGACAGATCAACATTTGCTTCTAGAAGATCTTTTCAGTATTAAAAAGGCAATAACACAAACATACAAGTAACAATTTTGAAAATACTTTATGATGATGACTTCCTTAATATTATTGATGCCACTCGATGTACTTGTGTTCCTTGTTCATTTAAACATTTATTTGCTTTTAAAACAAGAAAAAAAAACAATGTTGAACTGAATTGTGTATGGTGAAAAAGGTGTCAAAATACAATAATTTCTTTGAATAGAGCAAATGAAAAACATATCATATAAAGAGTAAGAATGTCAACAAAGCCAATGAAATAAATAGTTCACAGCTAATTAAACTAATTAAATCTATAATGACAATATACTTAGTTATTATAAGCTTAGAATAATAAACCATGCAATATTGAGCGCGTTAACACTTCCAATTTAGGGCTGATATAAATTTGACTACGGAATTATGTAAAGAAAACTCGGCAATTATGAAAGAGCCATTACGAGGAAAGTTGGTCTGATTTTCATTTTAACTCAGCCTTTAAGTTTGTTTGTGAAGCCAACGCTACATGTAGAAAAATCTACGCCATTATGAACTGGGTGATTGTGAGTCAGTCATTTTGCCACTTTTAATATTTCATTGAAATTTTTATATATTGCTCTTACAATTATCTCCTTCAACATGGTGTTGACTTGAATTGCAGATTCTATTGCCCAAAGTGCAATAAAAACATTTTTCTGACTTACATTTATAATCTTATCTTGTGCACCTATTTGTATACAAATCATCTGCCTGCCAGCATACAACATTGTACCTGTCGGAACACCGAAATATATGACACATCATGATCATGACCTCTTGCCTACATTTTCACAATTTTTCCGCCATTTGCCAATTGAACAATTTTTGCTGTCTGTCCCATGACTCTTGGTTTAAACAATATTCTATTTCCAAATTGTGCAACATGAATATAAACAATAAGCACATAATATAACACAGTAAAAATATAATGGACAGAAAAATAAAGTAACTTATGTAAAATTATTTTCACATGTTAGGGTTATTGCAAATGAATCATATGCACATAATTGCCTAGATGTATACAAACAAAGTAATCAAAAAACATCAATTTGTATGGATTATTTGCTTTGGTAGTTTAGCACGGAGGAAGGTAGTCTAGTACTGGTGTAACGCTCCAGAAACGATGGTTAGGAAACTACCCGCCTATATGACTGAAATACTGTTGGGAAAAGGCGTAAAATGAAACAAACAAACAAACAAAAGCTTATAAGAATAATGAAAATTCTATTTCTATATTCTATATATTATATTGTTTTACTTCGAATCCGTGAAATTTTATTTGACATTAATGCATTCTAATAATAACAATATAATTTTGCAATTACAATTCCCTACTTTACAACTAACTATGTAGTAAAAAGTAATAAAATTACTTTTCCTTTATCAAATTGCTATTTTAAAGTATTAATTAAGCACATATCACAACGTTAAAATTAAACATCACATACACCATAAGATTATCAACAAATATTTCATAACACAGATGTACGTCATCATCATCAAAATTTCCGTAGACTGCGTTTGTCGGAATGAACGTCATGGAACACAAGTCAGTTCATATTCATTATTAAACATTTCCCAGTTTAACCATTAACCAAAGGGGAATTCAGGTTTGCCCTCCGTTTGCTCTTCTGTCTAGCCAATAGGTAACTATACTATTTCTATTATATAATTCATTACGTAAGACTTTACATGACTTATTTCTTTTATGTAGTTAAAGAGAGCATTAGAGAGAACAAAGGAGTGGCTGCATAAGTACAGTCTCGTTTAAACGGACGTTTGTCAGTTAGTCCGTCTTCTTAAACTGTATCCAATAATAATTCAAAAAGTACGGAAAATACTATTATGAAACTTGAAATATAAATTAATTGTAGTACGGAGATAACGAACGTCTTCTTTCTATTCTGATGTTGAAACTTCAGATTGCTATAAAAAAATTAATGTAGCCCCAGTGCAGTAGTCCTCGGAGAAATTTATTAGAAATGACATGGTAAAAATATACAGGAAAACATGAAAGGGAACTTACCTTTTTAAAATCAACATTAGATAATCCCTTAACTTTTGAAACAAGAAATAACCGATTCCATAGATGCATCCGTTTTATAGGACACTTAATTACAAGTGTACTCACTGCACACTATTTTAGTCCCAAGTGAAGTAGTCCTCGTACACCCGGTTTTTATCTCATTTAACTGTATAATTTTCACAAACTAAACTGAAATCACTTCATATATACCTAAACTGATAAAATATCTCAAATTCAAATAGTGTGTGCATCATTTTCTTTCTATTTTTGGGTAATAACACAACAACAACAAGTAGTGAATAGTTTCACTCAAATTCTTAAAGTACAGAACACTATTTTTTTTCCTTCTGTGGAAATGCTTAACAATACAAACAAGGTTAGTAAATATTGTAACTGCATGTATATAATTGTTAGACAAAATGAATATTGTGAATACTGGAACAAAGTTTTAACACTTTATATTTCTGTCAATGAATAAAACAATCAAACAAGTCACTGTGTTTGTTTTTATTGTTTTGTTGTGTTTTAATATGATTTATTCTTCCTGACACATTTCACAAAGCCACTCATCCTTTGTAACCAGACTCAAGTCAACAAGAGTTTGTTGACTACTTGGTAAACATTCATAATGGAACCACCTATCACATATGATGTTGTCACATCCTACCAAAAAGCCCATGTCCATTAATTTGCATATTGAACAGTCAATACCATCATCAACGTAATCACAATCGGAGTTTGTCTCCATATGTATTTCAGCTGTTGCTGAGGATGTTGAGGCACTCTGAGATTCGGATGAATTCAGGTCTGCAATCGTGATCCACCTTGCACCTTCAATTCTTTTTCTTTTTTGTTTAGATTTGACAAGTGGAGGTTCAACAAGGATATGTGCCAAATCTGCAGGGACAATACCTAATTTTACAAGACGGTTTGTAACAGAATGTCCTCCACATTCTTGACAAGATTCATCTTCTTCCAATGGATTTTCACCACTACTAGAAATGTTCTAGGCAAATTCAATAGGGTTTGACACCTATGTTGGATTTAATGGGAACATGCCAGTCTTGTGAAATGCTGACATGATATCATGAGGTGAAATGCGGTTAATCCCATGGTAAAGAAGACTTGCAAATTTATCTCTTGGCACTACACGGGCCCCAGCATAGCCAACTGATAAAGCTGATTCTGCCATCTTCAATTTCAGAAGATGAAAGAAACCTTTATCCAGAGGTTCTAGCAAGTGAGTAGCATGAGGAGGCAAAAACAAAAGTTCAATACCTTCCTCAATAGCAAGATCTACCAAATCAGGGCAAAAGTGTGAGGCATGATTGTCCATAGTTAGAAGAACTGGACGTTGAGACCCACAGTTGGGTACAAATATGTCACGGAACCACTCGAAGAACAATTTCATGTTGATGTAACCATTCTGAGTTGCAGATAGTCGGTATTCTTTGGGAGCAAAGTCGCAATTACGTGGCAGTGTTTTCTCATATATAATGCAAGGTGGAATGACTTTACCTGCAGCAGATATTGCCAGATGAACTGTAGTATGACCTGTGAATTTAACTACTTGCTGGTATGAATGCTTGCCTTTTCGACTGATAACTTTGCCTCTAAATTTTTCTCTAGCACTGAAACCACTTTCATCACAATTGAATATGCATTGTGGCTTATCAAGAAGATTTTTTGATGTAAGAACTTTATCTAACAGATTAAAGTATTCAGTAATTTCTTTATTTGTAACATGTGCCCTATCTCTGACTAAAACATCAGGGTGCTTTTCTGACAATTCTGGATGTCTTTTTAGAAATGTTCTTATCCATTCATGGGAAGGACCATTAAGCATGTTAATTTTAGTATCTCTGCCAGACTTTTTGATAATTGCCCTTGTAAAAGCTCTAATCATACTTCTAGTCAAGGGATAGCCCCTGTCAGACATATACAAAGAATAATTTACTAAGGCTTTCTCTTCACTTTCAGTCAATGCTCTATTTGGACCCATCTGTGTGATTTTGTTCTTGTATTTGCCTTTTGAATGATCATATAAAGTTTGCTTCGGGATCCCAGTTGATTTAGAAACACTTGAAATTGAGCATCCATTTCTAATTTGTCTTAAGGCTTTAGCAAATTCATCTTGAGTGTATTTTTTAGGCCCCATGTCTTCAATGAACAGTTATCATCTGTTAAATGATAAACAATGTATAAACAAATATTTCTAGGGAATTATTTTGCACTTTAATTGCAATATTTACAACTGAATAATTTGTTTGATTTAAATCAGCAATTTGTCATACAAAATAAAAAAAATTACTTTTTTAACACTGTTATTATCAATGATAGTTTTATTTAAGTGATTAAGTGTATAAATTTTCATGTTAAAAAAATAGGAAATTAGCATCATGATAAAATTTAGGGGATTGATACCCTATTTAAAAAAGAAGCAGAAGAAGCTATTCACTGCATCTTTGTTTACCTCGTCTGCAACACTGGGAATCCCAGTCTAAAAATAATTGTTTGTTTACAAACAAATAAAAATTCTGGCAGATTTACTTTTATAAATATTTTTTACCTTTTGATATAAATTCTATAAATATTTTAAGTAAAATAAGATTTTACCAGTTGTTTATTTTCATGCGATGTACGGAGACCAAGCCAGCGATGTTCCTTATTTACATTTTTACGCTCACGTGAAAAACCGGATGTTTGTGAAAATAACGAATGAACAAAAGGAAAATTAATAGCAGTTGTCAACACCCATGTTTAGTTTATTTCTCAAATATTAATGTATGACATAATAAACGGTGTTTATAGTGTAATCGTACGAGGACTACTACACGTACGAAGACTACTGCACTGAGGCTACATGAAATATATCTGAAATACTAATATATTGCGATCATTCAAAACGTACTTTAAATATTTCTATGAAACTTAAATGGCGATCACACACGTTTTTCTTTTCATTTTCCTATGTATTTTTATTTCATAAATTTGTTGAAAATTCTCATTGTTGTAACAACAAATAGGCTTAAACCATGGCAAATAAAGCAACATATTTTGGAAAACCAGTTTAAACGGTTGGTATTTAGGTTTGCCTTAAAGCTTGTCTATTCATCCGCAAAAACTAGATCATGTAATAACCAAAAGGTACTGAATATATATGGTTACTTATAAAGCTTTTTGACATGTTATATGTCCTTTTAAACGGTTGTACATATGTTTGCATATATAACCCAAGCCGCTAGGCGAGGGTTATATTGCTAACAGCCATTTATAGACGGTCATATAACATGTCAGGAATCCTCATAACGAATTTATAATACTGCAAACTTCAATTTGGAGAAAACAAAATCTTCATGAGTTTACAGCTGCCGTTAAGATCAAACTTTATTATCCTTCCAGATTTCCCCCCTTTTTGATTGGATATTGATCCGCCGAAATAAATTGATATAACCGAGCCAGACAGGTCATATACACATTATATTCCCCCCGTTGGATACCCTACGTTGTAAACCACATGCGCGTACGGCATTATGTTGCGCAGTGTAAATTGTTTGTTTGTATTTGAGTTTGTTTATACTCGCCACAGTTTGCCCATATGGACGAGTCCCCCAGAAGAGTATTAGTCATTTTAGATTTTTTGAGGATTGTGCAAGATACAGATACAGAAAGATGCCGCAAGGTTCTTTTACGTGCCAAGTGTTAAAGCACTCATATAGGGGACCGCGATTTAAAGTCACATCCGAAAGACTGATTAGTAATTTTAGTTGGCCAGCCCGGGAATCGAGCCTACAATGTCGAGATTACAAGTCTCGCGCTTTAACATATTGAGCTATGCGGGCTGGCTATGCAGTGTAAATTTAGTTATACAAGCACTTTTAAATTGTCAAACATAAAATATTTACCAAAATAGAGTAATGGACATGGTGAATCTTAACCACAAAATTAAAATTCTCATCAGAGTCTAACGTCTCGGGTGATATAAAATCTCGGCATGTTGTATATCTACATAATTATATCACTCCAAAACCAAAATAAAGTATAATATAATCAATGAATAGCGTGGTTACAAACGTGCAGTTTTATGTATTTTAATAACACGCATCATGTACGAAGAAGATGATATGATGTATATAGACCTTTTTACAGTACGATTTTTCCATAGCAACGTATGTTGCATTTCGCGCATGCGCATCCTGCTTAGGACAAAAGCTCAATAAAGATAGAATACATGTTAGTGTACTTAAAGGCTTTTAAAGGCGTGATTTCAAGTTATGTCATCCAGAAAAAAGAAATTTTGGGATGAATTGAAGCGGTAAGTACTTAAAGCGTAAATTGATATTTATAACAGATATACAAAATTAGCGGGACTTATAATTCAACGACCAAAAGTCCTCTGTTCTAGGTATTATTAGGTGACCTTTTCATCAATAATTTAAATTAAAACAGCAGGGTGTTAAAGATCACATTTTATTACCCATGTATTACATAATATTACACAATTGGTATTCCTTTGAAAGTGGATTGGCAAGGCGGTAAGTGTCAAACAGGTTGACACGTGACCGGTTGTTATTTGCCAGCTAGTTTATCCTTCAACTGGGTCGTTTTAGTAACATGACATAGTTATTTACTTAAACCTATGAAAATAATTAATCGTAATTTAAGTAACTTTTATTTATACCAACCTCATCAATGTTTATTGATTTTGTGAAGTGACAAATAGTGTACGTGACGTGCATTTCCATGTGTTACAAGGAACCGGACACAATATGAGACTTAAAAAATTGTTTGGCATCTCAGTCAAGTCGGATAAAGGATAAAATTAGCTAAACTGAAAACTAAAAGTGCATTATAACACATGTTCCGACTTTTTTCAGAATGATAATTAACCTCGATTTTAAATGTTATAAAATTTATATAAAATGTTATATATTATATGTGTTAATAAAATAGTTTTTATATGGACGATTTCAACAACAATTAAATTGACTTCTTTATTTGCTAATATATATTATTTCCACATTTTTACAACAATAATTTCAATGTCAGGTCCGTGATCGTAAGGGGGAATTCTTAAAAAATCGTCTTTCCGTACCATTTTTGGACAATCTTGGCCATAAAGCTATGAAGGCATCTTTTGTGTTTCTGTTAAAAGCTATTTTATATGATTTTCTAATTTTTACCTTAAACTAACTCGGAATTGTCTATGAATTTCTACTACATTTCTATGTAGGGCAAGGCTTTTTTGCCCTACGCAAATTGCGCATGCGCGAAAAACTACTACTTCCGGTCAATTTTTCATAGCAACGGACCGCTTCGTAAAAAGGTCTATAGAAAAGCAGACCTAACAGATTTATTTATATTCTTTATTTTTACTCTTCTGTATCAACAACTACATTTACATTTGAATTTTACGTTTTGGTATTGAAAATAATAGATTCAAGATCAAATAAAGTACATCATAAGTTTAAGTATAATAATATTTTATCATTGCAAGAATTTATGTTGATAAATTCTTACGATTTTCTTATAAAATGCTTTCACATTATTTACATTATACTTTGTAATCCATGCATAAATGATTACAGATTATAAATGTACATACGTGATCAAACATTTATTAAATGTTGGTATAGATTTCATGAGTATTGAACCATCATCTTCCTTGTTCACTATTAACATCATTTACGACAGCGATTAATCTTCCTGCTTAATTTATGCTATGGGGAAGTTTTCGATCGTAATAGAATTTTTCAACACGCATTTTACGAACAAGCATGTGTCTATTCATAAACTATACCCAGTTACCCATGTCATCGTTAATTGGGCATTAAATGATACGCATGTGAAACGTCAAGTGCATGCATCTTATAGATATCATAAATGCAGTCGCTAAAATACTTCATGTGTTTTTTCTAACACTGATAACAAATTATGATAAACAAGTAAAAGTTTTGATTCATCATCTACTATTATAATAATTAAGAAATAAATTAATCGGTGATACAGCTGAAGTGTGACTTATTACATTTAGTAATAATATGAAATACCAGATAGTAAAAATGTAATGCAAATTATTAACAAGATAATGAAATATAAATTGAAAAGTAATTAAGAACAATTACCTTGAACCAACAATAATCAACTAATCTGGATTAAACCTATGGTGTTAGTGTGTGTGAGATGTTATTTTATTTATATAGCATCATATGAAAAGAAAACATAATGAAAACGGAAAATACAAATAAATTGCATTGTAATTGTTGTCCTAAAAGGACTTTGTACACTACCTTATCGAGATAGAAAAAAAAATACTGCCGCATGCCGTCCCTTACCGGTGTTTTTGGCAGTTTAACACTGTTTTATTCTAGTGACAAAATCACGAAGAATGTAAGTCACTACTTACTGTGTTATTACAATATAACAATATAAAAGGAGTATTAAAATGCTTTTCATTTTGCATTATTTTAATAAATGCTTCTAAATCAATCCCTAATATAATATATGTTCATCTACATCTACATTTTGTCAAACAAGACGTTTATTTCATTGTGTTCAAGTTTCGTGAACTTCTTCTGCATATAATCATGCATGCTCTATAAGCCGTGTATACTCTACGGAAATCTTAAAACACAAACACAGACCATACCAATTGATTTAATAAATATAACAGAAGTTGAAATATGAAATACGGTTTAGGTGATTAAGTAAAAGTTGGATTTACCAGTAAGATAAAATGTAAATAATGTTTTGAATATCATACAAGCATCTCTATAGAATGCCTGATTTACAAAGACATTTTTATAACCGAATGAAATTTATATTTTTCATTAAATTAATTCTTTAAACGTTAGTACTTAACGTTTTGTCGGTTAATGACTCTAACTTGTCACATTGTAAATAGAGTATAATTTCTGAACTACACATTCACCGTGCATATCCTGTAGCGCCGGAATGTGAAAATAACGCATGATTCGTGCAAAAGTAAACGCAGAATTGTGCAATAAATGACATACACCTTGTAAATCCTGTAAGGTGACCGTCATTTCTTGCACAATTCAGTGTTTTTTTTGTACACGAATCGTGCGTTATTTTCACATTCCAGCGTGACTGGATATACTAGTACACAGTGGTTGTGTAAATCAGTATTACACTATTTACAACTTTCAATACAAACGTTTTAAGAAATAATTTAATAACGACAAAAATAAATAAATAAAAGCAATTTAGTCTTTGTATGGAAGACAGGTTACAATGTTACAGCTTTTTTGAAACCTTTCTGTACAAGGGTGAATTTCACTGAAAAAATCTTCTTTTGAAATAAAATAATTCTTTAATATTTTATTTATGTAACAAAGGTTTTTTGAAATTAGTTCATTTGTTTGTTTGCAAGAGGAGAAAATTTAAACATATATCTTTATACAGAAATTCTTTTGAGAAAGGATACATCTTAAAAAAGAGTATTTTGACAGTTGTTTTCTATTTTTACATTGAAAACAATTTGCTACAAAAAATTGTGAAATATATATTTGATAAAATGATGCAAAACAAAATTAAATGAGTTCGACAACTTATTATTCTTTATTGTAATTTCTGAAATATTTTAGATTTACAATATTGTAAATAGTTTTTTATATAATTATGCAAAAAATATCCCCTATCAGTTGTAAATACAAAAAGAGCAATCTCAGTAGGAAACATCGCACCAAAGGAATGTAACAATATGCTGTGAA